GAGGCGAGACTTGGAGGACAGTCTCGAGACCTCTCTCATCGTCTGGAATTACCACACCACGCATAAAGTGAACATCCTGGAACTCGATTCCCTTGATGTTGGCCTGGTTCTCGGCCATTTGTCGCGCTGCCTCTGTGACCATCACAAGCATTCCAGCGGCGGGAAACATGATGGACCCAGCAACGACATGGTCCGACATCCACGGATTCTCCGAGAGGCGAAGGAAATTTCTCCATCGAGGCTCGAGAGCATTTTGGTAGTCAAGAGGCGCTCCCAGGATATCGTGGCGCGGGTGCTTGCGCTGTCTCAGCTGAGCAGTCTCCAGAGGCTCGTGCCAAAAGGATGTCTGGTGGTTCCAGGGATAGGAAGGCAGATCAGAGACCATTGCTGGAGGGTTGGAGTCGACACAGCTATTCACTGCAGCGAGGTCTACCGCGTGTCCTGTGCTCCATAGAATACCAGCAACTTCAAGTGAAGTCCGCAGGGAATTTTGGTTGCGTGAGACCAGTGAATGATATGGCAGCGATACCATGCTTGGACTGACGGCTTGCAGAATTTGGGAAACTGGTCCCTTCATGACAGAGTGAGGACCAATTTCTAGCAAAGCTGTCCACTTGATTGGGACCGGGCGTCGACGACCCTTGATAGATTCGCTCAATTTCGAAAGCTGCGTCACAGCAGCAGTGAACTCAACTGAGCTGATCATGTTTCTCACCCAGTATGGCCCACCCAGCTCTGCAGGGTAAACACGCTCTTTCGTGACAGACGAAAGCATGGGAATTGACCCATCGAATCGATCTTCTGGCTTGATACAGGCGATTGCATTTCCAACGACCTCGACCAGATCCTCCATATGAGGTGAGTGATACGCAGTGTCGATGCGTAGCTTGCGAGCAAAGATACCATCTGCTTGAATTTTTGCCTCGAGTTTATCAATCTGGTCTACATCACCGGAAAGCGTCACGCTGACAGGACTATTGACACAAGCAACAACGACCGAACGAGGAGGCACCTCATCCAGATACTTCTTGGCGCCTTCTGCTGAGAGTCCAGCTGCCAGCATACCTCCGCGTCGATCACTCTCGGCAGCCTGTTGTGAGAAAAAACCACGGAACCAGGCCACTCTCATGGCGTCCTCATGGGAAAGATATCCGGCTGCGTATGCACCAGCGATCTCGCCGCTAGAGTGGCCAACGACGGCCTGAGGGCGAACGGACCAGCTTGTGAGAACATCAACCAATCCAATCTGAAGGGCACATGTGATGGGTTGGCTGCGATCGGGTCTGTTCATATGACTTTCCTTTCCATCCAAGCGGATCTCTTGGACGATATCGAAAGGGCAACCCATTGATGTGAGAATTTCTTGTGACCGAGCAATGCTCTCCTTGAATACCGGGACTCTCAACAACTCTTTACCCATGCCAGGCCACTGGCCACCTTGGCCGGTAAAAACCCAGGCAAGTTTACTTTGGGCTTTGCGGCTTGCGCGGGCAAATTTTGGCAATCCTTTCTCGAGACTGGTCTGCAGCTGACCGAGAGAGTTGGCGACAGCAAAACTGCGGAAGCCCAATTGCGAACGGCGTGTCAACATGGTATGAGCGAGATCCTTCAACGGCATATCTTGCTCAGCTTTTTGTTGCCGGAGAAGATATTTGCTCCAATTTTCGCCGAGTCGCTCAATACCAGATTGATCAAAGGTAGAGAATACCACGATATGAGGAAGGGGCTCTTTGTCCTCGCCATCTCCCTTGAAAAATTCTTTGGTGCTTTCCAAGATCAGATGCGCGTTTGAGCCACCAAATCCGAATGAGTTGATACTTGCCCGCTGGGGCAGATGATCAGGCCACGGCATCGTTTTGTCGCTAAGGCGCAGTCTCCATTCATCTAAGCGGATCTTGGGGTTGATGTTTTTGAATCCGGCATTCGGTACAAGTGTACCCTTCTCCAGACATAGGATGACCTTAATTAGACTAGCGACGCCAGCGGCGCCTTCGGTATGCCCAAGATTGGTCTTCACAGAGCCCACATATATCGGCTCGTCGGTCTCAGTTCGAGCCTGACCAAGAGTCATCCCAACAGCAGATAATTCTATAGGGTCCTGTTGGTTTGTGTTAGAAGATCGAGCTTTCCATTGGCTTGGGGCTTGATAATTCTGTTCCAACTTACACCGACAGGGGTACCGGTTCCATGTGCTTCAAAGTAAGCTGTATCTCTCATTGAAAGGCCATGCCGTTCATAGGTAGACCGAATCAAGTTCGCTTGAGAGGTTGGGCTTGGTAGGGTGATTCCAGGGGTGCGACCGTCCTGGTTAATTCCGGTGCCCCGGATAATGGCTCGGATATTATCTCCATCAGCCATAGCAGCTGAGAGAGGCTTCAGAAGCACAGCACCAAAACCTTCTCCTCGACCATATCCATTTGCGGATTCGTCAAAGGAGTGGCTAAGACCATCAGGGCTCATCATGTGCATATATGAAAGTCTCTGTGTAAAATTAGGGTGTAAAATGAGACTAGCTCCTGTCACAAGGGCCTGTTATCGCAATATTTAGTATACGTTGAAGAAAGATTCGCCTGGTTAAATGATGAAACCTACCATTCCGCACTCGCCGGAGCGCAAGGCCTGGGTTGCCAGGTGAACTGCAGTAAGACTTGAGGAACACGCGGTATCCATCATAATACTCGGGCCCTGGAGATCGAAAAACCATGATAACCGGTTGGCCAACATAGTTCTACCATTTCCAGTGGCTGAGTTGTGGGGCATATCATAAATGTCCCTGGTTGACAATAACTCATAATCATTTGTCATTGAGCCGGAGTATACAGCCGTATCACTCCCTGGAAGTGTGTCAATGGGAATTCCACCTGCGATTCTTGATTAGCTGACAATGCCATTTCCCTCTTAATCAAAAACCATCAACACACCATTTTCAAAGGCTTCATAGGCGACCTCGAGCAAAAGTCGCTGCGCAGGGTCCATTCCCGCCGCCTCCTTGGCGGTGATCGAGAAGAACGGCGCGTCAAAGCGCGCCGGGTCTTCTTGCAAGAAGAAACCGCTATCATGGTTGATCTATTCATCGCACGCGTCAGTTCAGTCGATTCAAGAAATCCACGTGTTGAATGGGAACTCCATACCGCGCCTTTTCGTTCATGAGTCGGGTGGTGAAAGGCGGATGCTTCATAACGACTGGAGGGAATCTTTCCGTGTCCAGTTCGCCCCTCGCATAGCATCTGCCAGAAATCCTCCACTGACGTCGCACCTCCTGAAAATCGACACCCGATTCCAATAACCGCGATTGACTCCATCTCTGGGTCAGTGGCCTTCGCGGTCGGTATTCCAGGCATCTTGGAATTATTATTATTAAAGGGGCTGAAAACAAGTTGTTTTGCAAAGGTCAAAAGAAAAGGTCCAAGAGACGGGCAGCTGTGGGGTATTAATTATACTCGGCCAGTGACTTCCGGGATCGGGAAGTCCCAATCGTTCTGGCAGACAACTAACATGGAGATGTGGACCTTGGAAGGTCGGTGTCAAGGTATGGGAAGTCTGGCTATCACACGCGTCGTTCACTGGCCATCCATCGTCTTGGGAAAGCCTTGTGGAGCACCGAGGATTAGTGAAATGGGCTAGATATCCGGTAGGTTCACGCTACATCTCCTGTAGAGGGCCGCCTAGCTATGGGAGTGTAATATTAAAAAAATAAATACTCTTGCCGATCGATCATCTACTGGCCCCTGAAATGGCAGGAGTGCTAACCTTTTGGAGAAGAACGTGCATGCATCCTACATTGGATGGATCTGAAGTAGAGTCAGCTTCGGACTACAGAGTACACAACCTTGATTTCCTGGCATGTGTAGCTGAGGTTCCCCCCTAGCAAATCATGGAAGAAGTTTCTTTGAGCGGAGCCCAAGATCCACGAACCGGATCGTCATTCCCGCCAAAATCTTCAAGACGCGAGGAGTGAGGGGCAATTTGATATCATGATCATGCATGCGATGCACTTTCGCGTGCCACCCCAACAACTGTCTGCATCGTGACCCACACACACTCTTATCTCCCATGCAATCATACTTACCATCTTGAGGGGAAGGAATCTCATGATGACCCCAGGGACCATGAAACCCAAATACCGGACTTTGTTTTGGTATTACACAGTCCTCATTACACATGCAGGAAACAATCTTCAGTGCATGCTCCACCGGCCCGCAGAGGGCTTATGCGCAATTGTTAACCTAAAGTCCACTCGACCGTCTTGGCAGTCCACGCGCGCCAAACATCCGCGAGATGTGATCGTGGGTGAGAAGATCCCGAACTTGCGTTCCCGCAGTGGAGAAAGTACCCTGGCCTCGCTTGCCTGTCCCCCTCCGGGCCCCCCGGTTCAACAATTTCTGGACTGCACAAGGTGGTGGCAGGACCAGAAAGCATCGTGACTGGGTGGAATACATATTACTAACTGAAACAGGTTGTCCCTTCGGAAATAAATTCGGTTGTGTTGACACTATTACGTACTATCAGTTATTACCATCACTCAATTTGTGACCCCTCCGTAGATGAGAGCATCGAAGCCACATTCCCTGTTTATTTGGGGCATCTGGATCCTGGCACTCTGAACGCTACAAATTTCTATCCGCAATGTGCTTTTTTATTCCTTCACAATGCAAACTCAGGGGCTCCCCCTCGCCCCCCACATCCCCGATGTCCACCCTTCTGCTCCACTCCCACTGTCTCACTGGAGTCAGAGCTCACGCTAGGTGAATAGTATTTGATAGTTTCTTTTGATCAGACGTATAAGCTCCTTTATGGAATTATCCGCCTCCACCCAGCATTTATCAGGATTTCATGACGCTAAAATATCCAACTCACCCCACAGCCATTCTCGAACCAAATGGTAGCCTTCCCCAGCTGGAATTTGCTATCGACAAGATTTACCTCGGAGCTTCCGAATTACGATTTCCTGTCCTTCCTTCACCGTCATTCCTCCCCCACATCACGTCGCCATTTGGAAAATGGCTACCCAGAGCGCCATCGTTGTCCAAGAGCCAGGCCGCGCCGTGCTATGCCGGGATGTTGCTATTCCTGACGTCCCGGAAGACTATATTCTCGTCAAAACAAAAGCAGGTATGCCAAATTGTCACACTACATTTCCTGTCCCTTACGTCATGTGCGGACTAATTGACTAAGATATGGCCCAGTGGCTCTGAACCCCACGGATTGGCGTCACATCGATTATGTTTCCTGCAACGGAGCTACTGTGGGTTGTGACTACGCTGGCGTGGTAGAAGCAGTTGGCTCTAAAGTTACAAAGCCATTTCAAAAGGGCGACCGAGTGGCAGGGTTCGTGCATGGCAGCAATGCAGTTCGTCCCAATGGCGGTGCATTTGCTCAGTACGTGATTGCCAAGGGAGACCTGCAAATTCGCATACCCGATAGCATGACCTTTGAGGCTGCAGCTACATTCGGCGTTGGTTTGACAACTGTTGGTCAAAATCTTTACCAAAGCATGGAATTGCCCTATCCGGGCGAGGAAAGCGAGGAGGATGAAATGAATATCCTCATTTATGGAGGCGCAACCGCCACCGGCACTCTCGCAATCCAATTAGCCAGGTTGTCCGGACTCCGAGTAGTGACAGCATGCTCTGAAGCAAACCGCAGCTTGATGTTTGAGCTCGGCGCGCACGCGGTCTTTGATTACCATGATCCACAAGTCGGCGAACAGATCAAGGAGGATACCGACGATGCTCTTGAATTTGTGCTAGACACCATCTCCACGCCTCAATCAGCAGCGATATGCAGTGCTGCAATTTCATCTGCGGGAGGATCCTACAATGCCCTTCTTGATGTTAAATCTGCTCGAGATGATGTCGACTCCCATGTTTCAATGGCATATGATGTGTTGGGCGACCCCTACCGCATGAGTGCGCAGGAAATCACGCCCGATGGCAGTAACCCGGAATTTGGAATTAAGTGGTGGAACGTTGTGCAGAAGCTCCTTGAGGATCGCAGGATCCAGCCCCATCCATACCAGATCAAGCCCGGTGGCTTGGAGGGAGCCTTGACCGGCCTACAACTGCTACGAGAAGGCAAGATCCGAGCTAGCAAACTGGTGTATCAAGTTGAGTCTTCTTGATCGGTGGCATATTAGCATTTTTTAGCCAGTGAGAGGTCTGGTGCTACAAGAGGATCATGCTCGATTCAATAGAATTATCGAATAAATTATATCATGAACTGATGACGAATATGATTTGATTTTGAACTTGAAGTACTATAAGCGATGACTCGGGATCTGGTCCCAGGGCTTATTATTGTCGACGTAGAAATCCCACCAACGTCCACGGTCGTACTAGTAGTAACCTTGGCATGAAATTAAACTTGAAGTTGTAGTACCTAATAGGTAGCACCGAGACGATGCAGCAATATATAATTCTGGTAGCTGAAGACCACGGATTTAAACCTTCCAACCTGAAGCCTCCAGGAACTCGAAACCCCGGGTCGATGCACCCAACCTTTGGTACTACTAACTAACTCCGAGCTGGACTGCAACTTGAGCATCGACTCCATTGACTGCGGACTCGGCCAGCAAACGTTGTTCGGTACAATGTTCAACCACTCGGTGCATTCCTTCATTCGGTGCTGTGAGCACGACAGATGATAAAAAGCTTTCAACTTGATTAATCATGTGGATATCGCCCCATGCCCCCGATGCTGGATTAATTACTATTTGTTTCGAAAGCATCTCAGTCGCTACAACGAGGTAGTGAAGAAGAATCCTATCAAAGTTAGTTAGATCGTTGGCATAGAAAAGTGGGCTAAGCGAGTTTTGAAATCGACCTACCCTACCATAGACGGATTCTGTGCGGGCATTTGTTTGATCAGCTTTATCGATGCCCTGGCTGCATTTTGACATAGAATCGCAGAAAAGTGAGCGATATCTTCAGATAACATTCCGGAGCTGTATGTTTTAGCGAGCTCCATATATATATCCGAGCCGTGAGAATTGAGCGCTTGATGAACTGATAACAAACAGTTGAAATATGAGAAGTGGAGACTAAGAAGAAGAACGGAAGCCTTTGATTTGGGAAATGAAGCCGTATCCTGAACGTCAGGACGGAATGTCTTGGGTACACTCGCTTTCCAGCCTCGAAGCTTTTCGTCCAACTTAGCCACCAAGTCGGCAAGACCTGATGTTGATTGTTTAGGCGTTGTCGCTGAGCATAAAAGTTTGTAAACTTGGCCCTTTATGACCGAAAGCTCGCAATAAGATCTGAAAACATCGAAATCGATTTGTTCTTGGTCCGATAGTACAATACAATGGTGCGATGATAAGCCGGGCGAGAACTCAATGTCAATGTATTCGTCGGTCCGCCCTAGAGACCCGCCAAACCGCAAGGAAATACTAAAGAAATGTTAGACGTAAGATATACATGTAGCTCTATATGACCTGGAAACATACTCTTGATCTAAACAGTACGCAATCCAGAAGACCATTCGGCACTGTTCAAGTTGAAGATTATCCTTGCAGACAAGCGGTTTGCCTTGGCCCCCTAATAAAAGATCGTGAGTGATCCGGAGCGCCGATGGGACGAAAAGATCGCATGGCTTGTCATTCAATGTGCCAAGTAAGAAGACGGTCTAAAACACGCATTAGGTCGCCCAATATGAAGCTTAAGGTTGGCAAGCTTACAATTCCAAGAAGGGCTTGCGCTGCCCAGAGAGTTGGAGGGCTATTACACAAACTGTTCGCCACTTGCAAAGCATTTTTCATGAACATCCAACTAATTTGATGGTTGGACTGCGCCACGTCGGACGCCCTCGAGCGCATAGTATGCGCCAATGCCAAAACAACATTTATGCACGCCCAGAGATCTGCTTTGTCGGGGGTTATGCTGCTGTCCTCGTCACAGATCGATAGTAGTGAGACCGGCTGGAATAGTGGACAAATGGAATTGAAATTTTCGAGGAACTCGAGGAAAAGCACCATGGTTTCAGCAATACCCGGGAGTGGATAGAATGTCTTTGGGGTAGATGTGCCGTCAAATGGTTCATCTTGATCTGGGACTGGCAGAGAAGACATCGAGGTGCAATTGTGGAGGTCAAATCTTCTTAAATTGTCCTTGGCCTGGTGCTGGTTTTCTCCATGCTCAGATCTTCTATTGGCCGCCCTGTCTTTTGTGAGGTCCACCAGGATTCTCGGACACGCCAAATTTTGCAAAAAGACATCGCTGTCGCCTTCCACTCCGGAAGAAGCCTTGCTATCAACCAAGCTGGCGGGCGGATGCGCAGATGGAACATCTGTAGGATGGTCTGAAAGATCCGATCCTGACTCGCTCATCGTGTCAGATATGTTCCAGGAAGGATAAGACTGGGAAAATGACACAGGTGTTCCAGGAAGGTCATTGAACGGTCGCATTAAGCCCAGCCTTTCGAAAACATTTTCCATACGCTCAATATTCGATTCAAGCTCATCAATCTTGCTTCTCCTAATAACAGTGTTTGTAAGTAATTATCAAGACACGTGATGGAATACTAACTTCTCTTTATTGCGACGACGACGGTATTCATTGACCGAACAGGGGACATCGAGCCTTTCACAGGAAGTGCATCTACTCTTTGTAGTCATGTTACATTTTATCTTTCTGCGATGACACTCTAGGCAAGCCTTAAGAAAGTTAACTAGTGGACGCGATGGGGATATGTCGACATACCCACTTTTCTTGTCCAGCCACGCTTACCCACACGATCTGATAATGTCGACATGGCCTTTTCGCTGCGGGGAGTCGAGGTCTTCTTGCGATGTCGAAGCTGGTGCGCAAGAGTACCAGTTGTGGGGGATCCTTTATCATTACTCCGCATGGCCGGTAGCGAATCGAGGCCAGGCCTAAAGCCCACAAGGGAGAGCCAGGTATTTCAAATTTAGACCGAGTAAACAGCGAGTAGAGAAAGAGGTTCGTGGGGTCGAAGAATATATAAGATTAGTTGTCAGTAGAGTCAAGAAGAATTAAGGAGCGGAAAAGTCAGAGAAAGTCGAGTCAAGGACTGCGGGCTTTCCCCGCAAAACAAAGCCCCTAACGTGGCATGACGATGACAGATCGAGTTTTCTGCCATTAAAAGCTAAATGGTAGAGGTAAATGGCAAATTAGAGAATATAAGTTAAACCCTAACATCCGCGTTACAGGATCTAACTAAGATAGTCATCGGACCAACAGTTAAATCCTGGTCAGACGAATCCTAAAGAGTCTCGGATGCCGGAAGTGCCAAAGCGGTCGTATTGATGCGGTAAAACCCACATCCGAGAGCGTATCGGTAGAGAGTGGCCCATCTCCCGAGAACAGCGCCGGGTACATGAACGTCGCAAGACTTGGCTGGTAAATAAGGGGACCTCAGTTCATAAAGTATTCTTTGGCAAACGACATACCAAGAGCAAGATCATCGCGATGATGAGTCTATGATTGCTTTTTATGCACATAAATAATGTAACGCAGTGCATAACATCCATAGATCTCTTGGCGATCGATTGCCAATCAACTTCTACGGCTAACGAGTTTCGATTTCGCTAATTATAAGACTGGGCGCGGTAACCCGGAGGTTTTTCTTAAAGATATGACAGCCCTAAGTACCCGTCCATCCCGAAATTCATTAGTCGGACCGCCGGAGGTGCTATGTGCGCCAAAAGAGATCCCGGTTGTGATCTGCTAGCTAATATACGCAATGAGCCACAACCATCACCTAAACTAGATTTTTTATTCTTTTTCTTGAATTTATTTGCCATCTGTTGATGCCTGGATCTGAAACCCTTGATCCGAACCGAGTCGGATCTGGCGGGGCCGTATTAGTATTTATACTTTCTCAGTCGATTGTTCTTTTCTATACCTTTCTTTGTCTGCCCAACTTTTCAATTTTTGCTTCCTATGCAATTTTTGCCCGCGGAGAGGCTTGGTACCGCAATATGTCTCTCTTAGGGACGATTAATCCCAATCTAGCCCGATCTCAATCCGTTGTTAGCCACAATATGCCTCAATTACCTTCTCCTGGGGAAGTGGGAGGAGACGGACCGTACGTCCACCACGAGTATGAAGATTCTGAAAAAAGCAACAGTGGTGCTACACTCCGGGAAGAGGAAGAGAAAATTGAAGAGAGGGTGGGCTCGCTTGTTCGACAGCTGACCAGACACTCGACTCGATACTCCGTTAGCGGCACTCTTGAGAACCCATTCACCAGCGACAATGCCGACTCAGCAGTCAACCCCAACAGTCCCAACTTCAATGTGCGCAGCTGGATGAAGAATCTTTTAGCTATTCGCTCCCGTGATCCTGATTTATACCCTAATCGGACCGCGGGCGTATCTTTCAGGAATCTGAGCGTGCATGGATTCGGATCGCCCACTGATTACCAGAAGGATGTTTTGAACAGTCTATTGGAGATTGGAACCATGATTCGACGCCTCCTTGGTTCAAAGCTGCAGAAGATTCAAATCCTTCGCGAGTTTGACGGCCTTGTGAAGAGTGGAGAGATGCTTGTTGTGCTGGGAAAGCCCGGCTCTGGATGCTCTACTCTTCTCAAAACAATTGCTGGCGAAATGAGTGGGATCTCGATGTCCGAGGAATCTGTGTTGAACTATGAAGGTGAATGTTTGTACTCAGCAAGTCGATTCGATATACTGACTTCTTCAACTTTTTAGGAATCTCGGCAAAACGAATGCAGAAGAACTTTAAAGGTGAAGCTATCTACTCAGCAGAGACTGAAGTTCACTTTCCACAGTTGAGCGTGGGGTAAGGCAATTCTAGCACCCACCCATAACCTCGGATCTAATGTGATGTTTCGATTTTGCAGAGACACCCTCATGTTCGCAGCCCTGGCTCGAGCCCCCCGCAACCGCTTCGATGGGATCAGTACCCAACAGTACGCTGAACATATGCGAGATGTTGTGATGGCAATGCTCGGCCTTTCTCATACCGTGAACACCCGTGTTGGAAATGACTTTATTCGCGGCGTCAGTGGTGGTGAGCGTAAACGCGTCAGTATTGCGGAGATCACATTGAGTCAGAGTCCATTGCAGTGCTGGGACAATAGCACGCGCGGCCTTGACAGTGCCAACGCCCTTGAATTTTGCAAAAATCTGGCCCTGATGAGCAAATACTCAGGTACGGCTGCGTGTGTCGCAATTTATCAAGCCTCTCAATCCGCATATGACGTTTTCGACAAAGTCACTTTGCTTTATGAGGGACGCCAAATTTACTTTGGGCCTGCAACTGAAGCAAAGCAATATTTTGTGGATATGGGATTCGATTGCCCTGGTCGCCAAACAACTGCCGACTTTCTCACATCAATCACAAGTCCTTCGGAGAGACAGGTTCGTCCAGGGTTCGAAGGTCGCGTACCCCAGACACCGGATGAACTTGCAGGAGCCTGGAAATCGAGTCCGGCTCGTGCGAAGCTTTTAAAAGAGATCGAAGAATATGAGAGTGAGCATCCAATTGGTGGTGACTCTTACGGTAAATTTTTCAACGCCCACCGAACTATTCAGGCAAAACATCAGCGCTCTGGATCTCCCTACACCATCTCTGCCATTGATCAAGTTAAGATCTGTACGATACGCGGATTTCAACGTCTGCGGGGAGACTTCAGCTTAACGGCTACTGCATTATTTGGTAACTTCGTTATGAGTTTGATTATAGGCAGCGTCTTCTACCGGCTACCCAACGACACCCAGAGTTTTTACAGCCGCGGTGCTCTACTCTTCTTTGCCGTCCTGCTCAACGCCTTCTCCAGTGCCTTAGAGATCCTCACACTTTATGCTCAACGACCAATCGTTGAAAAGCAGTCAAGATTCGCGTTTTATCACCCTTTTGCTGAAGCGGTTGCGTCGATGCTTTGTGACGTGCCTTACAAACTCATCAATTCATTCACCTTCAACATTCCTCTCTACTTCATGACCAATCTCCGTCAAGAGCCAGGAGCTTTTTTCACTTTTTGGATATTCAGCGTAGTCACTACATTTACGATGTCCATGATCTTCCGCACTATCGCATCGGCATCGAGATCATTATCACAAGCACTGGTACCCGCTGCGATCCTGATACTGGGGCTGGTGATCTACACTGGCTTCACAATCCCAACGCGCAATATGCTTGGCTGGTCCAGATGGATGAATTATATCAACCCAATCGCTTATGCATTTGAAAGTTTCATGGTCAATGAGTTTCATGATCGGACATTTCCATGCGCAGCAATCGTGCCTTCTGGTGGAGTCTATGACGGTCTCTCAATGGAGAATAGAATCTGTTCTACTGTTGGAGCAGAGTCTGGGTCTGCCCTTGTTTCTGGCTCGCTTTATCTCCAATTGAGCTTTCAATATTCAAAGGTCCACCTGTGGCGGAATTTCGGCATATTGATTGCTTTCATGGTGTTCTTCACGGCCGTTCATCTACTGGCAACGGAGTATATTTCGGAACAGAAATCTAAGGGTGAAGTTCTTCTCTTCCGCCAAGGACATCAGCCGAAGTATATTGGGGGCGAGCCGGATGCCGAGTCATCCCCCTTGCCTAATACGAATGAAAAGACCGACGAAACAAACCCCGGATCCCCGGCTATCCAGCGTCAGACAGCTATTTTCCAGTGGCAGGATGTTTGCTATGATATCAAAATTAAAGGCGAGTCTCGGCGGATTTTGGACAACGTTGACGGATGGGTGAAGCCGGGAACGTGTACCGCCCTGATGGGCGTGTCAGGAGCCGGCAAAACCACGCTTCTCGATGTCCTTGCCACCAGAGTCACTATGGGAGTTGTTACAGGCCAAATGCTTGTGGATGGTCAGCCCCGCGATCAATCATTCCAACGGAAAACAGGCTACGTTCAACAGCAAGATCTCCATTTGCCTACATCGACTGTCCGAGAGGCCTTAGAATTCAGCGCTGTCCTACGCCAGCCAGCATCGGCCAGCCATACGGAAAAGATCGCTTATGTGGACGAAGTAATCAATCTTCTAGGCATGGGCGCTTATGCGGATGCTGTGGTTGGCGTTCCTGGCGAAGGACTTAACGTGGAACAACGCAAACGTTTGACAATTGGCGTTGAGCTTGCAGCTAAGCCTCAACTATTACTCTTCTTGGATGAGCCTACCAGTGGATTGGATAGCCAAACATCATGGTCGATCTTGGACCTTATCGATACATTGACTAAACATGGTCAAGCAATTCTCTGCACGATTCATCAGCCTTCGGCAATGCTCTTTCAACGTTTCGATCGACTGTTGTTTTTGGCGAGGGTGGTAAAACGATTTACTTCGGCGAAATTGGTGAAAATTCAAAGACATTATCTAGTTATTTCGAACGGAACGGCGCGCACCATTTGTCTCCTGGCGAAAATCCTGCAGAATGGATGCTAGAAGTAATTGGCGCTGCCCCCGGTTCCCACAGTGAGATTGAATGGCCAAAAGTCTGGCGAGAGAGCTCTGAGTATGGCAAGGTCAAGGAACACCTGGGCCAGCTAAAAGAAACACTTGCTGTCAAGCCTCAAGAGGAACCCGGCCCTGGTTCGTACGCTGAGTTTGCTGCCCCTTTCTATATTCAACTATACGAATGTCTGGTTCGCGTCTTCGCTCAATATTACAGAAGTCCGACTTATATTTGGTCAAAGGCAGCGCTCTGTGTTTTGACCTCATTGTATATTGGCTTTTCGTTTTTCCACGCTTCAAACTCGATTCAAGGACTTCAAAATCAGATGTTTAGCGTGTTCATGTTAATGACAATCTTCGGCAACCTGGTACAACAAATTATGCCAAACTTTGTCACACAGCGATCGCTATATGAGGTCCGCGAGAGGCCTTCCAAGGCATACAGCTGGAAGGCATTCATGGCGGCTAATATTATTGTGGAGCTACCTTGGAATACATTGATGGCTGCTTTGATATTCTTTTGCTGGTATTACCCGATTGGTTTATACAACAACGCACCCGAAGGCACACTTCACGAGCGTGGTGCTTTGATGTTTCTCCTTATCTGGACCTTCCTTCTCTTTACATCAACATTTGCACATATGGTTATCGCAGGCATTGAGCTTGCAGAAACCGGTGGAAATATTGCGACATTGCTCTTTTCGCTGTGTCTCATTTTCTGTGGCGTTCTCGCTACGAAAGAGGCCTTACCGGGGTTCTGGGTTTTCATGTATCGCGTTTCCCCATTCACCTACCTTGTGTCAGGCATGTTGTCGACAGCGTTGGCAGGAGCCGATGCAAAATGCGAAGCAGTGGAATATTTGAAGTTTTCTCCGCCATTCAATCAAACCTGTGGAGATTATTTGGATCCATACATTTCCGCTGTCGGAACGGGCTACATCCTCAACCCCGAAGCACTATCCGACTGTTCACTCTGCACGATCAGCAAGACTGACGCCTTCCTTGCGCAAATTGGATCTTCGTTTGATACCGCCTGGCGTAACTTCGGACTCATGTGGGTCTATATTGCCTTCAATATCTTCGGTGCGGTGTTCATTTATTGGTTGGCGCGAGTACCCAAAGGAAACAAGACCTCCGGCACTACCTAGACGAAACATGGTCATGACACCGCTCAAAAGCAGTGGAATTCTCAATCTTTTTCGACTATCCTTCTTGAATAATTCGTCCTTCACTTTGTCTCTTCTCCTTCTCTCCTGCTCATTCTTGCCAATTGTTTTTGGCCGCCTCATTCATTTCCCTCTCGTATATCTAAACTTATCTTGATTTTGACTCCTTATTTAGCTCGAGTCTGTTTGTAATTAGAAAGAATACATTTGCGTTTATACTCTTCAAGTTCTGAAATTCGAAGTGTCTTCTGTTGAGAGCCTGAGGCTGCGATGTCTAAGCCAGCACCCGTCTGTAGAATTTCAAGTTGTGTATATGATAGATAATTATATTGATAATATAACAAATCTTCAATCTAACATAAAGTAAAGAAAAGGCCTAACCCTCCCTAAGGTAGTACTGTAAAGCATACCTGGCATTGGGAACCTTAGAAGCTACCGGTAAGTGTACCCGGGAAGTGTACCCGGGAAGGCTTTAAAACCGAATGCATATTTGAAATGTGCATTGAAACAGTAGGCTACAAAACCTTTTCCTGCATTTAGGCTACTCCTTGGGCAGTTGCCACTATGGGGCGCTGTAGAGTAGCCCGGTTACCAAAGACGCAGGCCATACATCGCTTGGTATATTTGCTTTCATTTGAGTAAAGAGTGATGATGGTCTAGGCCTATAACAGAGATATAGACTAATTCCTCTCGCACGTATTGGCGATAATCAAGTATTAATTTAAGAACCGAAACGTCATCGATATCCATTATTCATTATGGATTCAGCATAATCGTGAAAAGTCATGTCCCGTGCCGTCCCATTTCTAGGACCATTCTTCATGAGCGCACTCCACTTTTGTCGATAGCGATAAACTTAGCTCCAGGTGTGATCAGCCAAATCGTGTCTCGCTCGGTCCGCATTGACCTTTCCACGGTGATCATAGCAGAGACCTGCGATACCAGCCCCCCACATTGCGCCGCACTCCCACATGACAATGGCAAGGTCCCACAACTCCATAATTTTCTGTCCATGGGGATAGGCCAGGTCAGCTGCGAGAACAGTTCCGACGAACTCGCTCTCAGTGGGAAGAGTATCACCACCCTTCACGTAAGCGAGAACAGGGTCGACCAAGTGCTCAACAACGGAGCGAGTCTCCGGCAACATGTCGCCAGAAACAAGGTCCTTGAGACGGGCTTCAGCGCTAGAGAGAGGACCGTTGCCACGCTCGACCCTGGTACCGTTGGCACGGAAATGCTCAAGCTCCGGTCGTCCTTCCGGCATGATAGGGGCAATAGCCGCGTTGACATCAAAGTCAGTCCGACCAAGGAGAGTGATGGGGCGATGGCGGCAGTTGGAGAGTTGCCACCAGTGAGTGAACAAAAGACAGAGAGCTGCTGGGTTGTAAGGATCATTGTTTCGGTACCAGATCATAGCACCAATCAAGCGTGCGTAAACCTCAGACAGCGGTCCTTCCTCCAAAGAGCCACGAGTCAAAGAGGGAATGATGTTGCTAACCTCTCCACACATCATATCAGGTCCAAGATCAATCCAGTCGTGCGCAACACAGCCAAGACCAGCGATGGCAGCCATCTGCTCGCCACCACCAGAGTCATAGTAGACGTGGCAGAACACAGCATCGGCGAGTTTGTAACGAGCAAGGCGATCGAGGTCATTCCAGACAACCATGCACGGGGCAGAATCAATGGGGTCATCATCCTCGATGATGGTTTTCTGGCGCAAACATCCGTAGTTGCATCCCTTAACAATCCGGATGTCGTCGATATGAGGGCCAGCAGAGGCAGATGCTTCAGCAGAGGCAGTCACTTCAGCGAAAGCAAATGAAAGTCTGTCCGAGACCGCAGAGTTGTGAACACCGATGGAGTAATCAAGAACAAATGCAGAGTCCATGATAGCCCACAGGCCGGAGATAGATCCGCCGTAAACGCCTCGATTGTAACCGCAAGACATACTGTAAATACTGCAATTCACAAGAGGACCTTCGCACAGCTCTGCGGCAAAGAGGTCATCCGTAACCTGATCTGGAGAGTCTGCTACGCCACTCAGTTTCGGAGCCAGGGGCTTGCGAGCAGTTGGCCAAGTGGGCATCTCAACCTGGCGCACTTCGGCAAAGTCAAGGCGCTCGGTCTGGCCAGTGGTGACGACCTTGTCACGAGCTTGCAAAAGTACAGAGGAGTCGGCCAGTAGGCCAACTGCACAGTCGACGGCATCTGCAACGCGTGCGTTACGCAACCAAGATATGCTCGACGCGGCACCAAGCACTCCTTTAGTCAGGTCAGTGTCGGCACGACGGGCCACGTTGACAGTTGTCGTCAGAGTATCATTCTCAGAATCGTACTCCTGTGAGAATTTGGGCGTGCCGGGTTCAATAGGACTGATCCCATGGGTCTTTAGTGACCAGCACGCTGCGCCGTGTGGGGAGTTTCTCACAGCCCCTTCACCACGGACGTGAACCGTATTCCAGGTAGAAGTAAGGCGGACAGTGGCATTGGGATCTTCAGCAGAGACCTCGTCGGTGCGATCACCCCAGTGAGAGACGACGGGAATACAATCGAAAGCGGGCGAGCGACTCAGGCCACCGCTGACGACTAGACCAGGAAGTAGGTCGGAGATGGGTTGTTCAGCACCCCGGACTGAAAAGGGCCGGTTGAGTTCATTGGTGCGAGCAAGGATCTTGTAGAGCCGGGACTTGTTATCGACGGAGTGTCGAGCAGCAGCCTTCTTGTCACGCAGCTCCAGAGGCGAGACCTCGGCGGTGTTGGAAATGAAGTCAGTCACATCGCGACAGGAGATCCGCTTGTTGAAAGAATGCTGGTGGTCAGCACGGGGATCAACAAGCCCGCCCCTCAGGGCGATTTCGGGAAGCTCATCCACCCGAGCGATGTAAGGCATGTTCGGTCAAGCACACAATGTGAAGATTCAGTTTTTACGTATCAAGAAAGGGCGATCGATGAATCGCATTGTTGATATCCTTCTTTTTCTGCTCGCGAACAGCATATTTATATTTTTTTAGTCGTTGCAGGTTGTCTCGAACCTCTATACTTGTCAGTGGACCATTGTTAATCACCAGAAGCCGGGTTATAGTCTGGAAGAACATGCTGATTGGGCGGCATATTCTTCCTGGGGCTTTGATCAGGATTTAGCATTGAAATGGTTACACATTTTGCATTCCACAGCATTGCAATTGAGTGCATTGCTGCTGCATCTTATGCTGTACCAACATGAATACTAGGATTCGGTTCGTGAGCTCGGTAAATCTTCCTATCGCGAATAAGAATTCCTGTACCTGGACACAGATTCGTTAGATAGATCCGAAACGTAGTTCCTGCGGGGTACATATAGTGTAACGTGGCGCAGATTTGTGCAACCCCGAAACTCCAGGGCTGGCACGTGTAGATATTTTACATGGCCTGACCGATCTTGTGTTACGTCAATTCCATTCTTTTGGCTAGTCTCCGATTTGAGTTTACTGAAGCTAAGTTCATTTAAACGATCTTGGCCACAACGCTAATAACAACTAAACCTTGACTCTGGTTGGCATAGAAGCTAAACATTCAACGACGCAAAACAAAAACTATAGCCAGAATGATATAATCCAATTATAATGTTTTTCGTAACCGGTTTTACTCCATTGGGTTCACTTTCTTGCTATTTCTGTATGATTGCTGGTGTTACCTGAGGATGATGTACAGATGCATATCGACTCAACATGAGCCACTCGCCTCAGATCTTGCATTGAACTATTGAAGAGGCTTAAGCAAACGTGTCCGCAAACAATCCATACATCTGACAAGCAAACATGATTTTGTGCTCAAGCCCTTCCTACTCTCTATGAACTATGGAAGCCGTTCAAGTGACTGGTCGGCTAGCACCCTGCGCATATGAGACGGACGATCGTCACAGCTTGCCTTCTGGCACTCGCCATTAGCGAGCTCGTTTTCGATGGGTCCAAAACATAGCTCCCTAGAGTAAGCTGACTGTTGTGTCACAACTTTCAGTCCTTTTAGAAGATCATTTTTTGATGGTCTGATGCACCATCCATTGTAAATCAAAAACCTGCTCAGCAGACAAAGGACCAAGCGTTGAGATATCAGATGCGGAAATGAGCGTCTTTGTCAGCTCTTGTCGAGCTTTGGGTGGTCTTAATAAATGCAAGATATGCCACTCGGTCCTCTTCCCTTTCGTTGGTGAGGATTTCTGGTCTCTGAGGCTAAGTTTTTCACGTAAATTCACAATTCAGAGAGGTATAATAACTCCATCCTTTTGAACTCTTGGCGGGTATCCTCCTTTATATTAACACTTGAGGATCGGAGTCACTTTTTCAAACTTTCAAGGCGACAATTCTGTTAATTGAATTAACCTTGCTGGTGTGAATTGTCGCATCGAATCAATATACTTCTCCATGGTGACGTCATACTAGTCTATTTACTTAAGGGGACTTTTAGCACTATGAGACAACTTTATGTTGGTGAAACTTCTTATTCATATTATCTGCGACAATTTAATTCCTTGTCTTCATTTGCTTGCATTCATTCCAAGTAATATACGCCGATTACCATCGATCTCGGCGAATTGATGGAGATTCTCAGGAATATCCTCGGACAATTCCCGAGCATTTGATTCGACGACAAAGTACATCTTGGCAGGCACCTTTACCATAAACTTCTTAGTGGCAATACCTCCACATCCGGAGGAAAGCACTAAGACTTTAGTCTTTATATCTGTCCGAGGAAGCTCCCCGTTCACTCCACCCCGTTCACTACACCCCGAATGCTAAGAAAAAAAATGCCCGAAGATAGCGCGACTAAAGGCCGCTTGTGCATAACGAAGCCCATTATAAGAGAACGACTCCGCGTGTTTGAATGTATTGTCTTCTAGAATACCCCACGACACAAGATCAATCAAGATGAAGATGAAGTCGAGCGTCATTTTGGGCGCGGCACTTTCTGTCGCCCCGGTGCGGGGACAACATACCCTCACAGCTGAGTCAATCCAGAAGATGGGCAATAATACTCTCTTCGAGCGTTGGAGGCCAACCTCCCATTTTCTTGCGCCGGCAGGATGGATGAATGTAGGAAGTCCTTTTCAAGGGGATATTGGTCGAACGATACTAATTTAATAGGATCCGTGTGGTCCGATATTTGATCCTGTACGTGGACTCTACCATCTTCAGTATCAATTCCATCCAAATCATATCAGCTGGGGTATGACATACCCATTCCAACTCATTCAATCTATAATCTAACTTCCTTAGGTAATGTCTCCTGGGGCCATGCCACCAGTCCGGACCTGATAACTTGGACCGACGTTGACCACCACGACAACGACATTCCAGCTTGGAAAGATTCCGAAGCGCAGTCTATCGGAACAACCAATTCCACAGGCAGTGGCAAGCACAATCCCGCCCTATACAACCACCTCGCCATCTTCTCCGGCGGTGCCCAGCCCGTCAATCTATCCGGTGAGGTCGACGGCACAATCCTACTCTTCTACACCGGCGCCTCGAGCTTGCCAACAGCATGGAACACGCCCTACGCTCGCGGAACAGAAAGCCAGGCGCTCGCGTACTCCACTGATGGCGGGAAAACATGGGAAGATTACAAGAGCAACCCAGTGATCAGTGAGCCACCAGAAAATTGGAACGTCACTGGCTGGCGTGATCCATATTTCGTCTCGTGGCCAGAGCTGGACAAACTCCTCAACGCGACCGAGCCTCACTTCTATGCCGTACTTGGCTCTGGCATCCGCGAAGTCGGTCCGCGTATTCCTCTATACAAAGCTAAAGCCTCTGATCTCACGGACTGGACCTTTATGGGTGCGCTTTGGGAACCGGAGAAGAATACTTCTCTAGGTAGTATCGAGGAAACCGGATCCTACGGATTCAACTTCGAGCTGTCCAACTTCTTCTCTATTGGTGATCGCTACTTCGTCAGCATGGGTGCAGAGGGAGGCAACGTGAGTTTCCACCAGAACAAGTGGTCTTTATGGAATGAGGGTACAATCTCCGTCCGTTCGAATGGGAGCATTGCTTTTGAACCAGTATCCGGTGGTGCCAGTGATTGGGGCTTGTTATACGCAGTAAGCTTCCAGCATGAAAACTCTCACAAATTTCAATATCCTAACTCGTTCAGATCTCATCTTTCAACGACACAAAGAACAACCGCCGCATCCAATGGGGCTGGGCGCAGGAAGATCTCAACGACTTCGGCGCCGTTCAACAAGGTTACCAAGGCGCCTTCGCTCTACCCCGAGAAGTCTTCATTCAAGACACTCTGAACGTGCTCCGCGACTCCCCGTCCAAAGTCACTACCCTCGGCAACGCACGCTTCTTCAAAAACGCCAATGGAACATGGACAGCCAGCACACTGGGCGTCCGACCAGCGCCCGATGTCGTAAAGGGTCTGCAGCACGGCTCAAACCACACAAAATACCCCTGCAACGCACGAAGCTGCAGGACAAACCAGATCAAACTACCGAACCACCTCTCCAACTCCTACCAACTCAGTCTGAGCATCAAGAGCACCACCGGCGTGGCGGGTATCACAATCGGGGCATCGCCTGATCGTGAAGAGTACACGAACATCTACTTCGATCCATCGAATAACACAATCGGTGTCGACCGCGCTCATTCATCTCTTATCAAGGAATTCACAAATTACACTCATGCGGGATATTTCAAGCCGTATCAGATTGCACAGAAGAACACTTCTCCTGTGGCCGAGACTATTGATCTAACGATCTTTGTGGATGGCTCTCTAATCGAGGTTTATGCCAACGATCGCTTCGCATTGACGAGCCGGATTTATCCTAGTCGCGAGGATAGTACGGGCATTTCCTTCTTTGCCGGAGAGGGTGCTGATGTCGAGTACTCTAGGCTTGAGATTTGGGATGGGTTGCTTAATGTTTGGCCTGATCGGCCGAGGAATAGTAGCTCGCTGCTTGTTTTTGATACGCCTGCTGAGACGGGCAATTATACTTGGTGGGCTGGGAATTAATGAGTCCAGGCAAGTCCAGGGTTACGATTGGTGATTGTGACTTGATTGACTCTTTGGGAGTCAGTAAGACTATTTATCAATTACCAGTAATATATACTTCATCTTTTCATGTCAATAAGTGGATGGCTTGTCTTTGGTTCATGTAAATCATCTTATACTACAAGTTCCTCCCTGTGTGCACCAGGGAGACCAATAACTCCAGCTTAGCAGCACATACATGCGAGTTACTATACAAAATCAAAAAAGAGAACCATTTATCAATTCCGGGTATATGCATATCCAATGCCAAAAAAAAAGAAAATCATATCAAGTCTCCGCAACCCTTGGTTCGTCCTGAGTCAAAGGACTAGTAAATCACGTCGAGACCCCTCATCTAAGACAAAGAAATCTTCGGCCTCTTATTATTCAAACCCGGCTTAAAGCCCGGCGCAGGCCTCGAGCGCTTCCGCTCATTAGCCTCCATCTCAGCCTTCATAATCCTCTCCTGCTCAGACATTTTCTTCGGTGCCGCCAGAACAGACCCCTTCTTCCCGGCCAACGGATTTTTCTTCGGACCAGACGCAAACACATTCTTCGGCTTCTGCGCCCCAAAGGACATTGAGATCTTCGGCGCGGCGGGTGGATCAGCGGGGGAATCCGCCGGCACAGCAGGCGTAGCTGTATCTGTAGCTGTAGCCGTGGCCGTGGCCGTGGCAGTATCTTCAACTGGAGCATTCGCCGAGTACGCAGAAGTATCACCAACAACAACACCCTCAGCCTTAGCCGCAGGTTGCTGCTGCTTGGCCCCAAATCCAAAATCAAGCTTAACCTTCTCCCCATCATGCTGCAACATCTTCTCCTCAGACCTCGCCTCCTTCTCCTCCGCCTCCAACCTCTCCCTGGCCTGCTTCTGCGCCCGCTCAACCTGCTGCCGAATAGCCTTCTGCTCCCGCTCCTCATCACCCTTATCCTGCCGTTCCTTCTTAAGCAGCGCCTCGCGCTTCCGCAACGTCTCGGGCGAATTATCAATCCAGGCAATATGCAGCCCCTTCTCCGTGTCGTCGACTTTGCAGATTCCCTCTTTGCCTAGGTATGCGACGTATTGCGTGAGGGATTTCCATTTCGTTGCGTTTAAGTGAATGTGTGATTTGTCGCGGATGATTTCTGCAAAGCAAGCATTAGCATTATCCTTGCCTGGCCTTGCCTGACCTCGGCCACAGGCTGCGGGGTTCACTAACCTTGATAAAAGTGATTAGCATGTATACTCTTCGTACCATGCGCCGTACGAAGCGTATCGATAAAATTCTTCGAGAAATCCCGACTAAAGCTCTCGATATGCGTCTTCGAGTCTTCGCCAATCAGCATCATTTGGCGGACGTGGGATTCGCTTTGAACGTGGCATTTGAAGCCGTTTTCGTCCGGGCATTGTTTTTCGCAGGCTTGGCAGTACCATCTGTTACGGGGATTGAATTAGCTTGTGTTGCCTTCGGAGAAACAGTAGAACAGGTAGCGGGGAGCGAGCGGAGGTGCTGTGTTGCGCTGCGCTGGCGAGCGAGAGACTTACCGCAGTCGGCCAAGGCCTTTCCTTCTGCTGGCGTTTGCGATGGCTTTTGTTGAGCCGGCTTCTGCTTTGGGCATTTTGGTTTGTGATTTGAGTAGGGTAGAGTGAAGGAAGTTGAAAGTTGGAGAATGGTTGAAGGTGAAAGTCCGCGATGGCCGATGCTTATCTCAGGCGGTGGCGATAAGAGTCTGCACGTGATTGATATTGAGTGGTGGAAAGCCCTACAATGGCAATGGCAATGGCAATAAACATGAGCCCTATGATTGAATGACTACTGTAATACTCAGTCTAGAGGAAAGCAGTGAGGTAGATAATGTCATTGCTAAGAGGTAAGCGTATCTACCATCGAGCCAGGCCGATTTCCATGTTGCGGCTATGAGAGGCAAGAGAATCGGCGGGCTATTCTCTGTCCGGGGAGATTCCCACTTGAAGTCCGGTGGCCCATCATACATGAAAAAAACAAAGGTCTGGTCGCATTTCCCAGGAAATCTCCGATCTAAAACAGAAAAGAAATCTCGAATGAAGGGAGCCCGAATAAAGTGGAGAAAAATACAACACAAAGGAAATCAGAAAAAAGCCGGACAAACCAAAGGGTAGGTATGTCAACTCCATGCGCCAAAGGAGATCTTTTTTTCGACAAGAGATGATGAGAGATGATGAGTGTACTCGAAATCGAAATCGAAATCGGCGGAGAGAAAAAAGAGATCATCGAAAAGAAGATGGGAAAGATTCGAAAAAAAAAAAAAAGATCGCTGAGTCGTACATTCATGCGCGCCGGAAAACAAACGCCTTGCCCTTCTCGCTCGCACTCGAGGTGCACGCCATGGCCGCTGCTCATGCGATGCAGAATTCGCCCATGCCCTCGGGGCCAAATTCGTTGTATTCGGTCCGAGACATGAAGGTCTTAAGTTGGCCTTGATCGATCACGAAGAAGACCTTGGCACAGACCTGGGCGCCCAGGAAAACTGCTTCCTCAGGGCCGTGTCCGCCCCGGGAGGTGCTTCCAGGACCCGAGGTGGCGCCGGGAGCATTGCTGTTCGGACGGCCCTTGAACTCTGAGTTGTATTCGGGGAATTTGGTAGCCTTGATGACGGTGGGTCCTTGGAAGTGACCGGCTCGGTGCTGCTGGCCTTGGTCCATGCCAGGGGTGCCGGGAGCAGTAGGCATCCCGGGATTGTTATGCGTGGCAGCGACCAGAAGGGGATTCACTCCGTGAGCAGCAGGATGGTGTTGCAAGCCTGGTTGGGGTTGGCCCGGGCCAATTTGGGCGGGCGTATTGGTTCCGCCGGTGGGGAGAGGCGTGGAGAAGGTGGATGGAATTTCCGAGGTGAAGATGGAGGCGGAGGGAGAGTTCAAGAACTTCTGCGAAATCGCCCCGAGAAGAGCCTGGTTGAAACCTGTGGGATGGTTAGCTAGGTTCAATATAAAAACATGTGATCGGGGGAAGCTTACCTCGGACTCTGCTGCCGGCTCCCACGATGATAATGTTGCTCCACAGTTCGTTTCGCTTATCGTTGGGGCAGCAGTTGATCGCGTATTGAACCTGGGATGCAATATCTTCCAGAATGCCATTGCTAAGGAGAGGCCCGGCACGTTGGCGCGGAGTTGCTGCCAGGAAACGCTCGACACCAACGGTGATCTCTCGGGTGTTGCGCTTGTAGCGCTTGGAGCCACCAGCTTGAGTATCGTTCTCCATCTCAACGAACTCTTCGAACTGGAAAGAAGCCCGCTCCTTCTGAGCGTTGGGCTGCTTGGGATCAATCTTCTTACCGGTTGACTTATCCTTCTCCATGTTTGCGAGATACTCGGAGGTGTCGCCACTGACGATGGCCGCAACATCCAGAACACCCTCATCCGTTCCGTTGTTTTCGGAAGCACCCTCGGTTCGGGGAAAGTTACCGCCAGCTGACTCTCCAGGAGGGATAGCGGGGGTGCTTTGGTGAGCGGTGGCTGCAGCGCCGGGAAGAGGAGTTCCAGGGGGAAGAATCTCAGCGATATCGCTTCTCTTGAGTTGCTCACACATCTCGCGAGTGAAGCCCTTCGATCCGAGAAGTTCAAGGAGGCGATCAGTCATGGCATCACCGCCACATCCAGAGAGAGCGATGCCTCGACCGTACCTCTGAGGGACAGAGTTGATGACCGCGCTCACATCAGTCTTGGTCTTGCCAACGTCGATGACAAGGGCAGTTAGAACGCCGTAGCCCCATGCGACAGAGAGGGCAGCATCCACATACGCGAACCCCGGGGTGCTGAAATGTTCGAAGACAAAACGGGTGATTTCCTCTCGGTCAGTCTGGGTCCAGCTGGGCTGGGCGACGATGAGAACGGGTGTGTGGAGCGGGGGGGCTGAGCAGGTTGTAGACATGCTGGATGAGGGCGAAGAAGGCGTTTCGGTTCACAATGCGGCCATCCCGGATGGGATAGACGGCGCCCTCGTCGGACATCACATCTTCCTCGTAGATGACCTCTTGCGCGGGCTCAGTCTCGGCCTTTTCGGCACCCTCGACAGTTTCCTCGCGAGGAGCAGAAGCTCCATCGTCCTTCATTTCGACATCCTCCTTGGGAGGCTGTCCAGACGCGCCGGGAATGCTGGTAGGAGCGGTGGTAGAGGTAGAAGGTGTGGTGACCTTGCGGATGCGATGAGGTTCGTACTCGCCCGGCTTTTCAGCTGGGAACATGCGCGTCTGCAGGCGAAGCTTGGCTGGGCAGTATGCCTCCGGGAGACCGAGTTGCGCGAGGGTCAATTCAGAACCGGGCGCGATGAGCTAGCAAGTGTCAGTTAAATTTCCATAGCAGATAGTCGAGATTTGACGCACCACGAGGTGTTCATCTCTGAACGGAGCCATTGGATGGGCTTCCCGACCAGGGTAGATGAAATAATCAAGGGGGAGAGGTGGATTGCGACGGGCGAATTTGCGTTCACCGGGGAGGAGTCCGCGAGATTTCTGAGCAGATTGAAGCTGTTCGCGAGATTCCTGGGCGCGAGCTCTCCCGCGCTGATTACGAGAGACTTGCTGTCTCGTAAGTGGCCTGGTGTCGGAGCGGTGTTACTTTTAGCCGAAGTGGCGTCGGTGGCTGGTTTATCCGAGATCCGTTCCGAGGTCAGTTTGTCCGGGTGGGGCGTGCATGAGTGCTTATGTCAGGCAGAAACATCACGTCAAACACGTCACGTGTTGCTATCCGTTTGTACGCGCTCTTTAGCCCCCCCCAATAGTACAGACTCCAGCGTACTACATATTTTCACATTCACTGCTAGTAGTATACAATATATCTATCTATCTAATTTTTAAGTTACTTAGACATTCACAGCTAAAGCTTGATAATAATGTCGCTTTCCTACCCCCGCCCGCGCCCCCGCTCTAGTTTCGGCGGAACCTTTTAACTCTTTGTCTCGACTCCCGAGATATAGTACTACTAGTAGTATTTGCAATAGCACTTTATTCTCTCGGGATGGAACTTGAATACTACTACTATAACATCATAATATTTGGATTCAACTTGAATTATTTCCTCCTAGGCACAAAGTAGGTACATTTGTAGTTTTTTAAATAATTAAGGATTTAAACCTTAGGCTGTCAAGGATCGAGGTAAATCTGATCTATATCCCACCCAGGCAGTCGTGCAACCTATCCACTCATCTATACTATCCCAGTCGCATGAGTGCCCATTCAACCTGTTGCGGCTATGGGGATCGATGTATTCAGCAGTTGTCGTGGACAAAGGCAGTCACATGACCCTATACTACACGATCTTCTACACTCACGAGGCCAAAGAGATAAGGAGACCACTGATGAATGCCAGCTAAGGCCAAGGAACGATCGGATAGAACGAGATATAGGACGAAGTGATTAAGGAGGTCAAACCTCCCAGAGCAAGAACGGAAGCGTTCTACTAGTAGACTGATCTACCCAGTGTTTCTGAATAGCAGGAAGTACTACTTAGTTGGCTCCAGTATACCAGTAGTACTCAGCCGCAGGCCTCAATAGAGACAGTCTATCGATATGGAACCTTGTCAGTTGATGCTTTGGAAAATGAATTATCTTCGTATTCTAAGCCTCTAGTGTGTACTAGAATTTTGATGCAGTCTATGCTAGGAGTGCTACTACTAATATATCTATCGACTCCGAGTCTACCAGGCTTGATTGTTTGATCGATTACCTTATACCCAAGGTAGGGTATTAGTATTAGTAGTGCTTTTATTAACAATCAGTGCCAGTATACCTGTATGCCTGCCTCAATTATATCTCTAACTGCCCTAGACACCTTCCGTAGAGGTTTGTTTACTTTTCTTAATACTCATTGACTACTACTACTACTATTACTACCTCTCCATTGTTCTTTCTTCTTCTTCATCCCCCCCGATTGCAGTGATGATTCAAAGTTTCCTGAAAGGGAGACAACTCTTCTCGATAATTCTACTTTTCTATCATATAACAATTTTCAACTTTACTCCCTTCGCCTGGGCATATCCTTTCTTCAACCCGCTCGATCCACACTCTCAATACGAAGATCAAGGCCCTGCATCGCCGAAGGGCAGAGAAGAGGCCGACGGTTCCTCGAGGACCTAAAGTCACTGGTAGGCGGATTTAATTTCATTTCACGAAGAATGGAATGTAGAGAGATTTTTACTAACACAATTCTAGTACAAATTTCTCAAGATATGATACACGATGTTGGGGACCTTGACTTCTTCGGGATTCGAAGTGTGACCCGCGACCCCATACGATCGATCACCGTACCATTCCAGAATTTGCCATCATAAGACGATCGCAGACCTACGAAAGCAAAATGGACCGACGACTTTGCTTACAAGAAATGCCGCTACGATCTCACGCACATGTGCCAAATATTCCGGGAGGAAAACTCCAAATGTTTTCGCCGTCGATGCCACAAGCTTCAACCACTTGGAGAAAATGTGCCAGCTTGTTAGCATGCGGTCAGAGCAGCCTTGGCTGATCCCGGGGATTTTGATTTGAACAATTTACCACAGCATCAGTGGGAAGATACTGTTCTAGGACAAATGCCACCCTACATACCCAATCGCAGAGTCAAGCACAGCTTTTTAACCACATGCGGAGCCGAAATCCGGGAAACAGAAGATCAATACCTACTTCTCCCGCACTAGTCTAGCATCCGCTGGTGATGATAACCAGGCTGGAGATGCTCAAGAATCGAGTGAGGAGAAGGAGAAGGAGAACCTCCTTCGTGGGCCGAAGTCACAGGTGAGCAAATCCAATTCCAACAGAAAAGATACCATATGGGTACTATTAGATCGATCTTCAGAGCCCCCTCCCCCCAAGCCGCCTACTCTCCAATGCGCCCAGAAGACCTCCCCCCCGCTCCCCCATGGCCTGCCCATCTGGGAGGAGATGGACAAGTTTGAGGAGCTGTGATGGGCTGTGATGAGATATCGTGACAATCTACACTCTCAGCACGACTATTTTACTTTGCACATCGCTACCATCGCCGAGGGACATGCCCTTTCGATTTCGCCAAATGACCTAGAGGATGTTGTTCTTTGTGTTGAAGACATAACGCAGGAACAATTAAACTTCAATCCGGGTTCCCTTCCTAAAGGCCTGGCTACACTCTCTTATCTCATCACCAATCTCGTCCATCTCTCCTTTGCTTGATCGGTATCACTTTCATTACAATGGCACGAAGGCCTGCACCTCAGTCACCGCACCGCCTCTGCTCTCTTATTCTGCTGATGAGGACTTGATGCTGGTGAGGATTATGATATCAAGATGTACCGTAGTAACCACATTCAAGTTGATCTCGGGGAGACTCCGTATACTTCTATCACCTCCTCGTCCGCGGTGTAAGTTCAAGCCTCTAAAAAAACGAAAAATCAAAAGAATATAAATCGGCATCCGCATCAAGACGCAGACATAATAAATTGACCGCCCATAAACAAATGCTATAGAATGTGCAAACCTAAGCCAAGACTCCCATCAACCCAATCCAATTCAATCCAACTTGAATCCGTCAAACGCCCATCCATTTTCTCTATGACCAGCATAAATTCATCCATGGCGTCTATCCGCCTACTCCGGTCCCTGATTATACTTCTCCGTCGCAGACCGGAACAATTCCTGCTGCTGTCGGAGCAATTCCTCCTCAGAAAGTCCACTCTGCTCCATCTTGCTCTGTTTCTTCTCGCGGGACTGCGCAGCACAAACACGTTAGCATTTCCATCCATTCATTGGGCACTTCTCCGCTGTCGCGACATACCTTCAACTGCTCCTTATGATCCTCCGCAACGGCGAGAATATCCGGAACATACTCGGCAAAACCAAGCTCTTTCAACGCCTTCTCGACATGCTCACAGGCGATGGTCTTCTTGGCCTCTTTCTCGCTTATCTCGTTCGCTTCCGAGGAAATCAGTGTGATGAATTCAACACAACATTCCATAAGCAAGTCGCGCGCGTCCTTGGAGAAGGTTTGGCCCGATGATGGGGGTAGGATCTCGGTGATGATTTTCTGGACCGTCGCTGTGATTGGAGTGTTAGTCGGAGTTCCACTGTTGGGTACGCTCACGCTCGATCAACACGGTACGAACCTTTTGGAAGCGACAAGTCGTCGTTGGCTGTGGGAGGAAAGTTAGTAAACGCGACACAGCACCGCAGCACAGTAATACGCCAACTGCGGAAGTAGAGCAAGGCTTCCAGCTCCGCCGGACTCACAGTTAAATTCTCGATCCGACATGGTAAATATACCCGGGGCAACGTTCAGAGAATGCGAATGCGAATGAATAGACCCTCCGAGAAAGCAGAGCCGAGACTGAGTGGATGGTGGGTGGTTGAGTGAGTGGAGAGTGGCCCCGTCTGTGGCAGAAAAAAGGTTCCCTGACCGCTTTGCGGATTACTTCAAGGAAATTTTTCCTGCTTCAGTTCTTCTCTTCTACACAACTCCAATTCATTCAACTCGGCTCTCCTCGAGTGAATCGAATCCTCTTAATGTTGAGCGATTGATTCCTCGGGGATACTTCACTAATGGTAAGCTTCCTTTGCTCTGCTCTGCTCTCCTTTCCTCCCCTGCCTGCAATGCACTGCTCCGTGCAATGCATACCCTCTACATGATGAACTTTTGTTGTCGCCCCTATCATACAAAACCGTGGTGATTTACCTGTCCTAGCCAAACGGACTAGCTGAAATGAAAAATTCAAATCTCTTTGATTTTCACTCAAGTTGTGAAGTTTCTCTCGCTAACTTGTACAAAAGACTCAGGGCTATCAATACATCACATCACAACATCGCCAGTCGGCCAACCAGCCGAACAACCAGCAATCACAATCACATTAATACATCCCGAGATATTTCTTTTGTTTCTGCTTCTATAGGTATGCGAGACCCAATACAATTACACTCTTCTCTTCCACCCATTTTTTGTATGATGAACCTCCTACATTCCATGCTAAGTATGAAGGTGTTTCACCACCTGATGCTTATAAAATGTAAATGCTTTTCATCTTTCGGCTGATTACAACCCATGCCATTACACATTGTTCGCATTCATTACTTTGGCCGCATCATACTAATTGATGTACAGAAACTTCCCAGTTTAGTCTTAGTCTTAGTCTTAGTCCGGGCCGCACGAGTGCATCCATCGGATCACCCGATATAGCATAATACCCTCTATAATCAATGCAAATGCACTTAAATCAAAATCTAACTTCTACTTCGTACATACAATCCGTTTCAAGTTGATAAATCATTCCTGGAACGCCCCCAATTCCTGATCATTCCACCTGCAAGAAGAAGGAAAAGTCAGCACAAAGCTCCACACTTCTCTCAAGCCCAAGCTCAAGCTCAAGCTCAATCCACCCATCAAAAACAAAACAAGGAAAAAAGAACCAATCCACTCACGAAAGAAACTTCCCACTCAGTCCCGCCGACGCATCAAGCACAAGTTTACCCATAACATGGCCAGGCTGTTCAACCCTGAGTAACTTGCCATCCTTATGCACCCCCGTAAACTTAGCATGCATCTCCGCATCCAAACTAGTCGCATGATCCTCGCGGAGTTCACGCTGCATATTCGTATCGACCATTCCGGGACGAATGGAGACGGAAATCACGTCCGGTTCTTCGGCCGCTAGACTCATTGCGAAATGGTTCATTGCTGCCTTTGTCGCGCCGTATAGGGCCCATCCTCTGTATCCGGTTACTGCGGCGCCGGAGGAGGTGAAGATTATTTTTCCGTGGGTGGTGCGGAGGTGTGGGAGGGCTGCTTTTGTCTGTTTGGTGGGAGGATTAGCTTGATCTGGGGAATCGCGTTTATGGTTATTGCCATGACCCCGGTCCTGTCTGGTCCAGTGCAGTCTGGTCCAAGTGAGGCTGTATAGGTATGCATGCATGCACGGTATGCCGGCCCGGGGGGAATCGAATCGGAGATGGGTGCTGAGTGCGGGGATGGTTCGGAGGGAGCAACGTACAAAAGCAACCAAACTAATAAAATTGACATCAAAGCCAGCTTTCCATTCATCCGTACTGGCGACATCAATTTTACCAACTTGACCAAGAACACCATGGTTCAAGACCATTCCATCCAAACGGCCGAAAGTAGATACAGCAGCGTCGACGGCCTTTTGCGCGAGACTAAAGTCTGCCAGGTCCCCGTTGACCACTTCGACCTGCTTTGGGTATTTTTCTTTCAGGGCTTGGAGCGGGGCGAGGGTTCGGGCGACGACTACAACGTTGTGTGGTTGCGGGGTTGTGAGGAGGTATTCTGTAATGCAGAGGCCGATGCCTGTTGCGGTTGCGATTGGGATTGGAATTAGCTGGGAGCGAAGGGGAGGAGGGGGGACTGGTGGGGGGAATTACCTCGAGAGGCACCAGTTACGATGATTGTCTTCGACATTGGGTCTTTTGGTGAGCGTGAAGGAGGAGGTGGAGGTGGAGGGAAGTTGTCGAGGGAAGCTCCAAGAAGAAGCCGAGGAAGTGCGGGGCTTAATAATCTCCGCGGCGGTTGGACTGCGGTCGGTTACATGGGATTGATAGCACTACAGAGTATAGAGAGATGAGATACAGGGAGAGTGTTTTAATGAAAGCCAATTTCAATTCATTGGCAGTTATCTAGTCGTACCTATTAATTTAGTATCACATATCGCATTATTCCCAGTTGCGATTCTCCTCTCTTATTCCAGAGTTGGTACTGAATCGAGTATTCCATGATATACCACCTCAATTCAATTTTGAATTTCATTATTTCAATATTCATTGGTCATTTCAATTTTCTTTCTGTTCTACTAGATTTGCTATACAATGCCTATACTATCCATGAACTATAGTATACTAGTATATTCTACTGCTTATACTGATATCGGAGGAACAATTCTCCGCAGAGCTCCCCGGACGCTGAGTCATCCATGGAGCTCTCCAGAAACTTCAGGCATTCGCGATATCAAATCAACGCCTCCCCCATCTCATCGCCATCGCCACCTCCATCTGCGCCCACCTCACCTCACCTCCGAGTCCCCGCGCTATCCTCTGATCTCCCGCTTTTCCTTCTCCCTCTCGACCTCCACCCTCCACCTCCGCCATGGCCAACTATCTCGCCTCCATCTTCGGAACCGAGCAAGACAAGGTCAACTGCTCATTCTACTACAAAATCGGCGCCTGCCGTCATGGAGACCGCTGCTCCCGCAAACACGTCAAGCCCTCCTACTCGCAAACCGTCCTGATGCCCAACATGTACCAGAACCCCGCCTACGACCCCAAGAGCAAGATGAACCCGTCCCAGCTTCAGAATCACTTCGACGCCTTCTACGAAGATGTCTGGTGCGAGATGTGCAAGTACGGCGAATTGGAGGAACTGGTTATCTGTGATAATAACAATGACCGTAAGTCTTTCTTTTCCCCTGGTCTCCTCCCTCCCCTCTGCCAGCCTGGCCTGGCCTGGGCTGGGCTGTTCTTCTCTTCTCCGCGTACCCTACCTCCAACTCCAACTTATACTAACAAATCTTCAACTGAACAGACCTAATCGGCAACGTCTACGCTCGCTTCAAATACGAAGAAGACGCCCAAGTAGCCTGCGACACGCTTAATTCCCGCTGGTACGCAGCGCGACCGATCTATTGCGAGTTATCGCCCGTGACGGACTTCCGCGAAGCCTGTTGTCGACTGAATAGCGGTGAGGGCTGTGTGCGCGGTGGATTCTGCAATTTCATTCATCGCAAGGACCCCGGTCCGGAGCTCGATAGCGAATTACGGAATAGTACGAAGAAGTGGCTCCGGGAGCGTGGTCGTGATGCGAGAAGTGTGACCAGGAGTCCTAGTCCTGAACCTACTCGGCGGAGATACTGAGCGAAGCGGTGCAATGCAGTGCAGGGCAGTGCGGTGATATGGTAGTGCTGCTTCTGCTGCGTGGATGGAGTTGTGTTTCCTTTTGAATCTGGACAAAATTCCGCATGGGTCTTTTTTCTTTTCTTTTCTTGATCTTTTTCTCTGATGTCTGTTTTCATTATGGCGTTCTGGTACCTCCCCGAGGTCTAAGGCTGGCTTCGGCATTTTGCTGCTTTGTATTCTATTATGATATCAACTGCATTTCAAGTTTCTTCGGGTATATTCAATCTTCTATTCAATCTGTACGTACTACCAGTACTGGCAACTACTACTAGAAGTACCAGTAGATATACTCAATCTTTCGTTCAGTCAGACTCGGAGTCGTTAAATGTCGACTCGGAGCACTTAACGTCTGTGTGGATACAATAGTCCTAGTATAAGTTTTACAAGCATTAATCTAAAGTTATTCAGAGCAATCACAAAATTGAATCCATGGATTTCTATTCCAGCTTGAGGGTTTGGAAGTTCCAATAGGGCTGAAGGCTGCGCACTGTTGACGCGAAGTATGGAGCACCTTAGCACTAAATATATATAGGTCAAGCCTCTAGTCGAAGTATATCCGTAGACGCGACTAAGGTTGGAAATCAAGAGCCCAGTAAATTACGCGCATGGAAATACTAGTACCAATTAGTGCGCCAGGTTGTCTTAACGACTTTCTTATTTGAAATATACCACTTTATTCTCTCTGTTTCTGCTAAACGAAGAGTTGAGTCTGCAACTGGAAGGCTTGGCACTTGACGCGCCGCGCGTGCCACTTCCAACTTCAACTTTAACCTCACCACTCACCACTTCACTTTACCTTTCTCTTTCCCACCAGCTCTGAGTTCACCGTCACGATGGACGCAGACGGCTACGATGACACGAATCGCGCATTTTTACAAGCCTTCATGGCCCGCTCCTCCATGACCCTCGAAGACGCCCAACCCATCCTCGCAGCTATCCTCTCCACTCATGGTATATACACCATACAGCAATCGCATCAATCACCCTTGGACAGCCCTGGAGCAAAACTAATCGCACAACTCCATCCTTAGAGCACCGAACCATCGACCCCGAAGACGTAACCCAAGAACACCTCTCATCCTACATCTCCGCCGCCAACACCGCCATATCCCCCTTCGACCTCGAAATAAGAAGCACCCTCCGTCAAACCCAACCAGATCCCTCCTCCCCCAATGCTGCTGCCAATGACACACCCCCAGACCGAGTCTACGCCCTGGTAAACACAACCAGCGACCCAATAACCCAACTATCAACAACCTACACCGCGGACGAAATCGCCTTCGTAAAACGAATCCTAGACTTCATGTTCGACACCAACAACACACGCCTCTGCGAAGGAATGGCCATATCATCTATCCAAGCAATCCAACAAGCAAAAGTCTCCGCTGCAGACCACCGCCGCCATTCGCAGAATCCAGCAACGCAAGCAACGCAAGGCGGCGCGGCGCAAAGTCTTAGTATGACGCAGGCGGAAAATATGATGCGCCATTTGGTTGACGAGGGATGGTTGGAGAAAAGTCGTGCGGGCATTTTCAGTTTGACGCCACGCGCGCTGATGGAGTTGAGGGGTTGGTTGATTTCGACGTATAATGATGATCAACAGGAGGGAGGAAGGAGGAGGAGGAGGAGGAGGAGGAGGAGGAGGAGGAGGAGGTTCGAGACGTGCGCGAAGGATCAAGTTTTGTGCTGCTTGTAAGGATATTGTTACTGTGGTGAGTTTGAGTTTCTTCGTGTTTCCTTGCAGACCCTGGTAACAGGGTTGAGCTGAGTTGAGCTGAGCTGACATTTTACAGGGCCAACGGTGCGGTGAACGAGATTGCAAGGGCAGACTGCATGACCACTGCGTCCGCAATTTCTTTCGTATGCAACAGGCAGAGAAATGTCCCGTTTGCAAGCAGGATTGGCCGGGTGATAAGTTTGTTGGAGAGAGGGCTATTGTTGCGGCGAATCGGCGACAGAGTCGAAATGTGACTTCGAATTCGAATGCGAGTGCGAGTGCGAATGTGTCGCGGGGGAGTGCGTCACTTTCGAGTCCTGCGCTTGGAGGAATGGAAGGGGCTGATGAGGAGGAGGATGGTATGGAAGAGGAGTGATTGTGTAATATTTGTCTGGAAGCGTACTTTGTGCGAATCATTTATCTACGCAAGCAGGTAATGCGGTGAGTTAACTACCAGTAGCTAGCTACTCGGTTACCCAGTTGCACCAACCTTTTCCTTCCCTACTGTCACCATTTACTACCACGATAGAAGAGAATGACGAGAAATCTTCTGCAAAAGCTGACACTCACCATGTCTAGTCTAATCCGACAAGATAATCCGAACACTCTATCCAAATTCAACCAACTAGGCTCTTCCCTCGAGGAATGCGGGTCGTGGAAACTCGCCATCTCCCACTAAACGAGATAAACGCCTACATCTTCTGAACAGGGACTGGCTGGATCGATATGATAGTGGGTGAGAAAATGCTCAAGCTCAGGTCATGGATGAAATCAATTCTAAATCTTCTTCTTAGCTTCCCTCCTTCCACCAAGAAGATGGAACTCCAGAATCACATCATCTTCACCCGCTGTCTTTGTATCGAATGGCATGGAAGGAAATATCGTGTCCTCGAAAACCGGATACGAATGCCAGGGTGCAAAACTCCTAGTTCCATTCAATAAAGAATATGAAAAATCGACTCGGAGGTGCTAAATGGGGTTATACAGTGCTTCAGACATGACCGACTCTGCTGTTGAAAGCTCCTTCAACTTGAACCTTGACGATCTACCATCTGCCGAAGCGCTGATGGACATCGATTCTTATCTGCAGATCGCTGATGACTTTTCGAATTGTTTGACATGGGATCCTGGGCCGGAAATGTTGCCTTAAATACCTATCCATGGATTGAATCGCGCAGCCTGCATTTTATACAATTTAATATATACCCAATCCACTGGCATCTCCCACTCAACGGGGAATTTTGTCTGCAATATCAGCTGGCACATCCTTCTTCTCAATGAATCTGACCCAGCGACCTGTATCCTCAAATTCGTCCTTGACCCCTTCAATCAGGTGTTCGTTCTTCCAATCTCCCGCTAACCCGACTACTCCGACTTCCTCTGCATAAACACTCCACAACCTGAGCATCTCGTTGAACACTTCGGGCATCGTCTCACTCAGATCTTTGACTTCACCCAGGTCATCGATTATATCGAATAGTTCCCACCGCTGCGGACCCCGAGGAAGAGGTACATATGTGATCCTATAGCGACCTTGCCTGAGTGCACCACTGCCAGCAATTTCCCACCCAAATGCATACTCCTCCCCATGGATCACCATCGTCCCAGACGAACGAGGAGCTGTGTCCGATTCCTCCGCAGCCCTCGCCCGAAGAAATGTCGTTTCTTGGACGAGTTGATCGAGCAACGGACTGCCTTGGAGTTAAAGTCTGCAAGAGAATTGATGTCGTTACGGTCATTTTCACTACAAGGATGCAAGAGATGTCGTTGCAATTTTCTGTTGCTTTGCGTGCGTCTTGTTGAGCCCGTGGAGATCACATTCCAATACAAATATCAATCTCGATACATAGGATACAGGAGTCATACGAACTCCCTTGACACATTTTTCCAAGTAACATCCCTGACCGGCCTGCTAAGCTCCACGATGGTACCGGAATTCTCCAGCTTTTGTGACCGACGAGCAATTTCCCGAACGAGCTCCAATGGTATTTCTGGCAAATCATTCACATGAAGATGTATGATTTCTCGGCAAATGCCGCGTCTGACATCGTGACTGTTGGGTTGAGACTTGTACTCTCGATCTCGAAGCAAGATTTTTCAAGCAGTTGTCGGATGTCCATCGAGTGAAAGACTTTTCAGCTCAAGAACTGCAAGTGACCCATTTGCGCGAATTGAAGCTACAAGCGGACGGTTCGGGTAGGCTATTAGCCTCGTCTTGGAGTATCGGGCTCAAAATTGCAACTGGAGACATACGAAGCACCTGTTCTGCGGGATTGCGTTGATCGGAATCCAGACGACGGTCATAGGAAGACTGGCAGAATTTTGACAAGATCACGGTGCTGCGATGAATCGGCATTATCTGGAAATGTCTTGGACAGCCGTGAGAAAGCTCGAGCCGCGGACTTTAACCTAGAGGGAAAGAAGTTAGTACAACAACACAAGAAAAAAGACCGGTAAAAACTCACATATGTCATCTCAACCTTCAAATTGTAACCAGACACTCGAGATCAGACATTTTCAATCGAGCTTGAGCCGCACCGTAGTCATGACAGATCTGGATCCGGATATCGCACCACTTGACGAATTCCGTCTCGAGGTCCCGGCCTTCAGAATCTCTCCGATTCGGGCACACAAGGCAGACCGTAGGTACACGAGTAGGAAGAGGTTATGAAACGAGAATCGACCAGTAGCTACTGTAGTGGAATAATGGACTCGAAGGGGGATTGGCATCGATCTATAAACTTTGTCCGGATATACAGGGTAGTAGTACTTCCGGTCTATCGAATCGAGCTTGTGTACCGTAGGCATTGTACTCGTGTTTCTGCAAAATGCCGAGATGTCTCTAGCACGCGTCGAGGAAAATCCTCTCGTGGTCTTCGGCCAAGCGGAGATCGCCAGAATCCCCATCATCTGCTCAGCCGTGGTCTCTGCGATGATCAGTGTCGATTCGTTCTCCGTTTGAACGGAATCTCCTTACTAGTGACTTCGAGGGGCCGGGCAGTTGTTCGCTTCTTGGTAGAATGTTTTTCCAGCTCCCTTCTCAGCGGCATTCTTGGCCTTCCAGATCTGGTGGCAGGCCGGCTTCCTCCCTCTTGGATGCTTCTGAGAGTGACATTTTCTTCTCCGGAGCCTCGACCTTCTCACTGGGCCTTCCCTGTGCTGCCCCAGCGGCAGATTGCTGGTTTTTTGAAGCAGGCTTGACCCGGCCTCGAGGGACAAAGCGCTTTCTGAAGCGGCCAGGGTCCTCTCAGCGCCCTAGGCAGGCGCGGAAGCCGTCTCCAGCTTCAAGCGGGAACTGGTGTTGTGACCGGAATTTGCCGCTTGAATCGCGCACATCTGCACGCGTGTTAGCTTCTACCTCCACTCGATGAAGAGCATCCAAACTCACAATGGAAGGCATAATGCCGACCCCGCCTGCCAGGCAGGCCATCAGGACTTTGCTTTCATGATTGAGAGCATGTTTCGGGCGACACGCGGCAAAGCCATGGGTCTTGTAATGCCCGTGAAGTGAACACAGCTATGGCCGATGTTGACTTCTGTATAAATCAGATAAGCGAGCATCCAAACATACCATGTTGATCCGTTGAAGCTGATACAGTCCTGCCGGCCAGGCTGCTGTGGGGTTGTCACTCTAGTACTGGCAGGCGAATGTGCGAGGTGAGTTGGAAACGGGAAACGAAGAGAAGAAGAGAGAAGAGAGGAAAGAAGGAAGTAAACAAGCAGAAAAGTGGGAACAACACAGATATCAGGAAGGTACGTTGAATGTTGGCAGGAACGAAGGGGATGCCCTGTATACTTGGAGACACATGACATGCACATGACATGCACATGACATCTATATTCTATATTCTATGGAAAGAACAGTTCTTATAGGATTCAGGAAATTAATAATAGTAAGAAATTGTCATGGAATGCCAGCCCTGGGTCAGTATATCAACTCCAAGTCGGTGACCTACATGCATCGGAATGGCAATTATCAACTCAGTCCACTGCCGGTGACTAGACTAGACTATATTTCCGAGCGGAGAAGAAAGGAAAAGGGGAGGAAATAGAGTAGGCTGAGTTATATTCAAAATATCCATTTCTTTGTCCTAGTACTTGCTGCTGCTTGCACTCCGCTTGCTACCTGAGTAGGGCTAGTCATACCGTGACCTAACTTAGTAAGTGCCAAGCTACATACTATGCCGGAGTGAGATAGATAGAGTCATTCTGCTATGGGCGGATATATTCGGAGACGTATGACATTGAGCCACGGTATTCCGAATCGGTGCATGGCGCATGGGGTTGGGTTTAACTAGTATATGCGCGGAGAAACTAGAAAGAACGAATACTAGACACTATACAATGTGGCGAGAGGGACGGGAAGATAATATGGAAGATGAAGATTTATGCGACAGCAGAGGGAATCCTCACGCTATATCTATCTATCTAATGACAATGGCGTGCGATCGGTCTGCAACCGCCGATGAAAGCAATGAAAGCAATGCAATGCAGGCAAGGGTAGATCCTAGACATGTATTCATGGAGTATGAGCTGGCAAAGCCGCAGGCTTGAGGCCACAGGGTCTCAGCACAATGTTTTAAGTCGTATACCAGTGACAACAGTTGCGATTTCACCGTGCAGGCGGTCTACTCTTCCGTGATTTCGGATCCTGCCTTGACAGAATACCCAGAAGAAGTATTTAGGTTCAAAGAAAGTCGTCATTCATTCATTCATTCATAATAAAAAAGCAACAAAAAGAACAACGGCCCTTACAGCTTGACCTTGGCATCAACATCATCCTCAACCTTCACCAAGGTCCAGTCAGGCAGGCCATTGGGCAGGGGCATGTCTTCGGGGAGAGGATCGGTGGCTCGTGGGGGCTCTATCTAGTGTCAATAACCATAATCCCCTCTTCTCTTTGAACCGAATCTGCTTACCGGTGACTTCGGCCCCCGAAGGAGTCGTCGGCTCCTTCATTTCTCCGCCTGGCGGCGGCGGCGGCGAGCGCGCTTCTTCTCCCTCTTCTTCTGCCTCTGGACTTCTGTCATCTCCTTCTTCGGCTGGTTTCTCTCCGTGAGATTAGCCAGGAATGCTCGCACAGCCATCGTAGTGACAGTCGCCAGAGTCTCTAACTCGTGGCATAATGCCGTGTCATGCGAGTTGTTGAGGCCATGGATGGTACAGAACTATGACTTGTGTTAGGCTCAACGGCCATGACAAGGAATATTGTTCCAGCTGATCAACTTACATGTCGAAATATGATTTCTCTGGAGATCAGAAATGAAAAGGTAGAATGGAGCGGCGGTGGATGGTGGATTGGGGAGGTGAAAAGGAAAAGGGGAGGACTGAGGAAGGAACGCGGTAGTGCAACGCAACTACACGGGCCGCCAACGAGCCAATATTCCATTCCTACAGAGATGTAATGAATTTTATAATACTTGGTATCCTACTCAGTTATATACCGAGTACGCTGAATTGTTAGGATCCTGCAATTGGTTCTGGTAGAATCGCTTCAAAGACATTACACCTCGGGATCTTTTTTATCGCGCTGAGATGCGCCGATTATATCAGCGAGGTCACCCTTTATTAGCTTCAGGGTCTGTGAATACAATACAATGTAGATAGTACTTCACAGGTCTCTCTTTCTTCATGGGCAGACAATCGGCCAATAATCTCTTCAAGCTGGTGCGGAGTTCCTCCCTTGAGAGTGAAAGGTGTGGTTGATGAAAAGCTTCACCACACCACCTCTCGCTCTTATCTGACTTCGACGGGCTTGCTAATAGCGGTGTTTGAGCCCAAGAACCTCTAGCCCTGGTAAACACGCATGCAACGCCGTCGGAGCCTCTCCGCTACTCTCCGCTACCTCATTCATGACGGTATCTACTCGTAGGTACTTCAATTCAGTCTGCTCGGTTCAGTAAGCGAGTAGAAAAAGATAAGTGGCATGTTGGTAGATGGAGGTATCTTTGGTATTCATTTCAACGAGAGAAGCCTGGAATTTAAACCGTCTGTCCGGGCGAAAAGAAAGCCTTGTTTGATCAAGATTAGTGTCTGCTTCCAATACAAATAAATGGGAGGGAGAGGGCAGAATAGTAGGGCATACCAGGCGAGAAGCTCGTATTTTGTTGCGACTCACAACATTCACCAGCCATTTTATTTTCAACGACACCTTCTCTCCCACACCCGCCCCGGCTTTCTGCTACGCTCATCGCTACGCGCCTCCCTATACGCTTCTCCACTCGCTCTGTCCCCCTCTCACTCTTACCTGAGTTACTCCATGGTAAACAATGTCAACAAGACACCCCAAGCCGTGCTGACTGCTGAGCCGGCTCGACTTCGCCGCAAGGCGGAGCAGAGAAAAAAGTGGCACACCAAGCGGTGTTGCCGCCTTCTTGGATCCTCCTCAGTGGTTAGAATCTGGAGATGTTGAGGTTGATATTGAGGGTATTGGTATCATCAAGAACAAGATGATTATTGGATGATCTCTCTTATACGACAAGTCAATATAGACGGTCCACTTTAGCATTATTTAGGTAGGGTAACTAAGAGAACCTTGGCAGAGCTTTAATATCCATGGATCTTCATATTCTATATAAAGTTGATTTCTATGTCAAAAATATATACTAGTTAGTATCTATTCAAGTGGTGAGCATGCTACACGCAGTTTAATCTATTTCATCAGATAGATAGATATAGATTGAGGATTCCCCTTTAGGAAAAATCAATACATCTTCTTCATCAATCCCAACTTTTCCGTCACTGACTAGTATGGCTGCGATCCCACCGCCCGTGCATGCGGTCTAGTACTGTGTGATGCTTTAGGATTACGCCATGACAGAACCTTAGAGTATTCGGAAGAAGGATTTATATCAAAGAAAGTCGCCATTCATTCAAGGTCTAACCGTCTGGAGGACTGGTGTGGAAGAAGATGATCCCATTCTCCCTCTCCCTGAGGGAGAGATATCTGTCTAGTCACGTGTACGGATAGCTAAGCTATGACAATACCCCCTTGGTCAAGCTCGTGGCGTGTCAATCAACCAGTCTGGCGGGAAAGGCGACTCGAAACTGGCCAGGTGGCAGGATAGGTGTCGTTCTGTCACGGCATTGACGCGTTCTTAAAAATGCATCCAAGAATACTAGTAGCAAATGCCATCACTCCTTTGGGAAATTGTATGAAATCAAGTCGTAGAACCTGCCAGTCAATGTGTATTGGTATTGGATTCCGGATGTTTTTGAGTTCGAGAAATAAGAAATAAGTCTTCGTCTATTCGGCGTTGCCCGACGTGCTCGGGAAGTTCCCATGCGAAAATAGATAGCAAGCCGCTAAAATTCATGACTTCCCAATTGATGTAATCAGGGGGACAGATTGCTTCGGCAATAAGCAGAGTAATATCAGAGAGCAATCTGTTTTTTGGATGTGTTGAATAAATCGACTGAATTTTCTGAAGAGCATTTGGTTTGGCTTTTTTGTTCAATGGTTCTTCCTGCAGGAGAAATAGCATTCTGAGCATGGGGATAACCAGCGGGCTGCCAGAATTCCTTTCAGCTCTGAATAACCAAGAAGCTTTTTCTGCCACCGGCTGTAGTCTTGGCTTGTGTACAGGTTGTTTCAAATCAAGGCCTTGCACTTCGGTTTGCATCGGCTCGCGGACTTGCCGACCGAGGAGTATACAGCAATGGGCGTGTTGTAAGTACCCGACTCTGGATGTGGCTCGCGGGGGCTCTAGGTAGCGTCAGTATCTATCGTCCTCTCCCCTGTCTTTGAATTGAATTTGCTTACCGGTGACTTTGGCCCCTGGAGGAGCCTTCTGCTCCTGTATCTAAGTGTGGTTCCTCTCCTCCTTCTTCTGTCTCTCGGCCTGTGTCATCTCTGGCTTCGCTTTCTTATCCGCAGGGGCTAGGTGTCTCTCCTCGAGATTGGCTAAGACCACTTGAACAGCCATCGAAGTAACAGTCGTCGGTGTCTGGAACTCGCGGTATAATGTCGTATACGAGTTGTTGAGCCCTTGGATAGTGCAGAACTATAGCTTATAGTAAGTTAAACGTACGTGAGAGAAGTTATCCAGCTGATAAACCTACCCATCGAGACATATCTGCTCCTGATATACGAGACAAATAGAATAGAGCGGTGGTGAATGGTAGATGTGAAAAAAGTCAACAAAAGGACCAAGGTAGGAACATAACGGGTCTACTAAATTCTGGCCAGTGCCACACAACTACACAATCCGTGGCCACAATAGACCCAGGGTTGCCTATGGAGATAGGATAAATATAACATTATGAGAATACTTTGTAGCCTACTCATTCAAAGATTTTTGATTGCAAATGGTGGAATATATAGGTATTCGCGTGGTGAGTCTTAGTCATGACGTCTGTTACTGCCTGAGGAATTCAGGCACCAAGGCATCCAGGGATCCAGACATTCAGGCACGAACACTTTCACGCTCTCTCCTCCACACTCCCCTTCCCTTCCCTCCCATCCCCAGTTCAGCTCAATTGAATTCAATTGAATTCACTTATTTCACCCCATCCCTCCATCAACAGAGTGGAGCACCCTAGATCCCCTCCGCGGACGATTGTCGGGCATTTTGCGGGCCCCCAGCCAGCCTCCCCACACTGCCACACGCCCGGTCAACGCTCGGCGAACTTTATTGTCTCGATGACGACAAGCCGTGTGTAAACTCGGAATGCCGTGAAGTGAGCCTGAGGTCTCCCACGGTTTCCCACGGTCTCCTCCTTTCATTGACTACGGAGTATGGTTCCCTTCCCCGCGCTGCCGGCTGATCCGAAGCCACCATGAAACCACCCAGCCGCAGACGACATTGCGTCGGTTTTGCCTTGCTTTGACTAAAGGCTTCTTGGCTGCACTCCTCCTTCTCCACCATTCAGGCTTCAGCTCGTATACGACCTGCCTCAAACGGCCATCCTGCACGACTGCAACGCCATCCTCCCGTAAGCTTTGACTTTTTGATTTCCCCACAGAAACGTCCCAGAAGGAAAGACGGGTGGAACTGGGCCCGAGCGAGCCTTTGCATTGCCAGGTGCCTGGCTCGAGTGAAGTGAATTTGATCGGCACTTCATTTCCTGCATGCGATTCAAATATCTCGGCTCCGCCATCCACTTTGGTCGTGACTGCTCTTCTTTTTCCCGCCTTCTCCCACCATTTCTAATTATCGGCGATACAGATCCATCGATCACTTCTTTCGCGCAAGCTATCGCACCGAGCTGAGCTGATCTGAGCTGACCTTATATTCTCAATCTACCCTTCAGGGTGCGAGCGCAATACGATGCAGCTCAAAGTAAGTCTCCCCGCCAGATCCGAATGAAACAAGCTGACACAAATCCAGACTCTTGCCCTTGCACGGGCTTTGCCTCTGCTGCTCAGTCTCACTACTCTGGTAGACGGAGCTTCACCCAAAAGCCGGATTGCAAAGACCTTCAAGAAGTATGGCGGCCCGAAACTGGCTACCAACTTCAGCAGCAATGTCTATTCGACAGACTTTTCCGGGGTAACCTGGGATCAGGATAACTGGCTGCTCTCCACCACAAATCTAGAGCAAGGCCAGTTCCAGTCGCGTGGCTCTGTCGCCAACGGCTACATCGGTATCAGCGTGGCCAGCGCTGGCCCATTCTTTGAAATGGACGGCGAGGACGATGGCGACGAAGGAACCAGTGGATGGCCTCTGTTCTCGAAACGACAAGCCTTCGCGACCGTCAGTGGCTTTTTTGACTCCCAGGCAAATACAAATTCCTCGAACTTCCCTTGGCTGTCGCAGTATGGATACGATACAACGATCAGCGGTATCCCTCACTGGAGCGGCCTCATTATCGACCTCGGTGATGACACTTACCTCGACGCGACAGTGGACAACTCCACAATCTCTGACTTCCGCTCCACCTACGATTTCAAGGCGGGTCTTCTCTCTTGGTCTTATACCTGGACCCCGGAGGGCGACAAGGGGTCTTTCCAAATCAACTACCGTCTTTTCACGAACAAACTCTTCGTTAATCAGGCTGTGGTAGACCTAGAGGTCATTCCTTCCAAGGACTCCAATGGAACGGTCGTGAATGTCATCGATGGCATCGCTGCTGTGCGTTCAGACTTTGTGGAATCGGACCAGGACGATCATGCCATTTTCTCAGCCGTGCGACCGAATGGAATCAGCAACGTCACTGCCTACGTTTACGCCAATGTTACCGGAAATTCTGGCGTCGATCTGTCATCGCTACAGGTGGTCAACGATGCCCCATATCTCAGTAAAAATGATTCCTCCATCGCACAGTCTGCTGATGTGAATTTCAAGGCCGGCCAATCCGTGAGAGTGACCAAGTTCGTCGGCGTAGCATCAACCGATGCCTTTGCGGATCCAAAGATGGTGGCCAAGGAAGCTTGCTCTACTGCGATGAAGAATGGATGGGCCAAGTCACTTCAATCGCATGTCACCGAGTGGGCAAGCGTTATGCCAGATGATTCCGTCGATCAATATACTCTCCCCGGAAATGGATCTCTCCCCGCGGACAGTATCTTAATCGACACTCAGATTATCGCCGTGGCCAACACATACTATCTGCTACAAAACACTGTTGGCAAGAATGCCATCAAGCAAGCAAACAACACTGCGCTCAACCGGGATAGCATTTCGGTCGGTGGTTTGACCTCTGACTCGTACGGTATGAGCTTTTGCCGTTGGTGACCAAGATCAAGTTGAATCATTAGGCTAACACTCACCAACAGCTGGACAAGTATTCTGGGACGCAGATGTCTGGATGCAGCCGGGTCTCACGACATCGCACCCCGAAGCCGCTCAGCGGATTACCAACTACCGCCTGGATAGATATCCACAGGCCCAGGAGAACATCAAGACTGCATACGCCGGTTCCAAGAATAAGACCGGCTTTTCCCCCTCTGCCGCCGTCTATCCCTGGACTAGTGGGCGATTTGGTAACTGCACGGCCACTGGCCCTTGTTGGGGTAAGTGATGAGTCCTGATCTCGAAAGCCATGACCTCGAATTCTAACCTCACTCGGCAGATTACCAATACCACTTGAATATCGATATTGGGATCTCCATGGTGAATGAGTGGGTGACTAGTGGTGACACGAAATTCTTTAAGGAGAATCATTTCCCAATTTACGATTCTGTGGCTACTCTCTTTACCGATCTTCTGGTACAAAACGGGTCTTCTTGGACCCTAACCAATATGACTGACCCAGTATGGCGCTCCTTCCACATGCGCATTAATGAAAGGTCAAACCAAACTAACACCTCCTAGGACGAGTATGCTAATCATGTCGATGCGGGTGGCTTCACTATGCCGGCCATCGCCGAAACTTTGCGCCATGCAAACTCTTTCCGCCAGCAATTTGGACTCGAAGAAAATTCCACCTGGGACGACATGGCTGACAACGTTTTAATTCTCCGCGAAGGTGGAGTGACACTTGAATTCACGACTATGAATGGGAGTGCCGCAGTGAAGCAGGCTGATGTGGTTCTAAACACCTTCCCGCTGGATTTTACTTCGAACTACAGTGCTCAAGATTCGCTGAATGACCTTGACTACGTGAGTACATCCTCAAAGCTAAACTGGCACATGGTAGCACTGATGCTGACTTTCACAGTATGCCAATAAGCAATCTCCTGACGGACCGGCGATGACTTGGGCCATTTTCTCTGCTGTTGCGAATGAGATGTCCCCCTCGGGATGCTCGGCTTACACATATGGGCTGTATTCCTTCCGGCCCTATACTCGTGCGCCCTTCTACCAAATGTCCGAACAGCTCATCGATGATTCCACTATCAATGGCGGCACCCACCCTGCTTTCCCTTTCTTGACAGGACACGGCGGAGCTAATCAAGTGGCCATCTTCGGGTACCTAGGACTTCGCTTGCTGCCTGAGGACTTCCTGCGAGTTGACCCCAATCTCCCGCCGCAGATCCCTCACTTGAAGTATCGCACATTCTACTGGCGTGGATGGCCAATCTCCGCTTGGTCTAACCAGACGCATACCACAATCAGCCGATCCAACTCAGCGCCTCTGGAAACTGCAGACCTACGCTTCGCCAACAAGACTATTCCCATCCACGCGGGTTCTGACGACGACATCACTGTTCACAACCTCCAGTTGCAAGGTTCGGTCGTTCTGCAGAACCGCCAAATCGGCCTCAAGAACACCGTTGAGGGAAATCTCGTGCAGTGCCAGTCTGTCCAGTCGGAAAGTGCCTACGAACCTGGCCAATTCCCCATCTCGGTGAATGACGGTGCCGCCTCGACGAAGTGGCAGCCTTCATGGGCAGACAATGTGAGCGCGATCACAGTGTCATTTGGAAAGGAAGCAGGATCCCTTGTTTCGGGCTTTTACTTTGACTGGGCTCAAGCCCCACCTGTCAATGCGACCGTTGTCTTCCACAACAGGACCCTAGGCAACGCAGAGATCACAATGGGAAGCCAGGACTCGGACTACCAAGTGGTTTCTTCCCTGAATAATGTCAACCTCTCGGATCCATACACTAACACGACCAATTTGGACGCTATCGCCATACCTGTCGGGAACACTACTAATGTCACCCTGCCTTCCGCAATTCCCGCTGCTAAGTATGCCTCTCTGCTTATTGTGGGTAACCAGGGCTTGGACGCCGCCGATATCGAGGCGAAGAATGGAACCGGTGCCACCGTCGCTGAATGGGCGATCCTTGGACAAACACAAGGTAGCAGTAACTCCTCCAGCGTGGAGACTGCTAAGCGGATGAAGGTGCGGACCGCGGGATTGTCGGACTCTGGATCTTTTATGCGTCGTCGTCGCGAGATTTTCGTCTAGAGGAAGACGTTCTATCAGGATTGATTCTTGCCGGTGCCGATGCCGGCGCAGATGCATCCAGACGAACAGTCCATCCTGATTGTATATAAAAACTTTCCATTTCTCATTCAATGCAATTGGTCATTTCAAAGCACCGCGCTCAAACCACAGCAACAACAACTAACTATACAATATCCCGAGTCATTCTAACTCACGCATCCAAAGCAAACCGATCCAAAAACTTGAACGTCCTCAGACCCTCCTTAATACCCTTGACAAACTCATCCCCAAAAGCCTTCGCCACATAAACACCCTCCCGCTCAGTCGAAACCTGCGCAGCCTTGAGCGCATCAACACCCTTCCCAATCGCACCAACTGGCTTACCAAAGCGGAAAGCATCAATAAGAATATCCAACGGTCGTCCGGCAGGATAAAGCGACGAAGCCTTATTCTGCTTCTCCGTAAACGAGCGTGCACTGAACAATCCCTCCGCACCACCAGCCACAACAAGAGCATCAAACTGAATAGCGTCCGAACCAGAATAAGTCTGATCAACACCATCACCCAGTCTCTCCGCAACAACAACGACATCAACGCCAACATCCTTCAGACCCTTCGCCAACGAAGTGCCAACCTCAAGACTCGAAGCATTCTGCACAGAAGCCAAAACGCCAACCTTAAGTCCTTCAAGCTTAATCAATTTTTGACCAAAGGCACCAATGTTCGCCGTCGTGTTGTCGTGATAGAAACTCGGGTCTGGAGCCGGTGCATCAACGCCAATTGCTTCCGCAACACGTTTGGCAAGATCGTTACTTATCCGATTTAATTGGATAATAACATTCTCCCTAACGACTTGGGAAACAACCATTGAATTTTCAAATCGCATTGCGTCAACGACGAATTGTTTCTCCGCTTTCACGAGACTGTTCCAGAATAGACGCGGTTGAGACCAGACGTCTTCGAAGGTTGAGCTACGCGTGCGCTGGAGTTTGCCGTTACCTGTGCGAGAGGGGGTTGTGAAGAATCCTTTGCCGACTGTTTGGTTTGCTTGTTTTGGTGAGCCTTTGTTTAAGGTGTTGGGGCTGTAGGCGTCTTTGTTCAGTGGGATGAACATTTGTCCTGCGCCGTCGCGGTTGTTGTTGTGGATTGGTGTTCGGGGTTGGTTTATTGGGAGTTGTTCGAAGTTGGGGCCGCTGTGCCGGTTTAGTTGGGTGTCTAGGTAGGAGAATAGGCGACCTTGGAGTAAGGGGTCGTCGCTGAAGTCGATTCCTCGGACTATGTGGCCTGGTTGGAACTAGTAGAGAGGGTTAGCTGCGAGAGCCCCTGGGCAGGAGAGGGGGAGGTGGGCTTACCATGACTTGCTCGGTTTCCGCAAAGTAGTTCTTGGGATTGCGGTTTAGAGTCATCTTGCCGAGTCTAGTGACGGGAACGTATTCCTCTGGAATGATCTTTGTTGGGTCGAGGACGTCGAAGCCGAAACGGAGTTGGTCGTCTTCGTCCATGATTTGCACGCCCAGCTGAGATGAGAGGGTTGTTAGCATTCGAACATGAGAAGTTATGCAAGCTGCAATCTGCAGCTGTTAGCTGTTATGGGTCACTCACCTCCCATTCAGGGAACCGTTCAGCTTCAATCGCATCCCACAGATCCTGACGCAAGAAATCCGGATTCTTGCCAGAAATCTGCTGGGCCTCTTCCCACACCAAACTGGCTTTACCCTGGAGGCCCTTCCAATGAAACTTGACTAATTTCGACTTACCGCTGTCAGTGACGAAGCGGAAGGTGTGAACTCCGAAACCGTCGACATTCCGGAAAGATCGAGGAAGTCCGTGACCAGCCATCGCCCAGACGAGAGTGTGCAACGAGCTAGGCTGTTGGCTGAAGAAGTCCCATGCTGAATCATGAGCTGTCGCTGCTTGGGGGATCTCGTTATCGCCGCTGGGCTTGACGGCGTGGATTAAGTCGGGAAATTGAATTGCGTCTTGAATGAAGAAGACTGGGATATTGTTTCCGACGATATCTGCATCATTGCCAATGGTGTTAGCTGGCCTGCCGTTTGCTTCCAGGGATATGCGTACCGAAATTTCCTTCATCGGTGTAGAAGCGTGTCGCGAACCCGTGCACATCGCGCGCTGTATCGGCACTGCCTCGACTACCGGCGACGGTAGAGAACCGCACGAACATGGGTGTTTCTTTATCTTTTTTCGAGAGGAAAGATGCCGCTGTGATGTTTGACCAGTCGGCATACGAGGTGAAGACACCATGGGCACCGGCACCGCGGGCGTGGACTGCACGTTCGGGGACCTATGCAGAAATATTAATTAGCGTGTGGATTGAGGACTGCATTCACCCCCAAGGTCTACATACACGCTCGTGGTCAAAGTGCTGGATCTTCTGGCGGAATATAAAGTCCTCCAACAGAGTTGGGCCACGCTCTCCTGCACTCAGACTGTTTTGATCCTCAATTGGCCCGCCAACATCCGAGGTCAGGAAGGCATCTTTGTCATTGAGGTAGTATTGCGACAAAAATTCTTCCGTATCGCGAGCAGCGCCATCGTCTGCGCGACGATGAAGCTCGTGTGGATTATATTCACCCGCTTCGCCTGTCATATAAGGACAAGCCGCATTGGCAATGCCGACAAGGCCCGTGGCCAGAGCAAGCAAATGCATTGTGAAGCTATGTTTTAGGGGTGAAAGGTCAATGAGTGGTGAAGAAAGTCCAAGATCGCGACGACGAGAAGCAGGTCTTATTTATATGCAGGGGAAAATGACGGAGAACTTCAAGTTCCAATGTCTTGAAAGGTTCGCGGGGCCGACTGCAGACTAATCTTGTTTCCAGTCTAGACAAAAATCCCACCGAGCGAAGGGCACATGGTGGTGCAGCTCACCAACCAAGAGCGAGATGATTATTCTAGCATGGCGGGCTAGAATCAAAATCCATACCGGCTGTGCAACACAACTGGCCTGTCTCAATGCCCGGTGGGGAATATGGTTTGGCAGAGGACCCTCTTCATCGTGCAGGCCACTCGTGTCGTACAATATGCTTGTTGCCGTTGGCCCTATTCCTAGTCCCTAGCGTCGCCCGGTGCGTGATAGTCAATCAGTGGTTGGCTAGTAGCTGCAGCTACGGCCGAGTGGACAGCTAGAGTGCCCAGGCTGCAGAGCAGACACATCTAAGGTCGGTCACAGGTTGAATTTCCGGTCAATTGGGCTGGGGCTGGGTGGAGCATGATCGCGGAGTGGTTGTGATGCACCATGTAAGCTTGGCAGGACTGGCTTTACTTCGGAGAAAATCCCAGGAAAGGAACCAAGGCTGCAGATTCATCAGACGGCAGAGCAGAGATACGCGTGGGCTGTTCCGTACTCTTGGCAATTATTCAGCCGGGGATGAAGCTAGAAGGCCGAGCCCAAAGGTGCTTGGTAATGGCGCTGGTCTGGAGCAATGATGCGCACCCGTGCCTAGCGTGCCCTAGTCCAGCCCCTCCAGGGATAGTATCCACTCAGAATGATGGCTTTGTAACTGCCAGATGACGGCGGGACTTGGCATTGCAAGAGGCTTGATGAAGGCTTGGAAAAGTGATACTTGTGCTCTGTTCATGACGTGGAGTCTTGGTGTCACTGCTGTCTTGTGAATCTTGTCTTGGTACGGAGTAGTTTGCGATTACTGGTGGATCTAGGGGTCGTTGCAGACATACAATGGTCACCGCCTGTGCTTTGCAGATCTTTGATTAACAGCGTTGAAACAGCAGAATTGTCTCAGGCCGATCTGTTGTTTACATGCTACAGCGAGTGGAGGTGAGGAGGAATCGCCTTGGACACCTTAATCTGCCCAGATGTGCTCCGTACGGAGCACCGAATTATGCAACGCGGGGACAGAGCCTGAGATGAAAGTGAAAGATCGCCCTGAGCTGTTGCAACATACCCCTGCTAGTCCTGCCAATCTTCGCCCTTCTTGGTCGGTACTTTCTTTCTGCAGTTTTACCGACTGTGGATCTACTATCACGGTCGCAAGATCCCAGGCGTGTTGTGAATGGTCCCTCGGATGTGCTAGCCAAGATAGACTTAATTTTCTTCCAGCACGCAGAGGGAGTGAGGTAATTTTAGCTAATGGCGGTCTTGTCGTGCATATTTTTCCTCATTATGACCGTTCCTGGTTGCTACTAATTTTGGACAATGCGGAGGTGGCATGGTGCATTGCGGGTGCAAAATGCTTTGGAGATGGCATATCTAGCGCTTACTCGTACGCAGAGAAGAATTACGTTAAAGGTCCTTTTTAACTTGGGTCGGAGAGTATGTCGCTCTGCGACCGAGGAAATATCATCTCCCCAAAAATCAGATGACTATAAATGGGAGAGCGAGGCCCGCTAAGCACACCCCAATAACCAGTCCATTTGCGGAATAATCAGAGACTGAATATCAAGAGAATCATGTGGATACTAAACAGTACAGAAGTCATTTTGACTTTTTAAGTTTATGTAGAGGACAGCTTTGTGCACAGGAACTTGGATATGATCAGACCGAGACGCCTATACACCGCCCCGATCTCATCTATTTATCACTCAATTGGTCGATGGGATCGCTCCCCGGTGTAAAGAAATTAATATCAGGTCGCTTTACGTCCCCTTGAAACGACCCATTGCAGCAATATTGCCCTGATCAGGTAGACTGCGATCAACGAAGCCAAATCTCTCGTACAGAGGCGCGCCCGTCTTGCTCGCGTCGACGTATGCAGACACTCCAGCCTCATCAGCCAAATCGCAGCCCCATTTAACTAGCATCGAACCAGCCCCACGCTTCTGGAAATCAGGGTGAGTACAGAGCATGTCCAGATCTGGATCGGACCGTAGTTAGCATCATCTTGCGCCTGGTGGATCGAATTTTAACTCTCGAGTGGGCCTATTTCACTCACAATAATGCTTCAAATCCCCCATAACACGACTCCGGTTGCCATTCAGAAAGTCAAAAACACTAGTAGCTTCGTCCGCTGGTGTCTCTGCCGCCCAAGGCGGAAATCGTCGACCTCGCACTTCCATCGAGGCTGTATCCCATTTCGCATAGGCGAGTATCTGAGCTTGACCACGCTCGTCCGTGATCTCTGGATCCACTACCTTGACATAATATTGATATGGCTTGGTCTCGAGATCAAGGGTAATATACCCCGCCGTCCATTCTCGCAAGCCCGGCGTATCGGGGAATATTCGCACCATGTCCTTGTCTGTTGAGAAGGCTTTGAACCAGATATCGACACATGTGGGGATATCTTCTTTGGCAACTGGTAGCAGCAGGAGAGGAGATTTCATCGAGCCCATTTTGATTGTGCAATCTTTCAACGGTTAAGAGAATTGTTGTTTTTTTTTTGGATGGGGCAGACGCTTAATGTAACTTTGCTCGTATATGTGGGGTTGCTGAAGCGGGGCGATCTCACACACCAGATGGGGATCAAAACTATAATTGGTAATCGCCTTACCAGAAGGGTCGTTTTGAGGTTGCATTCAACAAGCTTATCCCGGGAAAACAAATATTTGCACGAGTAAGGAGGCGCCGTGGGGGCATCGTACAAATGTAGTTCGGCCCGCGGAGATCAAACTATACATCTATTGGTCGAGAATTCGAGGCTCTGCCGTCAAAAAGGACCGTGCTGGCATGTGTAGCTTTAACCAGGAATACATATTCCTATATGGGGAAATGTATGATGAACCTTGGAATTGGTTTGTGGAGCGTGGATGATTCGTTCTGCCCAAGATAAATGATGACTGCAACTTGTCTGCAGGTGATTGGTCCACGAGATACGAGGAATTTTCTAGCGACCGTGGAGAATACTGTAGCTCCAGGAATTTTGTAAATTCATATGAAACACGGTGAAATTCAAAGCTGATATGTCACAAGGCTCGTGTTCGCTGCCTTCCTGACGATAAATATATTCTATTAGAAATTTTGTAGCACATGCAGCCCATCCTGGGTATACTTAGTACTTGGGGAAAGTAACCCAGTCCCATTGCTTGCCGCTACTGATCAACTGCTGATCAAGACTGTTGTTGCCGCTGCCGATAAAAAGTACCTTGGTGAAGGCCGTCTCGGTGTAGTAAGTGAAAGGCACCTGTGCAGGGATGAAAGCCACGTCACCCGTCAATATAGTTGCCAAGGGAAAATCGCCAATTCTGATAGACAAAGCACCCTCCGCAACCTCAAAGGCAGCTGCCCCATCTAGGGTATACGAAGGCGGGCTATCCTTGGTCTGACGACTGAGCGAAATAGTCGAGATAGTATAGTTGAGGTCCTCGGCCTGTTCCGGCTCGACAAGTGGCTGGATGACCTGATATCCGTGCTCAGAGCTGAGATACTTAGGGCCATAGCCGCCGGCCAAGAAGTAGGGCTTTGAAGGTGCATCGAGCTCGTTACTGCCAGTGTGCCACACAGTATTGTGAGAAGGGGCAGATCCATTGACAAAATCACGGCGAGCCTTAAAGGTCTCAGGATAAACATCGTATTTTTCCAACTGGGACATGATGGAGCTACTGGGAGTACCAGGTTCATGAGAGACACTGGGCACATATGGTGTGTCCGTGCCGGAACTATAGTTGGTGCCGAGGGCGTAGAACAAATCCCTATTGATATGTCAATTTACAAGTATGTCCACGGGCAGCTTCAACGCAACTTACTCAAATCCACCAGGGACGATAACACCAACCATCTCAGTATCAGGATCCAGTATTTGGAATGTGTGAGTGGTGTTGCGGGGGATGGAACCGAAATCGCCCTGAGTGAGCAGACGACCCTGCTGTTCGCTGCCGCCCTTTTGAGCCCACAGCTGGAACCGGCCCTTCAGGGCGAAAAAGTTCTCATAATGCCGGCGGTGAACGTGAGGAAGCACGCCTAGATTCCCACTAGAAGGCGCATTGGTGCCCATGAGGGTGAAGGCATAACCCGAAGAGGGACCGGTAACGGGGAATCGGTAGAGCTGCGAACCAATCGTCACGGAGTGCGAGTTGGCATAGTGAGGGATGACGTAGGGACGCGGCGAAGAGGGCGCATTGTCAACGAACAAATCATCAAGAGTATGCTGCTGTGCCTGGACAAGACCAGCGCCGAGGGAGGCAAGTAGAACGAGTGGCGATGTCAACATCTTGTTGGTGAGCTGATAAAATCCGCCGGGAGTCGGTCGATGGTGCCGGGCCAAGCATTATATTCATCTTCAAGAGCAGCCGGGATTTCCGGTCTAATTCGATCAACAAGCATCAACTGGGAGGGAATTGGCCAGCGTGGGGCTTCTGAACGGGAGTGTTCTCCGCAATGATGAACTTCACGCGCGAGGTTTTTTGAAGAAGTGGGAATAGTATATCGGGAAACCCGGATCGGCAGAGTCAGGTACAACATTCAGGTACGGGTTTTCAACAGCCCGGACGGTCCGGTATCGAAACCTGCGAAACAGGTTGCGAATGCCATTCTCCACTATGGACGATCGCCATCAGGATTTACCTAACCCGAATTCTAGTCAATTCTGCAGCCCCACCGGCCGAAGCAACTGGAGTTTCAAAATCGGCGAAGGGGAAGATTCAAACAGATACTCCGGATTCTGCAATGTAAGGAATGTCCGAATATCTATTGCATAACGATAAAGAAATCTTGTTGGTGGTGGTGGTGGTGATGGTGGTTGTGATAATGATGATGTTTGTAGGGTTAGTGTAGTCGGCAATTCTGTTAAAATAAGACCCGAGCAGCGACCGTATTTTAACCATAAAGTTTTCTCGAACTCATACGGAGTAGTGACGACGCCTCTGGTCCCCAGATGAATTAAGGCCGGGGTGAATGACCCAGCAATTGAATCTTTCTGCCAGGAGTGCCCCTTCCCGGGTGATGGTTCCAAGGTTGTTGAGTGTATTCAAACATCATGCCATATTCTACAAATTCAATGCTAGATGAACATGTACACGAAGAAAAAAAGTTAATGATATTTGGGCGCTCGGAATGCTCGTAGCTAAACTAGGACTCCTGCCTAATGTAGACGTCGCCTGGCCCTTGCCATGCCCCTCCAATGTCATCCATGCCTCCACTTGGAAACTAGCAATCATTTTCGTTTGAATATCTGGCTAAGGTAATGCCTCATTTAATGCTCACAAAGGGAGAAGTCACCCTGTTCAAACTCCTTATTAGCATTCGCTGAGCTGAGTCCGCGCTCGCCCATAAGTTCTAGCCTGAGCATCTTGGCTTCTTCCATAGTCATCAAAGGATCCAGACCCTCCTCAACCATTCTCTGTAGCTCTGCTGGCAATCGTGATAAAACTTGGTCCACGAGGCCCTGTTTTTCCTGACCCCATTCCTCGCTTTGTGGGGGCACATTGGCCGAGGAAATGACTCGATGGTGAGGATCCACCAGAAAAAGTGCCAGAATCTTTCTATGGCCCGGCTTAGACGGATCGGCGAGTGAGAACGAGGACACACGGTGTTGAATAGTATTGGGGAAAGTGAGGAGTCGTCCTTCTTTGCATAGTACGCCTCCAATATACTGGGTGGTGTTGTCGCCCCCAAAGCCACTCACGTCGTCTCCGAATCCAAAAACAGCCTGTAAAAATTCATGGCGGCTTTGTTCGTATGAGATTTCCTCATCAATCGTCGCACGTTTACGAAAATCCAGAGTGTTCTCGTTAATGTTTTCATTGTCGTAGTAGTACAGCGCGGTAGCGCAGATACGTTCGTTCTGAAGGAAAGACTCAGTACTTTGTTCAACTCGGAGCCAATTGAAAGGTATTTGTCGTTCTTACCAACTGTCCCTCGATGTGCCAAGAGCCGCCATTATAGTTTGGCTTCTCAGGAGTCAATTCAATGTTTGCCAGCTTTACGATAACTTGCAAATTTGTGTCCGGAAAATGACGTTGCATGTTCAGATCGCCAGCTTCTTCTGGAGGCACGAAAACGCCTGGTTCAGGAAGAATAATAGGCTGGTTTTCTAGCCACTTTGTATAAGCATCATCGAACTCAGCCTGGTCGAAATCCTCATTATCTGATGATTCTTCTGGCTCAGGTTCTGGATGCTCAGCATACTCAACCTTGCGATAAGCGATTCTGAGATTGGGAAGTTCGGACAAACTCTTCTCCCAAAGGGGTAATGCCTGGGAGATGACATTTTCAATAACTTTGTACAAGGCCTTGTGCTGCACAGGGTGTGCATTGTTGATGTATGACACGATTCGACAGTCACCACCATCCAGCAGTTGCACTTCACAAGGGAGCCATTGGAATTTCCCACTATATAACTTTTCCCAAGCGCTGTAACTGTGAGGGTCAAGCGGCCCGGAATTTGCATGGCCGAGATCTTTCTTCGAGGGAATTGGGATCAGCTCACCCTGCCCTACATGATGGAGACAATCATCGAGGCCAATAATACTGTCAGCCAGAACCCGAGTCTTACCATACACGACCGGGAAGAGAGAAGGATGCACAAGATCGATGACTTGGTTGTCTGAACCTGGATGGTAGTCCTTTCGGTCTTCTGGTACGTCTTCGAGAGGTTTTACGGCGTCTTTCAGTGCTTGTTGCACTTCTTCGGGAACTGCTGTATCGGATCTGAAAATACCAGGATCGAATGCTGAGACGATTCCTGTTTCTTTAAGTACTTTCGCCTTCCACTCAAGCTCCTTGAGGATCCATTCGATCATTTTAGGTGACACGTCCTGGCCACTCTGGGCGATTTCGTTGCGCCATTTTGCTGTGATTTCTGTGTCGAAAATCTGCCACATATTAGATTCACATGCGCTTAGTTCTTTTAAATAATCGGAGGTACCTTTCGATCCCACTCGGGCTTTTCCATGATCGTGTTCATGAATTGCATCATTACAATTTCCCGTTGTGTGATCGCATTCCTAGTCATCATTATTGAACATGAAAATCTCTAGCGCATTGATAGATATAACATACATATCAATTCCGATCTCTTCAGGCAGCAAGGCCAAGGGAAACCCTTCGTTATAGGGGTTGAAAACATTTTTCTAGCTCGTTAGAACATGTACAGAAGTGGTCAAGTCTAGGAGATTTACCTTTGGCAGCTTGTTCAAGGGTACATTGAAACCCGGCATCGATGAGACTGGCTGGTTTGCAGATCCCATTTTGAAAATTTCAACTCTAGTTCGTTCTAAAGAGGTTGACGGGATTACTTCTCAGATAGCATCGAAACTTGTCCCTTAAGTACCCGCGCGATCGCCCCAAGGGTCCAGGCAGAAAGATAGTAGGTTCAGGCAGAACAGCCCCAAAAGCGACGCTAAGACACTTTTGGTTACACTAGCGTTGAAGTTTGATTCATTTCTCTGTATTTTTTTATCTATTCGGCTTAGGTAGAGGGGCCAAGTTTCTTAGATTCAAATTTATTTCATTATAAGGGAATGATGTCCCGATCGATTTATGGAGTTGGGTCCGGCCGCCTGGCCGGCCCCATGATGCGTATGTGCAGGTAAACCCAACAATCACCAGCAATATTGGGCCCAATTGTGTACAGGGGAAATAAAATAAAAGTAGAAGAGAAGGAGAGGATGATCGAGGTCCAGGATTGTTCCAGACGTCGTGTCATTATTTGATTGGCAAAAGGAAAGCACCAACGCTGCGAGATAGTTAGTTATGGGCAGGTTTAGATAATGAGGAATTGACTCACGATATAGCAGTAAAGCACGCGCACAAGATGGCACCCTCAAGATAGTTGGTCTTTCCTTTCATAATAATGAAACTGACAAGCACGGAAGATCCCACAAGAGTGACCATTCCGAAGCTATCAAAGTGCAAGCTCATTGGCTTATCCATCGCCCATCCAACAAGAACAATCATCGGAGCAACTAGGAGACCAATTTGAATGGCCGATCCAAGTGCGACGCTAATCGCAAGATCCATCTGGTTCTTGGCTGCCACAACAACAGCGGTGACATTCTCTGCCACGTTACCAGCAATGGGAATGATAATAAGTCCGACGAATGATTCTCCCAGAACTCCGCGATCATTGAGAACATCAAAACTTGATGCGAAAAACTCGGCACACATAGCGATTAAGACCGTCGCAAGGGTGAGTACGAATAACGACATGCCTCTATTTGCCAACACAGTGTTGCGACAATAGTGGGAATCTTCACCTGCTTGAGAAAACTGGCTTTTTCTGCGGTTGTGACCATAAGAAGTAGCATCCCTTCTTTCCTCTGTGTCGATATGAGTTAATGGAAGACCCGCCTCGCTTTCGAGATCTGTAGGCTCCGAAGCTGGACCAGCCGGAGACGAGACTTCCCGCATTTCAGGGAGATTTTGATTGTGGCATTTTGCGTTGTCTTCCGAATTTCGTCGTGACTCGATGTCTGTGAAAACTGGGTCGTAGGATGGGCGATAGATGTGTTGATCACCGGTTTCATCTTCAACTGGGAATGCCAGTGAGCGGGATCGAAAGATATGGGGGTGACTTCTGAACTGGAAAAAGAGGTAAAGAAAGTAGATGATGAGAAGGATGATCGAAACGCCTCTGCTGAATTCCAAGGCCATATGATCGGCGGTTTTCATGCTTTTCACACTTCCGTAAAAAGCACTCTGTATAGATGTTAGTGTGAGTTTCGTGAAGGTATTGTGCATTCACTAACTGGAATCATAAGGCAAGAGACCGTCAGATTCAGTAACCCGACGAATGAATGAGTGACATCGTTGTTGTAAGTCTGATCCGGGCTGATCACGCCTCCAGCAATGATCGCAGATCCAAGAACGAGCAGCAAGTTCACAAGGACTGATCCCAGAAGAGATGCCTGAACAACTCTGATGTTGTTCTTCAATAGGGCGGTGCTAGTTCCGACAATTAGTACCAAATTCCACCATTATCGACACCATAAGATGATTTGTCTCACATACTGTATAGAGGTTAGTACAATCACAGAAAGTCAGAGGCTAGAAAGGATTACTCACAAGATGATTAACTCGGCCAGATTGCCCAGTGAAATATTAAGCAGTGCTCCCGCAGTTTCGCCCAGATCTTGGGCCAATCTCTCGGTCGCAAAAGTGAGCGTTATCGACAAAGGAATGATAGCGATCAAATTCCAGATGAAAACAACCAACGCCGGCATGTTGAGAGCAGAAAAAATGATGGCGACCAGCGCGAAAACGAGAGACGTGGAATTTTTGAATGATAGTAGGACCTTGAGCTGGCTCTTGATGGCTATAATGGGACTTTCGCAAGCAGGACACGCTCGGGGTTCTCTACTCCTAAAATCCGCCGAGGTTTGGCTCTTGTGGAATATTCTCTTGGTCTGATGGGAGGCCCCATCTTTACGGTGCGCGTCTTGATCTTCATGGATTCCAATAAAAAGGTATTAGCATTACTAGATCGGAAGCATGAGTGGTTTAGAAATGACCCCCGATTCGAAGACCATTTCTTGAATCGATGCTCACTTCCAAAACTGCGCTCAGAGGCACAATCTGCCATTAAACCCGATTCCTCCTCTGGTGCAGAGGCTCCAAGGCCAACATTGTGATGAAGATTCCCGTCTCGTGCAGCATTGCCATTCGTGACCATAATGGAGAAAGATGTTGTCAAATTCAGGGTTTCGAGAGACAAGGTAATAGCGGCCCCAATTTCGGATCTAAGAATTATTTCGTATTCGGTTTTATGAGTGACTGGGGTCGGAATCTTAAATAAACGAGTGTCGTGAAGGGATCGCGTGGCTGTCGCGTGGGGGGTGAGCGATTTGTTTGGCAAGCGACCCAATCGAAAAATCTGGCGGAGAGGAGATCTTTGGCAGTTCAGAGCCACTTGACATTTTAAACCAGCGGGAACTCCTTTTTCCCCCTTATGACTGCCAATTTAAAGAATCACGTGTAGGGAGTGAGATGATCGATCGTGGCAACGTTAGTGGCTTGGTAAACGCTAGCCGAAGTCGGTTTGTGGGCAATACAATTCCCTCAGGGGGGGTCAAGGCCAAGCCAAATGACCCTTGCCAAGAAGATAAGCGTGTGTCGTATTCGGGTGACTGGTTGGCCGTTATGGAGAGCGGAGTTTTGGTGATTTAGTGAACCAATTGTTTGGCTTCAGGGGCCTTGAGGCATTTAATCCCGCGTATTGCCCCTGAAATGGATGCCAGACCCTAGTTCATCACCGTTGAACCATTGATCATGGGGATACTCGTAGATAAGATGGCAGTCAAAGGGGATGCGATAGAAGATCTAATGACTGTCATGACCCGAGCCTTGTATTAGAGAAAATAGCAATGATTGTTTGCCAGGAGCTCCCCGCTTGTGGCCATCCAGCATTTTCCTCCGCTGATCATCTTCCGAGAGCAGAATTGTTGGGGTTCAAATTTTCGGGACGTAAATCATTTCATTTGCCTCCGTGGCAATGTACATACAGTCAAGTTCTTGGCTGCGCGATACAAAATCAGCCTTACAATTGAATCAGCCTTATAAGGAGTGAGAAGCGGGGGTCTTCGAAATTTAAGAAATTTATTTTTCTCAGAAATAAGCAAATTGTTCTCAATTTGAAGTTATCTAATGCGCGAGAACATTCACAACAATTTCATTGTCTCGATATCAGTCTCCGACCGGCATTGGGGGTTAATTGGTAGAATCAAGACGACCGTATTCGGTTCAAGTACTGTGGGGGGGGGAGGTCTCACCTAGGCAGTGAAGGATACTCGTACTCGTTTCAGAAATACTAAATACAATCGCGCGATTCTTCGACGGGTTGGCGTTATCTGACATTCGGAGGTAATGCAAAAAGCTTGGTGTTTTTTACGGCCTAAATTTCCAGCTCTTGGGGGTTCAATTTATTCTAAGGTTTCAACTTGAATTTTGTATTTCTAAGTAGTCAGACGGTAATGGTTTGCTGACGCTCGTATATATTTTGATCTCCAGATGGATCACCATCCGCTGATCGTCAACCAACGAGAACCAGCCTGGACTGATTCAAGTTGCTTCACACACCGGTTAAGCTCTGAGTCGTAGTAATTTATTAGTACGATATCCTGACAAACGACAAACGGTAGTCAGAAAATACCAACATTTCATACAGCTATCGAGAGTAGCAATTTTTATTATTGAAAATAAAAGTGAGGCGGTGCAAGGATGGCAATTTCATCGATTCACCCCGCGCAGACCTCTCTTCCCATTCTTGAATTTCAACACCTGGATCTTCAACGACCTTTGCCAACAAACCTACGACGAGATAAAGAATGCAATTTGAAAATCGTTCTTTCGATTATTTGATCATTGGCGGTGGGACTGCGGGGCTGGCAGTTGCTGCACGGCTTAGTGAAGACCCCAGGGTTCAAGTGGGGGTCATCGAGGCTGGCCCGTCGGCCTTGAACGGCGAGGATGGTGGGGATATCACTGTACCCGGTCGCTACGGAGAAGCCATCAATTCGAAATATGATTGGAAATTCGAAACAATATCCCAGCCTGGGCTGGCGGGTCGATCTCTCCCAATGCCTCGTGGACGCGTTCTTGGCGGTACAAGTGCCTTGAATTTCATGGCCTGGAATAGAGCGCACCGTGACGACTATGATGCCTGGGCGGATCTCGGAAATGCGGGCTGGGGCTGGGACGATCTGCTGTGTGTGATAAAAATCAAATACGAGATTGCAACTGACATGTTAGCAGCCCTTACTTCCTTCGCAGTGAGACATTTCACCCCCCCCTAGTGCTGCCCATCAGAAAGACTACAAGTCAAGTTATCAAGCCGAATTCAATGGTACGAAGGGTCCGGTTCAGACGACACATACCAAGGAATATGGCCCAACACACCAGTACTGGCATGACACAATGAACGCTCTGAACATTCCTTCGAGTGAAGATAGCCTCGCTGGGGCTAACTACGGGACTTGGAATATGGTTTGCAGCATTGATCCTAGCCAACAAACACGGAGTTATGCCGCTTCAGCTTACTATGCCCCAATCGCATATAGGGGAAATCTGCATGTATTTCCCAATACGACTGTTCTCAAAGTGCTCTTGGAGAAAGGCGACTCAGGCTTGAGAGCGACTGGTGCAAGTGTATGCCATGACCAGCACATCTGGGAGCTGAAAGCTAGAAGAGAAGTTATTCTGAGTGCTGGTACAATACAATCGCCACAGATCTTAGAGATTTCCGGCATTGGTGCACGAGGAGTTCTAGAAGCTGCAGGAATCGAAGTGAAGCTTGAAAATAAGAACGTGGGAGAGAATTTGCAAGACCATATGAGTAGGCAGAAATCACCACCGGTCAATACACCCTCAATAAGTAGGCCGATCTGACATATCTCTAGTGTTTGCGAGTATATACGAGGTACTTCCAAAACTGTCATCTAGGGATGACATTATCGGCAACCCAACTCTACGCGCCGCCGCCGATCATGCTTATCAGACCTCGCAAACTGGCCCGTGGACTGTACTTCCGTGTTCGGTTGCCTATTGCTCCGTGTCGGACATCACCTCAGAGAAAGAACGTTGTGGCTTGATCTCGTTTTCCAAAAGCCTTGAACATCAACTTGGAGATGATTCCGTGAACACAAAACTGCGGCAACACGTAGAACGAACCCTGCTTCCCACACCCCAGGGCCGCATTGAATACATCTTTGATTTGGGAAATTGGTGTCCGTTTTTCGAGTCAGATCCGGATAAAAAGTATGCAACTATGCTTCAGGTACTACAATATCCGTTATCTCAAGGGTTTGTGCATATCCGAGCCCGACTAGATGAGGCCGACTTGGTTAGTGCTGAAGAAATGCCCATCCTGGATCCGAAATACTATCTGGGGATGGGTCTGTTTGACAAGAAGATAATGGCCCTGGCGCGGAAATTTGCAGATAAAATATGCCAAACAGAGCCATTGGCAGGAATCATCAAAGGTCGTGTATTTCCTCCATTGCGGGATGACTCGAACACAGAAGATAGTCTATCTGATTTGGGGACCGTGCAAAACGACGAGGCCGAGAAGAATGAACAACTTGACGATGGCCTAATGGAAAAGTACACCATCACTGACTGGCACCGTACGTCCAACCTTCTGCCTCTGAAATTCTGCACAAGCTAACACTAAAGTGCAGCCATCGGCACCTGTGCGATGGGCGGTTCAGGAGGTGCACGCGACGGAGTCGTCGACGAGCGTTTACGAGTTTATGGCGTACATGGCTTAAGGGTGATTGATGCTAGTATAATGCCTCTGCAGATCGGGGCTCATCCCCAGGCAACTGTGTACGCAATTGCCGAGAAGGGAGCAGCCATGATCATAGAAGACTGGAAAAGCACTTGAAAATTGGATATGCTGTTGATCCCTGCTTTGAAATCTACACGAACAACATAAAGTTTAGACAAAACGCCCGGATGCTTGGTCCGGCCTCCAGAGAATGCTTAGTGGCTGGGCAGTACGGCTAATCCTCGGCTCATGCACAGTCATTCGTATAACCATCCCAGCCGAGACTTTTGGGTCATATGCTCCTCGTATCTATCTTTCTGGCACCTGCACGGTGTATCTGGGGTTCTTTGTTGTTTTGAAGCTGAAAAGGCTTCATATTGACACATCATCGCTTGATCTGACACGGGATTTTGACTCCGCTTGCCGGGATAGCGTGTGACAGCGTGCAATTTGAAGCAGACACTGTCCTCCGCAGTTTCTTGGAAACAAAAAGGTTCAGCCCTGGCCAACATAATTGAAAGTAGCATCATCTTCCGAAACCATGGTGGAAGAGGGTCTTCTCTGGCGACCCACTGCATCAGGCCGTTGGGAGCGCGACATCGATGAAGTGGAACAGTTCTATACAACACTTGCGAGGAGATTTGGCGGAACAGGAAGTGCCATTTTCGCGATGACTGCCCACATGTCATTATACATTGTCCGTGACAGTGAGGCCGTAGAGTTGCGTGTGATCGATGCCTTGCAGAAAGCATGGGTATGCCTGCGATACGACCACCCAACTATTGCGTCCTGGGTGGAATACAATGAAGAAGCCAGAAAATGCAAAAAGATATATGAAGAATTTTTGAAAACAGACGCGATCTCACATATGAAAGCTTGGCTCGACGATACATTCCGCCTAGTGACGGACAGCCAGTCCGGCGAGGAATGGTGCAATTCAGATCCACCTGTCCCCAAACTCCCCACAGTATTCATCGTTAAACGAAAGGAAGCTCCAGATCATGCATTGATTCTGGATCTAGTTTTCAGGTCGCAGCATAATATTATCGACGGCATCGGCACGCTTCATTTAATGGGCAATCTCATTCGCTACGCCGCCCGAGCGTTCAACGAGCCACACATATTTGCGATCCCTGATTTTGGTGACGAATGGAAACATCTCAGTCCGCCTTTAAGAGTCGCAGCCGGTATCCCGAATGATTTACCACCGGAGAAACAGGCAAGATTCCGACAGATCGTGGAATTTAACACCGTGACGCGCAAAGAGGCTGAGATTTCAACCATCCCGTTTCGGTTTGGCCGCTCTATACCAGGTCGTCACCAGCGTGTCGCATTTGCTGCATCTCCAGAGGTTTCTTCTCGAATTTTGCTCGCGTGTAAGAAGATCAACGCTAGTCTTACACATGTATACCACGCCTCAATCGCCATGACCATACGGGACCTCCAGGAGCGGCGATCCAAGAAGCGGTCAGTTCGATACATCAGCTATGCTCTAATAAACGAGCGCGGACACTGTAAAGAGCCATTCTATACCCCTCTCCATGCAGCAGCAGTCTACCATTCAGTTTCAGGACAAAGTATGGCAATCGATTTGGAAGTTTCGGACACCTCCAGCAATCCCCCCAGCGAAGGCGAAATCAGAGAAGAGATGCGAAGGGTCGTTGGTGAGGTCAAAAAATATTATTTGACTATCAAAAATGACCATGAACACTTATCAATGACCCCCCTCGTATTGGCAGCTCGCAACACCCGAATATCCGCTTGGCAAAGAGGATCCACCCGTCCCAGCGCCCAATCCAACGCCCTCGGCCTCTATCACCAGTCTAGGTGTTATCGACAATCTAATCCCTTCGCAGCTGGGCCCCTTCGAAGTCGAAAATCCCTGGGTGACCGGAGAGGAATTAGGCACAGGACTGGGGGTATTTCTTGGAACATTCCGCGGTCGCATGTGTCTGAGTGCGGCATACAATGATGCGTGGCACGATAAGGCGGAGGTGATGAATTTCGTGGAAAAATGCCACACGCTAGTCCTAACTTGCCTCAAGATATATCGCGGCTAGAGAGTTAGTTCCGATAATTTTTTAATTTTTCATGCATGATATCAGGTTAAGAACATAGGGGCCAACAACCAATTCTGCACGTCCTACGTAACCAAACCCAACTAAACGATGAACAACCATTAGCGTAAGCACAATAATAGAGTTTCTACCCCACACCGGCTTCTTATCAGCGCGCGGCCCCCCCTTCCAAACCCTTTGTGCCTCGTGGTTTCTATTTTGCGTGGCTTTCCCGTCCCTTTCAACCCCCAACCCTGCGAAATGCCAGCAGATCGACAGCCAAGGACAACGCGAATAGTACGCGTTCGCACTGGGTGTTGGACTTGCAGGCGCCGCAAGAAGAAGTGCGACGAGGTTCGTCCGATTTGTGGCGGCTGTTCACGGAATGAACTGGGCTGCTCGTGGCCAACGATTATCCCAGGGAGAAGGAATTCCGGGCCTGAGAATGAGGCCTCAAAAGACAGTGCGGATTTGAGGCGATTCAGTCTTCCTGAAACGATTGACGAACACGAGGCGATGAGACTATCGGCCAGTCCAGCGTCAAGGCGGCATTCCTCCTCGATTTCGTCGATCGGGTCGCCATCAGTTACTGCTAGTGATGACCTGGACGAGCCTATGGCACAGAACGAGTCGGCAGATCACTGTAACTCATCAGCTGGAAATACTAGCAACGACGACATCTCTCTGATACACAGGGCTCATGTTGGAAATGTGGTGCCGAGGACAATGTCCATGTTACCTGGCTACGATCCAGAATCATATCAACTTCTCAGTCATTATTTGAGCACCACGGCGGACTGTATGGCCAACGGGTCTACCCCAATCAACCCTTTTCTGGTGCAAATTGTACCCCTTGCATTTAGCAGCGACCTCTTACTCCAACTTGTCATCACTCAGAGTGCGGCCCATCGTGCGTTTCGCCGCCGTGATGAGACAGATGCTGTCGCCCATTCCCATTATTCCAAGGCCATCAAACTATTCCGACACGGGGTGACCGAATTTATTGAAGGCAAAGAGCCCAATCCGCTTATGCTACTAGTTGGCGCTCTCCTGATGTGTTTCACCGAGGTAAGACGATGTTTCACTCGAAACCTGCTCGGGGAATATTAATACTAAGATAAAATAGACAGCCAAAGGTGACATGACAGGCACAATATTCGACCATCTATCGGCCGCAAATACTCTCCTTGTGAAGCTTCTTGCCCAGAGTGACACAGCTGTACCAAGAGAGTTGAAAGATTTCGTGATTGAATATTATTCCTACACAGCGACCGTGAGCATGATCTCAATAGACGCTCGACTGAGTGGACAGCTGTTTCTAAACTTCGAGCTTGAGCAACGAGCGCGAGAACTCCTCCAAACGCAATATGTCGGAAACCTCTGCGGCTGCTGGCTTGAACTCCTTCTCCTGATCCCGTGCATTTTCGACCTTGGCCGACAGTGGATGATGGATGATGGTCCGGCAACGATACCCACAGCAGATGACATGGCGATGTTTGCGTCTATCCAAGCGCAGATCCTCCGATGGTCCCCTTATCCATTCGTGGTTTCTGAGGTCTACCTTGCTGGGTTGATCTTCCAACAAGCAATGATCATTTATCTATACACATCTCTCGGCGGTTATGAGCACACCTCGGATGGGATTTACAATGGCCTTATCCAGACGGCCGTCACAGAAGCAATGACATACCTGGGCGAGCTATCACCAGAAGCACGCATCAACTCCGGCTTATGCTGGCCCATTGCCGTCGTCGGTTCTTGTCTTTCCAAACCTGAGCAGCAGGAATGTCTCAGAACACGCCTTGTCGCAATGGCGACGCACTTTGGCCTGGGAAATATGCAGAGAACACTCCTACTCCTTGAAGTGATGTGGCAACTTCCACAATCCGAGGCCGGGCCTTGGAATATCTGTCGGACAATGCAGCAGAATCAAATTTGGATTTCATTTGCGTGAGCTCCAATCGGATTAATTGAATAATTTGGTATATTCTCACTACAGGCAAAGCAAAGCAAAGCCTACCCTACTCATGGCCCGGCCAAGTTCTTCGGTACCTTTGTGGCTGGTCCCTCTGGTGTCACATACGCCTTTGTCATGCCCCCATCGACAACAAAGTCAGTCGCATTGACAAAACTACTCTCATCACTCGCCAGAAAAACAACAGCATGCGCTTGCTCAATCGCCTCACCGAACCGACCACTGGGAAAATGCACCTCGCGACGGAATCGTTTCTCCTTATCATCACCCAGCCAGTCCTGGAGCAAGGGTGTATTCAAAGGCGCAGGGCAAAGCGAATTGAACCGGAATCCTATCCAAACCATGCATCATTAGCGAATGCACCCATATCATAACCGTTTTTTGGAAATCTTCCACTTACCCTCACGCGCGTGAACGATACCCAACTCCCTGGTCATGGCCAAAACAGCGCCCTTGCTCGCAGTATACGCCAACTGAGACGTCGCAGCACCAACCAGCCCAACCACACTAGCAGTGTTAATCACGCTACCCGCTTTCTTCCCATGTCTCCGGAATCCGAGCACGGCCTGCTTGGATCCAAACCACACGCCCTTAACATTGATGTCCATCGTTCGATCCCAGATATCCTCCGGACACCCCACCGAGTCGGCATCGCGGGGATGCATGATTCCAGCATTGTTGAAAATGACATCGATTCCGCCCCAGGAATTTAGGTGTGACACTGCGGCTTTGACTTGGGATTCGTCTGATACGTCGACGGTCTTTGTTTCGACGTTTCCGGTTCGAAGATTCGGAGGGATGGCAGTGTTTACTTTTTGCAGAGCGGTGGTGAGGCCCGTGTCGCTGATATCTGTCATCAGAACGGATGCGCCTTCGCGGAGCATGAGGATGGTGGTCTCGAGGCCGATGCCACTGTTTGTAGGCCATGGTCAGTATGCGCTCGTTTTGTCTTCACTGGCAGGCTTCGAGAAATTCCGAGTCCTTACCCGCAGCACCGGTGACGATGGCATTCTTTCCTTGGAGTCGTCCGACCATTATTATGTTGTAATTTAGCAAAGAATTATATGATGAATGTAAATTACCTAGCAAGAAGCTCAAAATGGTGAAAAGGAACGAGTCGGAGAAGTATAATCTAGTACTATCATTCTATGACTTATATTTTATCACCGAATGACTATATAAAACCCCCATCTCCACTACTAGTAAGTCATCAACACAGTTCCATCGAAAAAGCACATCGCGAAACGCCCTTCGAGGCGCGCTGAATGCACAGGCTCCGCGAGACAACCTGCTGAGCGATGCATTTCGCCCATCGCGCTCCTCTGACAGCTATGCCGTCGGATGGCGCTGTACCATGGTCAACTATCATGTTAGAACGCGGGGTAACAAGCCACCGAACACGAGTTTCGATAAGCAAATTGAATTCGTTCACGTGGATCTGCCACTCGAAGTCTTTAACCGCGCTTCGAAAGTAGGAGCGCGGTCCCGGACCGCGGTGTGGTGTGGGTCTACGAGCGCCACTCGGTGGAATGTCGACGAATGCCAAGAGCGAAAGGAGTGGAAGAAAGTTGGACTGGTGAATGATGTAACTAAACGGGACAAGATAGCTCGAAATACCTACGAGTATGTACAGTGCATTTATTGGGGAGAATAGGGGGAATAATTCAGGAGGCATCGATTCATTTTATTGCATTCATTATGTACATATGGTGTTTGACCGAAATAACTCTAGTTACCTGTTTTCACAGAACAGGCACGCGAACAGTTTTACTTAGGCATTCTTAATGTGGTAGCTCTTCAGCTTGGTGAAACCATCATAGGCTCGGGGTCCGAGGGTGGATCCCAGACCAGAGGATTTCCAGCCGGTCCATGCCAGATCCTAGAGAATGTATTAGCTGTTGCTCAAGGCAGCAGGGCAGGAGAATCAGAACTGATTGCAGTACTTACCGGAGCGGGATAGTCGCAGCGGTTGAGGAATACTGTGCCAGCCTCAACCTGGTCGATGATCTCCTCACCCTTGGCAAGATCCTTGGTCCAAACACTGGCAGTCAGACCATAGTCAGTGTCGTTCATCAGAGCAATGGCCTCCTCGTCACTAGAGACCTTCATGATCGGCATGACAGGGCCAAAGGTCTCCTCCTTCATGGTGATCATTTTGTGGTTGACATTGGTCAAGACAATGGGGGGAAAGGTAGTTGCCCTTGAGGGCGGTGTTGGCCAGAGCAAAACTGGCATTCTCGGGGGTCGAATTAACAGCTCCTTTGCTGAGAGCATCGTCGATGTGAGATTGAATCTTAACCTTCGCTGGGGCGGAGATAACAGGGCCGGTAGTGGTGGTTTCATCTTGAGGGTCACCAAGTTTGTAGCTGCAAAGGGTGGTCAGTATCGATATCTTAAGTTGCGGAATGCAGGACATACTTCTTCAGCTCCTCCTGCACGAGACGAACAAATTCATCGTAGATCTTCTCGTGCACATACACGCGCTCAACAGAGCAGCAGCTTTGTCCGGAGTTGAAGACAGCGCCATCAACCAAGTTCTCAGCAACATTCTTCACATCGACGTCAGGGCGCACATAGGCGGGATCGTTACCACCCAGCTCAAGGTTGACAGGCTTGACCTGGCGCGCGGTTGCCTCGCGCAATCGGATTCCACCGGCAGTGGAGCCAGTGAAGGAGATAGATTGAACGGTGGGGAGCTGGGCGACTTGGTCGAGAACATCCAGGCTTCCAATTTGCAGGACCTGCAGCACGTTCTTGGGCAAACCAGCCTCGGTGAAGATCTCAAGCATCCTGTCACCGAAGAGAGGAGTCTGGGGCGACGGACGAAGGAGGACACTGTTGCCAGCGAGCAGAGCAGGAACCAATGCGTTGACGGTAGTCAGGTATGGGTACTAGGAAACAGAAACGGTTAGTTAGTGAAATGCTCGGGCACGCTGTGCACAAAGGGACCTCTTACATTCCAAGCGCCGACAATCAACACCGGTCCCAGAGGAACTCGCTTGACTGAGCGGTTGAAGCCTTCTTGGGGCTGTCCAGGAAGGTCTGCCAGGCTCTCCTCCGCGATATCCATCATATGCTCTGCACGAAGACGCATGGTCTTGATCTCCCCTGCGCAGTACCTAATGGGTCGGCCCATTTGGGTAGTGAGCTCCTTCGCCAGCTCATCGATACGAGTATCAACGATATCAAGAGCGCGCTTCACAATCTCCTTTCTCTGGTTCAATGTGGTGGTGCGATAAGCTTCGAATGCTTGCTTGGAAGAGGCGGCGACCTTAGTAGCATCCGCGAGAGAAGCGCCGGGCTTGTCAAAGATAACCTCATGGGTGGACGGGGAGATAGTTCGGATTTGGTTCGACATGGTGATGTGTGGTGTACGTGAAAGGGTATAATCGGAGTCGCAATGAAGAGATGTGTTGAATTGAAATTCCAATGCACCCGACGGAGCTGGATTTTATAGGTAGCGCGGTGAAATGGCAAATGGCTCCGCTTATCGCGGTCTTGGAGGGGGGCATTGCGAGGGGAGCATTCGATTGGAGGTTGAAAGTTGGAAATTCCCCACGACCCCCCGCCATCAGGTGACATGGTCCTTAGTCATCGCTATATAGTTGCATTTTTATAACTTGGAGAGTGCAATGCATTATGGTCACATAGAAGGATCATTCGGAGCTGATTAAAGGTCAAATTATTCCATTGCCTCACTATCTATCCTTTCCATGTCCATTCAATTGCGGGTTGGTACGATGTCAGCCAGCATTGAATGTATGTGTATTGCACGCAAGTACGGAGTAGACACCTATTGATTTATTTATTGTTTACATTATTTCGATTATATGATATGTGCTAGTAGTGCTACCTCAATCATTTCAAGGGTTTATGCAGGCCTCGGTAATGAATATCACAATTTCTCTCGCCAGGTTCTCACCATCAGTCTTCTTTCCTGCTCTGGACTTTGCATCGACATATTGTTCATCATTGAAAACCCCGGTCTCATGTCGGACCTTCAATACAGATGACATGATGAATTCTGTAAATTCAGGATGAGCCTGTACACTCCATACCCGTCCGGGCATATGAAGACCTTGAATCGCGCAGCGGGGACTATATCCCAAGTTGACGCAGCCCTCTGGGACTTCATGCACGACATCGCGATGCATTTGTTGCAGGTACTAGAAAAAGTTAGTTAAGTTGGACATTTCGAGGACGTATGTCTTGAAATACCAGTTTATCCTGCCCGAACAGAGCTTTCCCAGCATCTGTCAGCGTGATTTCCTCGACAGAGATTTCCCAACCATCACTCCGTCCAACACGAGCGCCGAGCGCGCGTGCGATGATCTGATGACCGAAGCAGATACCAACTACAGGCTTTTTATGATTCTGCAGAATACCACATACGTATTGAGTCAGGCTCACGATCCATGTCTCATCAGAGTGAGCATCGTGTTCTGCTATAGCTTAGTGATTGCCACCAAGAGTTATCCATGTAAGCAAAAAGGTCACTTACTGCTTCCACTGAGCAGAAAAGCATCAATATCATTCGGATTGGGATAGACCGGATTCCCCACGACATTCCATTTGCTGATCTCAAAATCCACGCTAGAGTTGGCCGCCACTAAACCCTTCTTCAACAGCGCTTCAAAGATAACTCCATAGTTGCCGACTTGTTCGACAACAGGCGGGACTGGCGTATCGCATTCGAGAATCGCAACGCGGAGTGTTCGTGTCATTTCGGAAGGTGAATTTCGGACGCTTTCTGGTCTTTGCAACCTTCCGGTTAGTTATCATACCTTTATGAAGGCTTCCGTCCCCAAACTTTTGGTAAGCGCGCTAAGACCCACTGCGCGGTCCGAGGAGCATTCCCCTCCCGACGGGGGACTAGATGGTTTGGCCAATCATTATACCTTCCACGTTGTCTCATAGATATACTTCGATGCGATGGGCTTTATCTTAATAATTTGTACTCAATTTGTCGCCATTATCTCAAGATATCTCACCTGCAAGATAATTAATACCGGTCGAAGGCTAAGGCAGACGGTGGCAACTAAATGTGCAAGCGTTAGTCATCAGAACTGGGAATTTCTGCAATTTAAATGCCAAAGTCACTACCACAGAGGATTTTCCCGATAGATTCATCTCATACATTCTAATTACATTCAGAGGATTGTACCTTATCCATAAGCTTAATGCTGAGCGATCTGGGCTTCACCCCACCCACATAAGAGGGGCTGGTGAGGTTCTAAGAAATATGTGCCATGATCTACTCCATGCAGAATGGAGCTAATGATATTCCACCTCCCGATGAAACTTGGAGTACTTAGTAAATAAAATCAGCTCCACTGGCCGGATCGTTCCGCGATTGAAGGGCTGCAGACGGGGCTCCAGCCTGCCGATTTACCGATCGACTTGCGGGCTACAAGAGCTTAACTATGGTTATTCTTTGCAGGGGATTTGATATTGTGGCTCGAGGAGAATAGTTATCATTAATGAAACAAATAAATCCTAAGATTGAATAGATCTTTCTAGTTGAGAGACACCGAATCTATTTCCAAATTTTGAACATCCATATGAGATAAAGCTGATCACCCAAAAAGGTTAGATCATAAGGGGCCAAAATAATTTCGACCAACAGACGCCCGACCTCCAGACTGAACTAATGCTTACACTTGTCGTGATCCTTTGCCCCTCATTTTTCTTCTCCTGCACCCTGAAACCACATCCACCACCAATATGGGAGCTGTGCGGCCTGCTTTGATAGACTTCCAAGTCATCCCAGCAACCGAAGATGATTGTTTAACACTTGCGCAAGTGGAAGCTATCGCGTTTGATAATTCAAAGAAAGAGCCCCCTGGGTCCAATACCTTCCAGATAATGTTCGGCTCATACAGCGATGTGGGCAATGAATTCCGACGCGGCAACTTCCTCGAAAAAATGCAGACAGACCCGACTGCCCGCTTCTGGAAGGCTGTGACCAAGGACGATAATGGACTGGAGAAAATCATTGGCTGGGCCCGTTGGCATTATTTCACTGAGCCTAAGACCATAGAGCCATTGAAAAAGGATATTCCTTGGCCCGCCACGGCGAATCGCGATGCTTGCAACGATTTTATCGGGGCTATTGAGCTGGCGAAAAAGAAACATATGGATGGGAAGAGATTTAGATGTAGGAGATTCATAAAAACTTTCCCATTTTTATTGAGTAATGGCTAACACACAGTAGTCCTGCAGGTCATTGCTACACTCCCGGAATATAGTGGGAAAGGTGTCGGGTCGGCCTTGTTGCGACAAGGACTTTCAACCGGCCGGGAGCTGGGCCTGAATGACTATTGGATTGACGCATCTGCTGATGGTCATGATCTGTATGCGAAATTTGGATTTGTGGATACTGAACCTATCCTAATGGATGCGGAGAAATATGGTGGAGTCGGTACTATTTGTATAATGGGAATGAGAAAGACAGAGTAAGTCAGAATGTACAAACCCGAGTTGGTATTGTTTATCTTATTTTTTTTTCTTTTAATTACAGATGAACTAGGGGTTCCCACTACTTCCATTCACACGATTATTTATCGAACCTATCACCCCTGTACTTCCTTCCCTTCCCAATTCGCATTTTGAAAAAGAACAATCTATTGAGGTGTGGGGCCTCAGATCTACTCATTCACATACATCCATCCTTTCTATCCTTTTCATTTCTTCAAGTCTCTGCCACGAACTCAAAAGGCAACATGGCATCAGCTGGGAAAGGTTTTCGGCAAAACAGCCTGGTTGGAAACCCCCCGCGAGCCCTAACAAGAGGAAAATGACGCCGTTTGAGACGCTCGAAAAGCGCGAGCTCGACTGCAATCCAATCTTCCCCAAAGAAGCCATGCAGAAAATCTCTAAGAAGCTTCGAAATGGAGTCAAAAGGGGCGACGAGATCACCTCAAAGGACATCACAGGACAAGGCGTCAAATTCAAGATTCGCACGGGTGAAGAGGTCAGCACGAACGATGTCACGAGCGATGGACCTGGAAAACTGATTCTGGGAGGAACTCCCTTTCCTCTCCTACACTGTTAATACTGATTTGAAAATCCTTGACTGAGGAGAACCCTTCATTCATTACCACACCATGGATGTGTTGAAAGTAACCGCGCTTGGCAACACCGATAAATCATCCAAGTTGAACCTGCCATTCTGCTCAATGAATATTGGGTACGTTACCGAGCACAGAGATCTCAAAACTCGAGAGCTGATTCACAAGCGGGTGGTTCTGGATCTAAACGGTGTGAAGGCGAAATACAAATCCGCCCAGGAGTAATGGCTGGCTTCAGGGGTTGGCCATCGAGTGAGAGAAGTGCTACAGATCATCACCTGCGGTAAAGTCAGCAAAGTTATCACAGTTGGCTTGAACTCCATTTCATCGCCGACTCTCTTCGACCACCACGATCACAATACAGTTCAAGACCGTACCATCAACCAGCATCTGCTTTTATTGACAATTTGTGAATGTCTTCGCAACAGAAGAGTCCGATTGGGAGGAAAATCTACCGATATCACATGCTTTGCACAGGACCCGGCCTATACAAAGGTCGACAAGCAGTTTCTCAATCTACACCAGATCAAGGTTATCAAGGACCCTGAGGCATAAATCGAGGTTGACGAGTCATCGATGGTGATAGCAATAAACCCAAGTGTCCCAGCAAGATAGATCGTTATAGATGTGGCTCAACCAATGGTCATGTTCTGGATGACGCTCCAGCCCGCATTACAGTGGCGCGCACCCCAATTGAATTTGAGAAGTTGAAATAGCCGACTATTTTCTAGTGATTCCGACCCCGCGGGATCGGAGCGACTAATCCCTTCTGCGCAGCTTTCACAGTGAAATGGACTTGATGCACCCCATGTTTGTCGGTACGAGGGACCGAGCAGCCCATCCCGATCTCACGGACTTGTCAGTGTTCGTTCATGGCTGGGCCTGTGTGTGAGGCAAGAGAACCTTGCAAGATGAAGAAGATCAAATAACTAGGTCGGATCGCGAAAGATTGTACGGATGAATGGTGTTAAAGGAGATGTCAAGGTCATAGCCATAGGCTCAGAAATACAATACAAACTCTCCACTGATCTAATAACAATGTCACTAGGTGCCGGCTCATTACTGGCACAACTTGTTTTCCCTATAGTTCCGCGGATATAAGCAGGAAATAAGGACGATGTCTTTCATCCGCCCACTCTGGGTGCTCAGAAACATCTTCCTTGGAAGGGACCCAGTCTTTCAATCCAGTCAACTTGAACCCGTTCTCCAGGAGGAGGGTAATGTATGTTTCCACCGTCCGATGGTACTTCTTGACACCCGACACACCCAACCAACTTGTATAGCGCCAGCCCTCCTCACTATAGGAATTAAGTGGCCAGACTTTCTTATTTTTGCCTCCTTCTTGGAAAGACGTCCAATCTGGACCGGGGACTGTTGGGGCTGAGCAGATAGGGTGTTCCACCGAGAATACCAATCTGCCCCCTTGCTTCAATGAAGCGAAAATCTCGCGATAAAGCCGAGAGAGATCCTCAACGTAGTGGAATGTCAAGGAGCTGTAGACGAGATCGTATGTGCCTTCCTCTGGGCTATTGCCAAAGGTGATCTTATCGAGATCGCCTGTTCCAAACCCAATTTCACAAGATTTTGTGCGAACGGAATCCTCGAACTCTTTCGCCCGACTAATCATCTTCTCGGAGAGATCAATCCCTCTGATGTGGGAGGCGCCATGGTCACGCGCCCACCTGGAAAACCAGCCATAGCCGCAACCAAGGTCAAGAACCCTCTTTCCGCTCAATTTGCTCTCCTCGGAACTGGATGGTTGGGTGCTATCTTGTAGCACCATTTTTTGTAGAACCGGCCATTCCGGAGCAGAGGATAGCCCGCCCTGTGAGCGTGGAAGCGTACTGTATGCTGAGAAGAACTCGGAATTGTCGTAGATATTTTGTGCTTCGGACGGCATGGTGGGAAATGAGATAGGAATTTAAGGAATTCAATTGAATGAAAAATGAACCGATATCATTTGAAGAAGAAAAGAAGCAAAGAATGCGGAAGCTTCCGACGTCCGATTTCCAAATATGGTCCCCGACTTACAATGTTGTCATTTATAGTGACGAGCACAAGTTATAACACAATTACTCAATATACTGGGCTATGATATATTTTAAGACATCCCAAAAGGCACAACTAACGGTGGATGTCTTTTAAACCGCATCTCTATACACAGCTAAATAATTATTACGGAAGTTGGTGTCCCAGAAAGTAGAAATTTGCTGATGCCCATGGAGTCACCCGTGGACGGAAATAACTTCGGCACCGATATATCCCAATAGTACCAATAAAGACCCATGGATTCCGCTAACCACTACTAGTGGATACTGGTATTAGTACGATTTTATCAAATATTTCAAAACAGCATTGGATGCATAAAGTAGTGATATCCGGAATTTTAACACTAGAAATGAAAAGACCCAATCAACATTAACATCCTCGGTATGCAATTCCAACACTCAAAATACAATTGGACTCGGAACGATAGAAAATTAAGACTGTCCATTTCCATTCTCATCTCCAGAATCCCCGTCTTCCACAAATGCTTTGTGATCGACATTTTCCTCCTTCGATTTAACAGTTGATTCAGTCTCAGTAGCAGCACCCTCATCATCATCGGCATTCATGTGTTCAGTAATATCCGTCGCAGTGCTCTGCGACTCCTGCTCCTGCTCCTGCTCTTGGTCTGGCTTTGGCTCTGGCTCCGGCTTTTCCTCTTGCACAGCCTTGCCCTTGTTCCTTACAGGTAGTGAGCCTCCCACCTCACTCCTCCCTTCGGCCCCAGATTCATTCGGCGCCTGTGAAGACTTGGAGCTTCGAGCTTTTCTCGCGCGCGCATGAGCCCGACGAATAAGACGGTTGTGATAATCTTCTTGTTCAAGCTCGGTATCTTCATGAAGAATGCGGCGGGCTGCATCTCGACCGACGACGGGAAGACGGTCGATTCCGTGGGGGTTATTGGGCGCAAGTTTTGGGTCGAGAAGTCCGACTTGGACTAGCACGCTTGCTTGGTCCCAGTAGACATGTTCCGAGTAAAGACGCCCTCCGCGCAGGCTAACGATGCTAACTAACATTATTTCGACATTCTTGTTGGTCGGTGGTACTCCGGGAAGCATCCATGGAATTTCATTAGTATGCTCGAAGGAAATGTAGAGTTCGTCCACGACGCGGTCGGCTCCGGCTGTTCGTGATACCAGACGGATACGCATCGAAGAAGGAAGCTTTCCTAGGAAGAACTGCCCGTAGAAACGGCGGAGAGCTTGGTTGCCAATCCCGCCGGATAACGTCGAGGTATATGTCACAGATGGGACTTTGTTCTTGACGTATCCCTCCAACGTCTTGGACAAATTTGATCTAAAGAATTTCGCTACATCCCATTAGTTTCGGGTCATTATGTCTAGCAGTTTTTTCGATAGTATACCTTCTTGATGATCATCCCAGCGCTTTTCGAGATCTTCGTCTCGAGAAAATCCCTTTCTCAACGCTTTGACAGTCCGAGCCCAGGCAATATCTGCCGCCAGATTGTTATACTCCTCCATGTCGTGTTCGGCAAACCCAGGCTCCGCATATTCGTAGGTGAATGCCGGGTAGGCAAGTGTCATGCGTTCACCAGTACCGAGCCCAGGTTGAATTGGTCTGGTCTTGCGGCGCCTCTTCCCCTGCAATCCCAATGCTTGTGGTTGTGCGAGGACATCGATCGTTTTGCCCGCCAGGTGAACCAAAACAGGCAGGGAGAGGGCAAAGCTCGTTCGAGTATCAGGAATGACGGTCGGGTAGTATGCGATTAGACCACAAAGGCGACTGCAGTTGAAAGACTTGCTGTAATACTCCAGACAGTAGCTGGCCGCTTCTCCAAATGCTATCCAAAGATTGTTTAGCTCGGCCACCACAAAGAATCACACTAAAGAAACATACCAATCACTGCATAATTCTCTCCGACACCCAGCCCTTCCTTCACAGCCTTCAGTTGGCTCTCGTACTCTTTCCCCCGCCATTCAGAGGTATATAGATGACATCGAACCCTTCCTCCTGCCAATCTTGGATAGTTTGGTCGTCAAATTCGCTGGTCTCGGAGGTGATGCAAACTCGCGCATTATTGTTGCCATTATTATAAAGAAGCCCGTTGCTTAATCCGGGGGCACTGATAGAAACAGTCGCCATTTTGTAAAATGCGACCGGTGGAAGTGTTGTTGATTCTCCGTGAGGATTCCCCGCGTGGGTCGGGATGGATTTCAAGGATACGCCGACCGATGGATATTTAGATGCGCGTATATTGACCTGTTCATGCAAAAACAAGACTAAAATCAGTTGGAATGAAGCTCAACGTTGAAAAGAAGAGGATGCCGTCCTCGTCGCATGACAGCTAACGGGTCTACGTCATCGGCGCTGTCAGGTTAGCCTCGACGTCATTTGTGTCGCCTTCCATGGAAAATCATCAGGAAAATAGATTAACTGGCCATTTGGGGAAGATTCGATGGGACAGGGGTTATCCACCACTCAAACACCCATGGGTGTAGTTGTTTTAGCGTCTTCTTTCACAATAATATAGAAACCAGATTTTGGGTGTTAATCGTAGAGGTTCGTACGTTAAGAGAAGTTGATATAAGCAGCCCCGGGCCGGTACAATAATATTATTATATCCTTTTTGGCCTACCACTTCGTGAGAAATTGAAATGCTACCACCACTACTATTATATATCCAGATTTCATTTCATTTTGGTCAGATGGCGCGCACAGATAGAGTCTTTCTGGCCTCGACTCCGATATGGAACTGATGCGAAAAACACGGCAAAGCCGTTGGGGAGAAACACGACGCCCACGTTACCTGGATACAACCTTGGAATTGGTTCAAGCTACCTGGGTATCATATATGAAGGCTGGTTCTCAAATATAATAAATACGTTCAAATCGACTGGAGGACTTTCTGGTACAGGAAATTAAATAACACGTATAATGACGCAAAAATTCCCCACTGAACGAAAAAGCTGTCAGACTTGAAGATTGCACCTTTGATACAGAGAGTAATCATAAAAGTCAAGCTCGCTACAATGAATACCTCGGCAGAACCTCGCCATGAAGGGCCCTGGGGCCTGGGTGTATGGGTTGAAGGGGGGAACCTCCCGTTGTCTTCGGTATTCATATTTTGCAATATGATAGTGTGACCCAATCGATGCACTAAAATAAGCACCAGGGTGTTAATTGACTTCCAACTCCCAGGCCCCCGCTGTCGAAGATAAACTCGGTCCACGCTTCTTTGACTTGTTCCTCGAAATGTCCCCTGGTGCTCAGCTCATACCCCCACTTCGCGGCCTGCTCCATGCTCGCAGTCTGGAGTTCCTTCACTGTATCAAAATATCCAGCACGGATCTGTGCGAGAAAGGGCTCCCATGGCTCCTCACCAACCTCCGATGAGGACAGGGGCGGGCACGATGCCATTGTGTATGCCGGGAGTGTCTGGAAGGGAGGGGTTTGAGGGCCGGCCCCACGGTTGAGACCTGGAGAGGGTTCGCTCATCGCCGCGAGATGAGGTTGAAGTGAGGCGGTAATCGAGTGTGGCTGTGAATGGGGCTGAAGGAAGTGGCGAAGACTGATGAGGGGGAGAGGAGGAAAGAAGAGGAGAGGAAAGGTTCAAGTTACTAATCTAATCAAATGAAATTGATATTGCCTACCAATATCTCATCAGTTTTTCGCTTCTCTTCTTAAGTTCCGAGCTTGGTAGATAATTAATGTGTGGGATATGGTTCGAAGAAGGTTATGGGTTTTGAAAGAGACCATATGATACTTCAAATGTCAAAGATCACTTGGGTATGGATAGAATCGGCGTGGATGCAATACTGAGTCGCAACTGCCGCGTCGAAGGCTGCCCAGGTGTTGCTGGGGGCCGTTCAAGTTGTTAGAATATATATATACTGCCCAGGTGGAGTGCCTGAGGCTGAAAGTCTAAAATTTGGAGGATGCATGTAAATGGGCGAGTGAATGCGGCCTGAGATGATCTGTCCTTTTAATTTTGGAAAGAAAACCAAGAAATGCCGCAAACCACTTACCCACAGGCAGCATTCCATCCATGGGATCGATCCTGCGGGCCCGTCAGTTTCGCTAATGCAGGCATTCTGGTGGAGGAAGGGGATAGAGATGATGGGTGATGTAAGGTGTAGATTAATAGAACAATGGAGGAAAGCTAATGTTATACGCGAACTGACAGCCTGAGGCATCACAGCCTCAACACATTCTTTAACAGTAAGATAGAAACCAAATTTCTAGCTAGAGGAATGCAATGTTGATCGGCGGATCGCTCTCGACTGTAATCCACTAGCCCTTAAGGGCTCTCCGTTTCTAGAACTGCTAAAGATAATGGCTCGACAGCCCATTTTCGGTCACAGATTCAAATAATTCAAGGTGGGAAAACCCCCCCGTCGAGATGCTTGGTACATTGTGTCCTGACTGAAGCGACTTTGGATTATCCTGGCACTTATCTGCTCGCCACTCAATCGTTCTACATTGTTCTCAGATAATATATCGTGCTGATGGCGAACCTCATGGCCAGCTTTAATAATATTGGGTCCGTTTTAAGTTATTTCTCAATTCTTCAGCTCAATGGTCAGCCTGAGAGTGAATACCATATGACAGTCCAGCAGTCCAGTTGCCAGTGGTGTTGCAAAAGTTTGAAACCCCTTGTTGACAGTCCTGATCTCTGCCTTCCCAAAAGCAACTAGTAGCTATCTCAGATGGAATAGATTGGCTAGTTTTATATTAGAAGGCGGTCGATAATGGTGGACAGTAGGAGGCTTCAAACCTTTGCAACGCCAGTGTATCAGTCCAATTGAAGTATGCAACCAGAGATGACCAGAACATTCCGTATTCGAAATCTCCAAAGCTCCGCCTTTATAAATCCATCATGCAAGCCATCCGACATGCGTTTTAACTTAAAAGGCGCTTTTTTCAAGACCTTTTCTGAAATATCATTTTCACCCCAGACACTTTGATCTCGAAGTCAAGGATCCAGTCCGGACCCAAAACCTGTGCGTCCGTGGGCCCGAATGTGGCGCAGCTGAATGGGAATGGCTAGGAATAGAAGCTAGGTAGCCTGTGAAATGCTTTATGAAATCTCTCCAGGTAGATTGAATTCCAAAAGACATGTATTTCATGTCCCCCTGGGGATATAGGAGAAATTCCTGACGGAACTTGAATTCAGGAAGGGATCAGCTGGCATATTCAAGTAATCAATCCTGAACGCTAGAGCACTACTGGCAATGTATTCAGTTTCATTCAATGCTTTGACATTGTTTAGTGCCACCTGGGTACGTGGTGTTGGGCCATAATTTCTAAATCCGGGGAATATAAACAAGTAGTGACAATAGATGGCATCGGGAGGGAGTTGACATCCCTAGGTATTGAATGAACACGGAATATGAGCGCCCAAAATGGCAAAGACGCTCTTATACTATGAGCAATCCAGGTTAATACAATGGTAGATAAAGCTTCGCAAGAACAAAATTTTAGAGAAAGGCGAATGGCGACACGAGCCTTGGGGATGCTCAGCACATGATAGATAAGACAACGATAATGAAAGTTGATTGTAGTTTTCTCTCTCGATTTACGTTTATGTATACGACGGATCTCCAATGTCTACATGAATAAAGGAGTAGTGATGAATGGGAACTTTCAAATGCAGAGAAGAAAGCTGCCAGTATGTACGGGCCAAGCTCTCCAGATGCCCAAATAATAAATCATAAAAAGCTTGCAGAAAAAAGAACAAGAAGCCCGTCTCGCTAGATTATCTTTGTCTGTACATGAAGATAATTGCATCGCGATGGCAATACTTCCATAACATGATATACCAGGGTCGACCAACAGTTGAAACAATGATCGGCAACTCCGAAGCATCATCCCCTCTTTTCTCCCCTTCCCCAGACACCTTCCCCACGTGGGGCCACCCAAGCTGCAGGTTTAGCTTTGACCAGCTCGACTTTCTTATCTGGATGCCTACAGTAGGTTCAGACCGCTGTCAAAGCACATTTAACCCCCTTTATTGGTGTATCTTAATCGGCTGTATGCCTGCAGCAACCCGCATGGCCAGATCGTGGGTGCTGTATACCAAGTGGTGAGGTCATTCTGCATGAAATGGAAGGTATTCAAGCTGGTACACGAGTAATCCCCACTACGATCGTACGATCCAAGTACAGGAAGAGGTCGCCTGTGGTAGCGAGCTCTTCAGATGGATAAGGTTGTCTCACAACGCACGGTTTGCCCTGTGTAGTAACTGACAGCCGAACCCCAGGAAATGTCCTTCGTATAAAACTTGTGGCTGAAGTTTAAGTTGCGCATGACTCTTTGGTTAGACAATAAGATCGATAGATCATCCGAGGCTCAAACCTCCTTCTACTCCGTATAGGAAGGAGAGATAAATGACCGCGGAGTAAATCGGGAAGGTAGCTAGTTTTGACCTACCATGAAACTCGGGGGCGGGGGCTAGATTTCCACCATCGTATGTCGAATATCGGTGGCAAAGCGAGATAAAGAGATGTATGACATTTCATTATTGCAATTTAACAGGTCATCATTTGTCACTGTGTAACAAACAACGATCAAACAAGCATTGGACATCCCTACAGTGTAGAGTTTAGTATCATGCATCAGAACAAAAATACCCTCCGAAATCACAGCTTCAGGTGAGGTCCGCAACAAAGAACGAACAAGTAAATCAACCAAAACAGAGAAACAAAGACAAAAGCAAGAGACAAATTTATCAAAAGTTCCACCCCACTTTTAGGACAAAAGCAACCAAAAGGAATTCGCCGCATCTAACCAGCCGTGTCACATTGCCAAGCAGCACCAAGAGCTGCCAAGCAGCTTTCCCCCGCATCCAAACGCATCAGAATTCCCCAGATCATCATGCACCAGCCGCCACAGTGGTTCACCTCCCTCCGAGCGACGTGTTTGACTCGCCCCAGCCCACGAAGTGTGGGGTTTCCCCCTCCTCACCGAGTCTCGGTGGCCATTTTCTGTCTCTCTTTTTCGTTCTCTACAGTACATCCCCTGCAACAGACCGAGGCATCTTTCACATCTCGTCGGCTAATATTGTTTCCAACTGATTGTTAGGGGATTGGCAAAGCTCGCTAGCTGGCTATTCAGGGCTAGGCGTTCTGGGCGATAATCTGTTCGTCACCTGGTACTGATTAAAATGTTACTGGAAGAAAAGCCGCCGACCAATGGTTTTTGAGAATGTCCCAGGGACTCCCTAGCTGTTGAGGCGTGAAACTCAATCAGGTATCTGGCCCGAGTGGAACAAACTCTCGATTCAGACCCCATGGAGTAGTACTGCAGGTTGGTCTCCGCACGTTCCTAGTCCCTTCTTGCGGGACGGGAATCATAAAAGCATGCTGGGATCCTTGCACCACTTTTTTTGGAGCTCTATCATTGTGCATGACTTGTGCTGTCACCACGCCTGACATTTTCTATTTCTCACTCACAACTTCACCAAAGGGGCCCATATAATATATTGACGTTTCCAGAAAGTCTTTTAGAAAAGTCACCATGGGCTCCACGCCCGACGAGAAGGTCATCTACGATGATCGCATCGAGGATATCGCGCAGAAAACCCCCAGCAGTGTGGAAGATGAGGAAGAGTTTACGGAGGAAGAGCAGCGCAAGATCATTCGCCGCATTGATCTGCGCCTCGTGACTATGACTGGACTGGCATACTGCATTTCGTTGATGGACCGAACTAATCTGAGTGCTGCAGCTATTGCGGGGTGAGTTGAGCAATCTAGCCTTTACCTTATTCTTTGTGTTTACTAACAGGTCTTGAAGATTGAAAACAGAGTTGGAACTCGGTGTCGGCAATCGCTATGTATGTTCCCCCGGCTCATTCATGGCGAGGAATGCGTTCATCTAACGAAGCAATAGTCCATTGTTGTGCTCATGTTCTTTGTGCCTTACGTTATCTTTCAACCACCCATGACGATTTTAATTCGCAAGATCGGACCGACTATATTCTTGGGGACCATTGTTATGTCGTGGGCGGTTATTATGATTGTATGCCAGTTCCTCCAAGTTGACGCCCTCGTCGAATCACTGGATATTTTTTTTAGCAACACGCTGACAGGATACATTTCAGGGAACGGGATTCGTCAAAAATTGGGGCCAATTAGTCGGGCTACGCGTTCTACTGGGTGTTTTGGAAGCAGGCTATTTCCCGGGGTGTGTCTACCTGCTTTCCTGCTGGTATACCCGATGTAAGTTGCAATGGAAATAGCCCGTTCTTGAATGCGTCGACTTATGCGACATAGATGATGTGCAAAAGCGATTCTCGGTATTCTACCTCATCGGCTGTGTTGCATCTGCATTATCCGGTATTTTGGCATTCGGTTTGATGCAGTTGTCCGGTAAGCATGGGCTTGGTGGATGGCGATGGATTTTCATCCTCGAGGGAGTGGTATGTTTATAATCCGCCGCCGTTTCCACTCCATTCGCCGAGACTAATGACTGAAGATCACCGGATTCATCGGCATGCTCTGCTTCGCTTTCCTAGTCGACTTTCCAGACCGCGCCTCCAAATCCTGGAGATTCCTCAGCAAAAAAGAGAGCGATTGGGTTGTCCGCCGCATCAACAATGATCGTCACGACGGCAATCTCGAGGCGTTCTCCCTAAAGAAGTTCCTGAAGCCAGGACTTGATCCTAAGATTTGGGGTTTCGCTCTTATCTTCTTGTACGCAATATCTACATATATCAAGGGAGTGAGGGAACATGCTAACATTAAAATCCTACAGCTGCCTTACTACAGTCACCTACGCAATCGCCTATTTCCTCCCCATCATCCTGATGGAAGGAATGAAGTTTGACGTTGGTCAGTCGCAATGCCTTGTGGCCCCGCCATACGTCTTCGCCGGCATTGTTATGTATAGCACAGCCTGGATCGGCGACCGATACAAAATCCGCGGACCAATTCTCATTGGAAACTGCCTGCTCTGCATCATCGGATTGCCCATGATGGGATTTGCCAAGGGCAACGCAGTGCGGTACGCAGGTGTCTTTTTTACGGTCGCAGGCGCGAATGCAAATATTCCGTCCTGCATGGCTTACCAGGCGAACAACGTGCGTGGTCAATGGACTCGCGCGTTCAGCAGTGCGACACTGGTTGGATTTGGCGGTATTGGTGGCATTGCTAGTAGTTTGGTCTTCCGAGATCAGGATGCGCCGGAGTACCGGCCAGGCATGTACGCTGCCATTGCGTGAGTTTGACCCTTCCAAAATATTCCCCCGGTTGCTTTTCACGTATACTGATATATCCGGTGAACCAGATGCAACATTATGATCATTTTGGTGGTTTGCTGTCTGAGTGTGTGGTTCTGGTTCTGCAACAAGCAGGCGGAGAAGGGCGAACGCGAGATCGAGGGGGAGCCCAGTTTCCGGTATACCATTTAGGCGTAGCTGTCAGATAGCGATGGATGGACGGTATGGAGACGAATTGAATTGAATTATGTTATGACGATTATCCTGGAAAATTGAGAGCAGACCGGAGAAGAAAGGAGTGTAGATAATAGTTGTATGTGGGACCTTTGCTTTCCCCGGACTGGGTGGAAATCACATGACAGTGACAGCGGAGTGTCACATGACCTTATATCCCCGCAATTTCGCTTTCCCGGCACTACAACACTATAGTAGTTGTACAGTGCTGAGAATGGGATAAATCAGGACTGAATGTAATTGCCGAACTGTATCTTTTCCCCTTTTTTTCTCCCATATTACTGTAGGAAAGTAAAGAGCAACGAGTCTAGAGCAGCGGTGATCGAGTCACCGTGACTGAATCACCTGATTCTCGATCACATGACCCACTCGTTATCTTTCCGCGACTTCACTTTTCCCTCGGAAAACGATCAACCGCCGAATGCCACCGCCAACTTCATTGGATCACGACCCACATTCTCTCTTCGGAGAACCACCATTGGTGCGATAGGAGCTGCAATGGGCCTCGGGTCCACTCCCGACCCCGTTATCGCAGTTTTCCGTCGCGTTGCCCGTCGGTCGGCGGCTGTAGGGTTCACGCTTCCTACGGCCCTGAACCACCGGGAAAAACGAGACCGATGCGGATCATAAATATTATTTCTCTGTGATCCTACCTAACTTCTTTTCTCATTCTCCTCACTCTATTCCTTCATCCCTGTCTTCTACCTCAATTGTGTCGTGTGCTGAGGTATCTCTCCCCCACCCCCTCCCTACGTCACTCCCCCGGTAGCTCTTCATGGCGGCATCCTGGTTTGCCCTGCGTGGCGGCCGCCAGCTCGCTCTGCGTTCGCGTGTGCGAGCTGGTCCCTCCCCGGTGGCCCTCCGCTCCGTGACTCTCTCGCCCTTCAATGGCAGTCGTGGCGTGCACACCAAGCAAGAAGCTCCCGCTGCTCGCCGCGGAGTATACACTAGCTCCGTCTATGCTCATGGCGACCCTCACCCGCCTGATGTCTTCCAACCCCTCGATACTTTCCCCCGCAGACACATTGGCCCTTCACCTGAAGCTGCCCAAGAGATGCTGGCCGTCCTGGATCCTCCTGCCGCGTCTCTCGACGAATTCGTCAAGCAGGTCCTTCCCGCGGACATTCTGTCCAAGAAGAACCTAACGGTCTCCGAGCCCCACGCTGACATCAACCTCTACCGCTCAGCTGTGCAAGGTGGACTCGGTGAGACTGATATGCTCAAGCTCCTTGACACCTACCGCAAGAATATCGATGTCTCTGGCAAGACCTACATTGGAACCGGCTACTACCCTACCATTGTTCCCCCGGTTATCCTCCGCAATGTCCTGGAGAACCCCGCTTGGTACACCAGCTACACCCCCTACCAGCCTGAGATCAGCCAGGGTCGTCTCGAGTCCCTCCTTAACTTCCAGACCTTGTCCGCCGACCTGACTGGTCTACCTTTCGCCAATGCCTCCGTTCTCGACGAGGCCACTGCCGCCGCCGAGGCCATGACCATGTCCTTCGCCACAATGCCCACCTCCAAGCAAAAGAAGGCCGAGAAGTCCTTCGTTGTCTCCCACCTCTGCCACCCCCAGACTATCGCCGTTATGCAGTCCCGCGCCGAGGGATTCGGAATCAACCTCGTCATTGGTGATGTGATGGCTGATAACTTCAAGCTGGTCAAGGACCAGGGTGACCACCTGATCGGTGTTCTGGCTCAGTACCCCGATACTGAGGGTGGTGTCTACGACTTCCAGTCCCTGAGTGACTCCATCCACGGCCAAGGTGGTACCTTCAGTGTTGCCACGGATCTGCTGGCCCTGACCGTTCTCAAGGCCCCCGGCGAATTTGGCGCTGATATCGCATTCGGTAACGCCCAGCGATTGGGTGTCCCCATGGGCTTCGGTGGTCCCCACGCCGCTTTCTTCGCCTGTGCCGATAAATACAAGCGTAAGGTTCCTGGACGTGTCGTTGGTGTTTCCAAGGACCGCACTGGCAATCGCGCCCTTCGTCTGGCTCTCCAGACCCGTGAACAGCACATTCGTCGCGAGAAGGCCACTAGCAACATTTGCACTGCCCAGGCCCTCCTTGCCAACATGACTGCCATGTACGCTGTCTATCACGGCCCTGTCGGTCTCAAGTCCATTGCTCAACGCATTGTCTCTATGACTGCTCTCCTTCGCGAGAAGCTGGTCGGTCTCGGCTACAATGTTCCCGTCCGCTCTAACATCGAGGGCGAGGCTGTCTTCGACACCCTTGCCATTGAGCTCGAGAATGCCTTCGAGGCTGAGGATGTTATTGCTGCCGCTCGTGAGAAGAACGTTTTCTTGCGCCGCTTCGGTGAGAACAAGGTCGGTATCTCTCTTGACGAGACCGTCGGCCGTGATGAAGTCAAGGGTATCTTGGATATCTTTGCTGCTCACAAGAAGGTTTCTCCCGTGGAGGTCGATGGCACTCTCTCAGTCACCCCCATCCCCGCCAGCCTGGAGCGTACCTCCTCCTTCATGACTCACCCTGTCTTCAACACCCACCACTCTGAGACTGAGATGCTCCGCTATATCAAGCACCTCGAGTCCAAGGATCTTTCCCTGGCCCACTCCATGATTCCCCTTGGATCTTGCACCATGAAGCTCAACGCTACCACGGAAATGATTCCTGTCTCCTGGCCCGAGTTCTCCCAGATGCACCCCTTCATGCCCGCTGATAAGGCCAAGGGCTACATCCAGATGATCGATGATCTGGAGCAGCAACTTGCCGACATCACCGGCATGGCTGAAGTCACTGTGCAGCCCAACTCCGGTGCTCAGGGTGAGTTTGCGGGTCTGCGTGTCATCAAGAAGTTCCAGGAGGCCAGCGGCGAGGCCAAGCGCAATATCTGCCTGATCCCCGTCTCTGCTCACGGTACTAACCCTGCCTCTGCTGCTATGGCTGGTATGCGTGTTGTCACCATCAAGTGCGACACCAAGACCGGTAACCTGGATCTGACTGATCTCAAGGCCAAGTGTGAGAAGCACGCGGACGAGCTCGCCGCTTTCATGATCACCTACCCCAGCACCTTCGGCGTTTACGAGCCTGGTGCCAAGGAGGCCATTCGACTGGTCCACGAGCACGGTGGCCAGGTCTACATGGACGGTGCCAACATGAACGCTCAGATCGGCCTCTGCTCCCCTGGCGAGATTGGCGCTGATGTGTGCCACTTGAACCTGCACAAGACCTTCTGCATTCCCCACGGTGGTGGTGGTCCTGGTGTCGGTCCCATTGGTGTCGCGGAGCATCTCCGCCCCTTCCTCCCCGGCCACCCGGCCAACGAGTACCTCCAGTCCAAGCGTGGTGATACCGCTTCTCCCCCTATCTCCGCCGCTCCCTGGGGCAGCGCCAGCATTCTCCCCATCACCTTCAACTACATTAACATGATGGGAGACCGCGGCCTGACTCACGCCACCAAGATCACCCTGCTCAACGCCAACTACATCCTCGCCCGCCTCAAGCCCCACTACCCGATCTTGTACACCAACGAGAACGGTCGCTGCGCTCACGAGTTCATCCTCGACCTGCGCGGCTTCAAGGAGACCGCCGGCGTCGAGGCCATCGATGTCGCCAAGCGTCTGCAAGATTACGGCTTCCACGCCCCCACCATGTCATGGCCCGTCTCGAACACTCTGATGATCGAGCCCACCGAGTCAGAGAACAAGGCTGAGCTGGACCGCTTCTGCGACGCCCTGATCTCCATCCGCCAGGAGATCGCCGATGTCGAGGCCGGCAAGCAGCCGCGCGAGGGCAACGTTCTCAAGAACTCCCCTCACACCCAGCGCGATCTGCTCTCCACCGAGTGGACCCGCTCTTACTCCCGTGAGACGGCCGCTTATCCCCAGCCCTACTTGCTGGAGAAGAAGTTCTGGCCCAGCGTCACCCGTGTTGATGATGGTATGCTTTTCTCCCTTCGATCCCTAATCCCACCTTCGTTCCATTCCTGATCATTTACTAATATCGTTTGCAGCATTCGGTGACCAGAACCTCTTCTGCACCTGCGGCCCGGTCGAGGATACTGAATAGATTATGATACCCATGTGATGGCTTGGTTTAGTTTGGCTTGCTTTGCATTTCCGTCTTGCGTGATCGTGACCCTTGTCTACCTCAGCCTAGACTAGAACTCGTTAGATTGAGTTCTAGAGCTAGAGTGCTTGCTTGGCCCGACGATTTATTTTTCTTTCTGATGTATACATTCAACATTTTCCCCCTTTTTTTCTGTTTTCATGATCATGACTCATGTTTCAAAAGTGGAGACTATTTCAACATTTAAATAGCTTTCTTACTGTGGTTTTGACTGTTGGGTACTGTAAATAAATTAATTGATCATCGATTCTATCTCTATTTAATCCTTCTTTGCTCCCTGAAATTTCATAATAGCAACCTCTAGATTGCTTTAACGGAACGCTGCTGCTCGAAAGCTCGTGTTGCTGGATTATTGACAACGAGGGATATAAGCAATAGCAAGATAACAAAAGTAGCCGCGCCTCCTGGATACTAAGAGACAACACGATGAGGCGCTATTTTGACCGCAATACCGTAGAAGGAGGCGACAAGAGAATGTTGAGGTCGCACAACATAAGCATTCGATGTTAGGTGCTCTATTCGTCGCTGTGAGTAGATTCTCTGGTCACTGAATCATCGGCTAGGGAGTTTCTAGTTCCTTTACGCGAAGTCTCGACAGAGATCAATCCATGTTCATGGAGTGCCCAACCACTCCACACAATCGGAACATAGCCCCAGTCTGTGACTCCTTCACGGTCCACGTATTCGGCGATTCCATTACCCCCCCCTTGACGTACCAACAACTAGCATTCGAGTATCCGTGTAATCAAATGCCGGGAGCGCTCTCCATCCTCGCATGCGAACGGCTTCAACAGCCACCAGTATTGCAATCACAATGGTGATAACTGAATTTATGATTATATAGGCCCGTGATCCGACACGAATAGCCTCGGCATGTACCAACGCCGGCGCGGAGACTGTCAGTCCACTGACCATTAGCTGGGCTGATGCGTAGGCAACGAGTATGTCGTCAACAAAAGATATCACTGCGTTCTCGATTCCTTTCAGAGCAATCTCTGACTCCGATCTTGATGGCTTTGTGGTCGCGTTGTTTGTGACGGCTGTTCGATAATCACCAATACTAGCGTTGAAGACGTCCCCGACAGTGGAGCGGTAGAAACTGGTCTGGTCCGCGGAAATAAGCGCTAGCTGACGCATCACCACGTGAGTGATATTGCCGTGAGGGTCAATCTCCGGGATAGAGCTTTCCGAGGGCCCGGAAATCTTGTGGATAGTGATGTTTCGTTCACTGACGTTGACAGAAACGTTGAACCATGTCGTAGTAAAGCTCACAGCGCACTGTATCATATCTAAATCTTTATAATATTTTCCCGCCGAAATAGCCAAATATCGCAATGTTGACCACGCGGTAGGGTTATGAGAAACACCGATTGCCACAATTGCACCAGTTCCAAACCCCACATAATCAGACCACTCTCCGCTAGTGCTGTCTGGGAGATATCCGTTGGCGGCGTAGACATTGCCATCGCCCTGCTGGTCGATGGCATATTCCGAGCTGCGGTTGTAAATGCAAGAGACGGAGGGTGCGAGAGCCATCTCACTATAGGTATAGTTGATCGCATGTGGTATATCGAGAACAGACTGATCCGTGAGACCGGCACTTGAACCTGCTCCATATGATCGGCCGTGGTAATTATATCGTGTATTATCCAGCTTATTGTGATTGCGAATGCTGTTATCGATCGACGAAGCTGAATTAGCCGAGCCCAGCAGAGACCCAAGAAGGCCTACGCCAACCGAATATGTGAAGTAACCCTTGGTGTTACGAACAGTCGGCCCGGTCCGATCGATCTGACTCGGGTATTCTTTGATGAGGCTATTATTAGACCAGTTAGGCAGTTGAATGGTGGTGTTTTGCGTGCCTAGAGTATTCACTGGGGTCAAAGCGCCAGTCCAAACTGCGGTCAGAGCGGTATGCAGATTAGCGACCAGGAGAGTCACGATGATCATCCACGCAGGCAAGCTCCAATTCGCTGTTGAATTCGAAAGGGCCGACCAGAAGCTTAGCATATTTAGTGACACCGGAGCTCTTTTAAAGCGAATGCGGGTTGTCAGATTGATTAGGCGACAGAGTGCAAAGACCTCGATGGCTGCTAGAGTAGCAGAAATGACCTGGACCGATGTTTGAACAGAGGACCTGTATTGATTCACCAGGTTGTACATATTCCCCGGTAGGAGCCAGTTTTGAACATCACTATATAGCAGTAGAATGCTCAGAGTCAAGGGAATCAGAAGCAAGATGAACATGATACTAAATAAGAGACGCTCGCCACTGATGCTTGGACTGCCGTGTCGTTGCTTCGGATGGTAGCCATCGCTGACTGCTTTCGGGAAAGCAAAAAGATGTTGATTTTCAGCATGAGGATCCTTTCGATCGGACCGTATCTCGACGTGCATGATTGAGATTCAATTATAAAGTACTTCGGTATGGTATTATCGGATGTAGGAATTCTAAAAATTCGGATTCTGGGACAAAATCCATGGCTAAACAAGGGGGCAGATCAGTTCACACCAAAAGGTGCGGTAGGTGCAAGGTTCTGCATCGCAGCGGTTAAATTGGACGGAGGATTGGGCAGTGTACAGATGCCAAGAAACTAGTATACCTGCGTATGTCAGGTCTATAATTGGTTATAGCGGTGTTTTGTGCAACAGAGGAGCGCAGGGGCGCTAACTCAAACGTATTACACAAGGCACTAACCAGTCCCACGTGAAATTTCTACAACACACCTCGGGATTAATTGGACCCTTCATTGCGGGCGCGGGTAATGCCGTGCGGGCCCGCGGGAATCCCGCAGTCTAATACGATTCTACCCGCATGATCGAAACGTGTTTGTCGAATGGCACATGGAGATAGTAGGGATGGAGACCGAGGGGTAGCTGAGAGAAGGAGGGATGGTTTGTGTTGCTAGACTACATAAGCTTGAGATGCCTTATATACAATCTGTGGCTTATTCATACCGCTCTTCCCAACTACACTAGGTATCCTTTAGACTCAAGTTCCATCATCGTCAGTACTCCTGGGCCAAGTAGTGTCGTCAGATTAAAGCTTGTTCCAAGGTTCGGCTTCTTACTATTAAGGCATTGCCTAGAGACTTCCAAGTTAAATTATTTTCAACGGGCTGATGATCCTAGTTCTATAGCTGAATTGGCTGTATACATAGCGAGCTCCATCAACCAGAATCTCAACTCCACTTATAATAGAGCTGGCGGGTTCGGCAAGAAATAGAGCAACATTGGCAACATCAGATGCCTCAACGAGTCGGCCAATAGGAATTGCCTCGCATTCCGCCTTGATAATAGCAGCCGGAACTGGACCATCTCCGATTCCAGCAAACTTATTGAGGAGTGGGGTGTTGCCCGATGTTGGGCAAATGGTGTTAAAACGAAGCTGATGATTGGCCATAAATAAGAGCCCCCGAGAATAATTCAGGTCTTTTCATCTCGACCGAATTAGAGAAGAAGTTACCACTCGCCTCAACAGCAAACAGTTGACTGGATACGGCTCCCATGGCCTGTGAAAAGTTTGTCCGAGGGAATACGCGATGTTCAAGATCCGTCTCTCTTCAGATGCAGATGCATAAGAAAGCTGGGATAATGTCAGCAATCTCCCTTCGTAACTATCTCTCCTCGGCACTCCAGCTAAATACATACAGGCAAGGTGGAGCCAATACGCTCAATCAGTAAATGTTGCTACTCTAACCGATTTCTCGGGAGGGTCATTTACCTTAGCTCACAACATTCAGTCGTTGAATCGGACCGAGGAGCTATGGTATCGTCACATTTTGTCAGCCTATTGGCTAGTACATTGGAAATACAAAGATATAATGAAACGGAAAATTGAAATTTGTAGGTAGACGCAAGATTTTATGTCATACTACATACCCCACGAACCCTGACCCGAGTTTTCTTTTTTTTTTCCTTTCCTCTAATGTGCGGCGCTCGATGGCCGCAATCAACCCATTGTTCCCTCTATTAATTTGCACAAAAATTATTGTGAATTATTTATCGATGGAGGAAGTGAAATCAGCAAAGAAGCATGTTATCAGCCAGGCAAAGGACCAAGGCTAGGCAATCATATCACTTAGGATCGCGGAAGGCAGCCGGGGACCAACTCACGCACGCTCAATGGGCCGATCGCTTCCTGAGTAGGTACGTGTACCATGACCATCACGTTTTTGACAGACATGGGGAAATTCCCGCAGTCAAACGCGACTCTACAACCACCTGGTAACTAATGTGATGAATTATCGTTTCTTGGGGTCAGTTGCACAAGAAAAGGCGGATGACAAACGCCGCTCGCCCGCATTAAAGCCCCGTTTTTGCCCGCAATTTCTTATCAGCGGTCAAATGACAATACATTACATGAATTCCATCCCACCTCACCTAATCTGCCACCAAAATAACATCACCACGCCCGTAATAAATGTAATAATACGTTACAATAGTCGGAAACTGCCGATCCCCGCCACGAACTCTGCCCTGTTGATCGCTCACGACTACGACCTTGAAACAATTTGCTAGAAGGCTTCGATGCAAGGGCACTGCTGAGAAGACTGTCGAATGCAGAAGGAATAACCTTGATAGACCTACCCCAGACCTGGAACCCATCTCGGCGTTCGGAAGGGTGTTTTATCAGGCGACGTTACCGCAACCTTCTCTAAGCTTTGACCCTTGAACGAGGATATATCAGGCCCGCATTCGCTCGTTGGAATAATCTTTTTGAACTGATCGGCTTGCTGTTGAGTTAATAGATCGGATACACTTGGATTTAGTTCTGCATTCTTGATACCGCATCGCATTGCATCGCATTACTTGTGGCCAATAAACGCCAACCAATTTGGAATCTACAATACACTGCCCCTTGTTTCGAGCTTGAATTTGAACAGGAGAAATTTTGTTCAATATGAGACGAGAGTACGAATTCACTGTTTACCGGGGAACATTCATCCAGCTTGGTCGGCTGCCCGAGTCAGACTTGACCTCAACACCGTCTAAACCGGAGCTGCAGCGCACTCAGGGTATCCTGTGGGTTTCCGCCGAGAGCGGTCGGATCAAGGGATTCGACTGGAAGGTTCAAGGGATGGAGCATTCACTGGGTTCATGAGCAAAAATGGCTGGGTTGATGTTGATGGAAAGACGAATGGCAATCTTGGCGGCGCGACCAAGGTGAAGATCGTCGAGGCACGCGAAGATAGGAATGAATTTTTCTTCCCTGGATTCATCGGTGAGCGCGAATATTTGCTATCATTCAACATACCTCATGAATAATTTTTCTAACAATCGCAGATACCCACATCCATGCGCCTCAATACCCAAATGCAGGCCTCTTCGGCTCCTCAACTCTACTGGACTGGCTAGAGACCTACACTTTTCCAGTAGAATCAGGCTTCGGCACACAGCCAACCGTGAAGGGCCAAAGCCAGGCCCAGAAGCCAGAAGATGCACCAGAATCAGCACTACTTAAATACGACCAGGTCGTTTCACGCACACTCGCTCATGGCACAACCTGCGCATCGTATTTCGCGACAATCCACGTCCCAGCGACAAATGCTTTGGCAGCAATCTGCCAAACACGGGGCCAGCGCGCCTTCATCGGCCGAGTGTGTATGGACGAGCCAGGCTTTTGCCCTGACTACTACAGAGATCTCTCCGCCGAGGATTCTCTGTCCGCGACGAAGGATACAATTCACTACATCCACACTCTAGACCCGAAGGGCGCTCTCGTGAAACCGATTGTCACGCCTCGTTTCGCGCCAACATGCTCCCGACCTTCTCTCACCGCGCTCGGTCAATTGGCAGCTAGCTATAACCCCCCCACTTCACATCCAGACACACATCGCGGAGAACAAGAACGAAGTGACCTTGGTGAAAGACCTCTTCCCCGAAGCAGAAAGCTATGCTGCTGTTTACGACCAGCATAATCTACTCACGCCACGAACCATTCTCGCGCATGCGGTACACCTTTCCAAAGAGGAACGGACGCTCATCAAAGCGCGTGATGCGAAGATCTCACACTGTCCTGCCTCCAACTCGGCTCTCGGCTCTGGAATTGCCCCAGTCCGAGACTATCTCAACGAAGGCATCACCGTTGGCTTAGGCACGGACGTGAGTGGTGGCTACAGTCCTTCCATCCTAGAAGCTGCCAGACAAGCCTGTCTTTCATCTCGACTACTCGGCCACACGAAAGACTACGTTGACTACCATTCCCATGCCGGCCACGGCAGTAAATCTGTTGAAGGAGGAGAAAAGCTATCCGTCGCTGAGAGCTTGTACCTGGCCACTCGTGGCGGAGCCGCTGTTGTCAACATGGAAGATGATATTGGTGGGTTTGAGATCGGGATGATCATGGATGCGCAGTTGATTCAGCTCGGTTCTGTGCGGATGAACGGTGCATCTCCGCTTTCCTCTACTGCTAATATGAACGGGGGACCTTGTACCAGTCTGATCCAGTCTGGACCTGTGGGTAATGTTGATATCTTTGGAACTGAATCTTGGGAAGAGAAGATTCAGAAGTGGGTTTGGAGTGGAGATGATCGGAATGTTAAAGCTGTTTGGGTTGGGGGAAGGATGGTTCATTGGAGAGTGTAGATCTTGCTAAATTCCACGGGTAAGAGGCGTACAATATGCACAATTTTTTATTTACGAAATCGATTATCTCCAGGGTTATTTCGCAATATAATTCTGTTTTTGAAACAAAATGCAATGAAGTAAGTAGATTGGCTATTAACTTGTACAACTGGTGGTCACGATTTTAAATCATCACAAACTTGGAATCATGATGCTTGACTAACTAGTAGGTACTACGTAGTAGAAATCGGGTTGAAATCTTCCGCGTGGGGGCCGAATTTATGTCGCCGATGCATGTGTCAATCGGCCCGATCCACAGGCCAACCTACCCACACTAAAATGTCTCTGGGAATTGTTGCCGCCCACTCAGCATTCATCTTGCGATGAAATGGCCCCGAAGGATTTCACCATTTTCAAGATACCTAGGTACATGACAAATCCAGCCAACCAGAGAGAAACACTGGAGTTGGAGAACGTGGAGGAATATTCTGGGCAATCAAGCCAGGTTTCTACCTAGTTGGCGTGCAATTATTTAAAGAGAGAGGTCACTGCACCACCGGAATAGCAATAATATCATCAATCCATTCGATTTCGAATCATATTCAACTCCCTCTCCCGAAACCATGTCCCAACCAACTCTCGTGGTCATCCCGGGCTCTTTTTCGCCCCCAGCCCTTTACACAAATTTCGTCGACAACCTCCGATCGCTTGGTTTCGAAGCAATCGTCGAGCCACTGCAATCCGCTATTAGGAGAGAGTCATCGCCGTCGTCGTCGATGTACGATGATGCGTCTCATTTTCGCGAGGTTATCTCAAAGCTAGCCGACCAGGGAAAAGACATCGTCCTTATACCCCATTCATACGGCGGGATCGTCGCCAATGAAAGCGCCAAGGGTCTTCTTAAGTCCGATCGATCGAAAGCTGGAAAGACCGGCGGTATTGTGGAGATTGTCAATATCAGCACTCTCAGCCCCGCAGTGGGTGAAACTGCCCTTGACGTTGCCGGAAAACTTGGCCTTGACCAATTTCCCTTGGAGGTAAGAAATCACCACATAGAACTCGCGTGAATCGTTCCCATTCTGACCTAATCAGGGTGAATACATGGTTCTTGAAGACGAAGGATGCGCGAAGGGAAATTACAATGATGTTCCCTGGGAGCAGGCATTGGAATTCGCGAAAGGGCATAGCGATCATTCGGCGAGGAGCTTTAGAGACAAGCTTACTTACGCGGGCTACTTGGACATCCCATCGTCATGGGTGTTTTGCGAACGAGATGTTTTACTTCCGCCTGCTTTCCAAAGAGAGACAATAGATCTCATTGAGCAGCGCAGTGGCAAAAAGGTCCGCGTTTTCAGCATTGATGCTGGCCATTGTGTTGTGTCAACTCAGCCAAAGGAGCTGGCGGTCTTGATCCATAAGATCCTGAGCAATTGATTTGATTAATCCAATCAATACTAGATATATTACTTAGCATTTCAGCCCAGCTGCCGCAATTTATAGACTATTGTTTCTCATAATTGACCACAATTTTCAGAGAGAATAATTTTCAATATATAACTTCTCAACAGTCTTCACCTATGACATAGACTTGTGCTCTGTCTAAGGTGCAGATATCTTTGCGGCTTTCACTGGAACAACTCAACGCAATCAAAGATCTATTGAAATCCAAATTAATTTATGCAGATGGGATCACTGAGAGGTACTCACAAAGTTGGGACTCAGATAGGTATCACCCGAGCTTCCAGAAACAACGTTAATGGTAATCTGCCATATGTCAATCCTCCTAGCCAGTAAAATTATATTCAATATTCACTTACAGTGTTGGTTCCTGCAACAATAGTGCCACTGGGAATGGAAACATCATATACTTCGCCCAGACCGCGGTAAGCTCCCCGAGTAACACCGCGCGAGTCGAGATTGGTGGGTGCGGACGGAATGCTGCCGGTGTAGCTGTTGATCTAGTTCAGGGTCAGCACGCTGTATATCCGATTGATTTAGAGCAGGCTCTTACGGTAGCTTGTGGTCGACCACCAGCAAAGGAAAGGGTAGTACCGATCCTCAGGGTAGCAGCTCCAGTCTGGGATGAGGTGGCGGTAAATTTGATGGTAATTGGCGAGTTCACTGATTTGAAGATAGCCATTGGGAACTGGGATGTCGTAGAGCTCCCGACGGTGTAGGTACCCGGGCTCCAAGAGGACATGCGGGTATCAGAGGGGTGCATGCGGAGCTGGTTGGCGGCATTGAGGAATCCGGTTGGTCTATGTTGTCAGCTTTGATGTATGGGTTGGTAGGTGGAGTCTACTTACTGCCCATCCCAGTCTCCGATCTTGAAGATTGTCGTACCGGTGGTCACTTTTCCGGAGATGCTCTTTGAGGTGGTTGAGCCAGCAGTAACAGTAACCGAGGAGGTTGCGACGGCGAATTCTCCCTGGTAGTAGACCATGGTGTAGGTGCCAGGCTTCATAGCAGGCGAGGTAAATGAGCCGCTAGATGATGTGTAGGTCCAGTACTGGGCAGCACTGTTGTACCAGTGAATTACCCAGTCAAAAGAAGAACTGGCACCGGAGGCTGTTCCAGACACGTAGCCTCTCCCGGACGTAGCGACATAGCCCTTGATACCCAGGTTGGCGAAAAACGAAGTGTCGATGTTGGTTGCGGGAGTACCGCTGCGGCTGAAGTACATCATGTATGGACCGTGTAGACCTTGACGGTAGGTTTCGGTTTGGACATGGCCAGAGTTCTATGCTTGTCAGTTTCTGAAATCGAGCGTCGTCGAGATAAATCGTACCATGTACCAGTACAGGCCAGTATATGAGCCGACATTGTTGGTATTGATGTCACTAAGAATTTCAGTGAGATTTCGTCGAGAACGTGGTAGCAAGTAGTTACGAGTAGCAATGTACTTACCGATGGAAGGGTCCACCAGCTGACGTCTCATACTGGGGAATAATCATGCAGACACGATGCGCGCTGCCGGACACACCTGGGCTTTGATTAGAGTCTTTCTTTCGGGCAGTCATAGAAGCACATACAATGTCTTTGGTCATCGATAAATCGCTCACTGGAGTAGAACTTGCTTCGGGTTTCGCCATCAACAAGATACTGCATTCCGTTAGCCTTGAACAGTGTCGCTGGTTCGGTTTACCCACCACATCTGAGCCCTCAATAGCAGTTCCATCGGCAATGGTCGAGACATCGCCAAAAGGTTCTTCATTGGGGAGCAGGTCCGCATTCAGTCGGGCGATGTATCGCAACTCGCCAATGGATGGTTCTTGTAGAAGTCAGCTAAGCGCAAACTAGACACATATCTCCAGCTCGCCCTCACTTACCAGCAGTCGTGTAAGTGGCCATATAGATGATGGGATCGCCGCTGTGAACAACATAATAGTGAGTGAGGGTATCCGTTGCGCAAGTGACCGTAATGTAATCGCCTGAAATGGTTAGCCTTTCTAGTGAACTGACGCGGAGGAAGAAGTGAACCCACCACTCTGCGTTGCGCTGACGGTGGCAGTTCCCAGACCCGATCCGATGTGCGAACCGGTCGACTGGTATTGCAGCTCGGATCCATAGAAACTGATCGACGAGATGTCACAACTGGTGCGGGAGACGGTAAACTTAAGTGGGTTTGACGATCCAGCGTCCACAACGTAAGTGCCACTGTTAGTTGTGAGTCCAAATGCAGCATTGGCTACTTTGGCCCAGAGGGCCAATGCAACAGCACCCAAAGCCCGAGAGAACATTGCGATGCGACAAGGTAGTTCAGAAGCAGACACTCGCAGACACTCCGGTGAATTCTACTAGTATTTCCTTCCATCTGTGGCTTATATACTGGCTTCAAGGGCCAACTCTTCACTTGAAACCCTCTATCCTGAACGGTGGAGATTTACCGTTAGCTCGGCTCCATCCCTGCATAGAATTCGGGGATTATTCTGCATTGGACTTTGGTTCCACCAATCTCGGTATATCAAACTAGCTCACATTAAGGGGTTCGAAGCATTCCGTCGCCCCTTTCGTCACGGCAACTAGTGACAACCATCCTTGCACGTCATCATCTGAGTAAAATACTGAAATAACATAGCGAACTGAATTAATCTCATCACGACTCCCTTTCAGCACAAGAATCATCCGAGAGGCTTGCCAAGAACCCCTGCAATTCCACGTGGGGGGCACTGGCTGTTTCAAGGGAGCGGCGGCAAGTGGTGGGTAAAACATCAAGATGGATGGGAGTTATTCGTACTTGGCGGACGCGTACGATTAGGATTGCAACTTTCTATACCGTACAGAATAAGATCTGCATTTCCATCAAAATCGTCGACCCCGCCCGGAGTTCAAGCCATAATTCTCGGTTCAATTTACCACGAAAAACCGAGCGGGATTATGCAGTTCGTCTACATACTCGTGTACGCCTCCTAATATTGCCAAGGCCTCTGCGGGGTACATAAGCTCTAGCTTGTTTGACTGGTGGATGATTTTTAACAGGTCAGAACTTCGCGATATGTCCGATGAAAATTCGTGGCTGTCATGGGTTCCAGGAACGGAATTCTTCATGAAACTCTCCTTGATGATTGGTCTATTTTTTTAATTCAAAGCATTACACCGGCCCCAGTGAACTGCATACCCACCACCTACTGACGGCACACTCTAGACACTCTAGTCACCTACGTAGCGTCACCACTAGCCAAGACAACAGCCCCTTCCAAGGTTATAAACAAATCTCGGAGAGCCCCTTTCATAGATGGTTGTGGTTCTGACCCCAAGTTTGAAGTTCAAGTTCGCATATATATTGTTTTTATCTCAAAGGTCGTAGTTTGAGAAGCACGAAGATAGATGTATATACGCAACCCCGACCGGACTTTCAAAATTACTTACAATAGGAATACTGTATATAGTGAATCAAGTAGTAAGAGGCGGACCCCTGTCGTGTCAATTTGGCCCAAATAACAAAATTCTGTTTTTAAGGGAGCATTGCCCACGATCCCTCGAGACAAGAACCTTGCCCCTTCGAACCTTCCAAGGTTGAAATGAGGCTTTTGTGTCGAACTTTCATCAGCTATGCGTCAAAAGACAACTTCTTGCTCTCTGGGCAAGAAGCATTTGATTCGGATTCTGAATGGAATCTCCCTCATCAGGTGCAGGGGAGTGCCGCCAACTACTACATCATCACTCTGTCCACCTGGGCATGGAGTGACACGGATCCTACCATTCACATGAAGCTGACGCGCTAAACTACTAATACGAGTTCCAAGGTTGTGTTGACATGAAGGCAGAAAGGTTCAGGCCAATTTAACCTCCTGACGCGAGTACACGCCCTGCGGAGTGCCCCCTTTCCAGGTCTCACGGCTCCCAGACAAAATATCCGTGAACACCTGCTCTGTACTGCGTACAATTAGACTCAAGGTGCGGAAGCATGGCCAAATTCAAACCTGGCGGACTTTATCTCTTCCTCCTGACGCAGTGCCCCACAGTCTGCGGGTTCACACGCTAATCCCCCGGGTGCATCCCGGGCGCATCCCGGCTGATTCTTTCAACATCCGGGTGCATTCCGGTCCCTGAAAGTACCAAATACAACGCGGGGGTTTTCACAAGGTGCTGACCAAAGCAATTCCCCCCAGCTTTTCCACTTTTTCAGCCAGGGCCAGAACCAAAGCCGCGGTCACAGTCCGCGGGTGTGTATTCCGGGGACCCCGGGGAAAAGCCAGAAGAATGATGGAATGATCTCACAGCCTCCACTTCTCTGCCAGAGTTCAACCCCGTTGGTGGGAGGGCAGTGATCAGCGCGCCGATCGGGGACATCCGATGGTGTCTTTCGCCTATCGATGACTAGCGAGAGTGGCTCGTCCATTCACATTCTGTGATCGAGCCCTAAACCCCGGCCCAGTGCTTGCGATCTGTAATGTACTGCACACGTGCGGCTGAGCCGAGGATGTTTACCCTTTGGATATACGTCAAATAGAATTGACTTGATTTCTTTTATCTATCCTTATTCCATTTCCACTGACTAGCAATTGAATACTCGATCCCTTGCGGAGAACCAGATCTCGTGTCACCACCTTCAAGGGTTCACGTACCACATACATAGTTACACACTACTTCACAATTTATACGAATATTTCCCGGTCGGAGTCAATATGGTGCTCGTCAGCCCCACGGTCCAATTGGCCGGAGTGCTGTTCGTGCTTTTCCTGGTCGTTCGATACGTCGCCAACATACACCGGCACTACCAACAAGCAAAGGCGCTGCACTGTGAGAAGCCCGCAAGTGGTTCTTCTGGATTCTTCGGAATCCCCGCATTCCTGCGTCTCACCAAAGCTGTGCGTGAGAAGCGATGGATCGACTACCTTACCGATCAATTCGATATCAACGGCACCACATTCAGCCAGCGTTTCCTGACGCGCAGGCTAATCACCACCATCGAGCCTGAGAACATCAAAGCGATTCTAGCGACACAATTCAAGGACTTTTGTCTCAGGAACGAGACACGAACAATTTGACCCGCTGCTTGGTGATGGTATTTTTACACTTGATGGTGCGGGTTGGTCGCATGCCCGTGGCATGTTGCGACCGCAATTTGCCAGAGATCAGGTATTTCAATGACCCAGGCGCTATTTCAGATTGACTTGAAGAAATAAGGACTGATTGATTCAGGTCGCCGATCTGTCCATGCTGGACGATCATATCTCGCACTTAATCGACCTGATCCCCAAAGACCGCAGCGCATTCGACATCCAGCGCCTATTCTTCCTCTTAACCCTAGACTCCGCAACGCACTTCCTCTTCGGAGAATCTGTAGGCTGCATGCTCCCCCCATCGGAAACAACCGGCGTTCTCGAGAAATCCGCCGTCCGCAACGCGCAAGGTTTCGCCGACGCCTTCACCACAGCGCAAGACTATCTCGCCGCACGGTCGCGTGCACAAGGTCTATACTGGCTCGTCAACCCCAAGGAATTCCGTGAAGCGAATCGTCGCGTTCACGAAGTCGTCGATCACTACGTCAACGTCGCGCTCGAGAGAAAGCGCAATCCAGATACCAAGCAAGGTGATGGCCGGTATATCTTCCTCGAGGCATTGGCCGCGGAAACCGACAATCCGAAAATGCTGCGCGATAATATGTTGAATATTCTCCTCGCGGGTCGTGATACGACCGCCAGTCTGCTCAGTTCGACATTCTTTTATCTCTCGCAGTATCCGAATGTGTGGAATCGCCTGCGCCGTGAAATCGTCAACGAATTCGGCGATGTCAAGAACCCCAATGGTGAAATCACTCAGACTAGACTGAAAGATCTGAAATACCTTCGCTATGTCCTGAATGAAGTCCTCAGACTGCAGCCTCCTGTTCCGGTCAATTTCCGCGTCGCCACGAAGGATACGTCCCTGCCTGTTGGTGGTGGTGCCGACAAGCGTTCTCCTGTTTATGTGCAAAAGGGTCAAATGGTGGCTTACAACGTGTTTGCCATGCACCGTCGAACAGACTACTGGGGCAAGGATGCGCGGTTGTTCCGACCGGAGCGGTGGGAAGAGAATGCGAAGCATGGTTGGGAATATCTGCCTTTCAATGGTGGTCCTCGGATTTGCCTTGGTCGTGAGTCTCCAGCAACAGCAGCAGCAGTATACTTGACCGAATGCTAACTTTATACGCAGAACAATATGCTCTCACTGAAGCTAGTTACGCTGTTGTCCGACTCATGCAGCATTTCGATACGGTCGAGAATGCGGATCCAAGTCCCCGCCAGGAGCCGATTAAGAATTCTAACTTAACAATGATGCATGATCGCGGTGTCCCGGTGAAACTGTATGCATCGGAGAAGATCTGAGTGTTTTAGTGTTTGTAGTTTTATGTCGTCATGAATCAAATTTTAGCTTTCTTCATTTCGCACTCTAGCTCTATATAGTGAACAGTAAATCAAAACCCGCATAACTGGTTTGTAATCCTTCATGTTGAAATCAACACTCTCCGCGCAGCTTCATTCAGCTCGTCATCTCTCGGTGGCACAGCCGCTGCACTCAGAGTAAACAGAAGCAGCATCAGGTATTGGCTGATAAGAGCAGAGTCACCATCGTTGAGAGTGACATTTCGCTTGCCCTGATGAATGTTGGCGGGGTTTTCATATGAGGCGATGCGGCGGTGAGAAAGTTGCCGCGGATTGTACTCAGACATGGCTGGGGAAATTCAGGACGTTGATGATGGGTCAAACCGTCACGTAGGGGAATGGGGCGGCGCTGGGCACTCGATGGGCCTTGACAATCGTCAAAGGCCGCCTTTGCCACCAGGGAAACATGAGGGAATCAGGAATTTTGGCAGCCCAGTTCTTGTTTCTCAATCGATGGAATGATATCTGTAACCATGCGTAGGCAGTTCGCATAGCATCTTATGTATTCTGTTGTGTTTTATGGATACCCCCTGGACGCGTGATTACGGCTCGAGCCTCTGCATTCCACGCGAACTGTCTGGAGATAACCGCCTAGGTTCTTCCCCTGTGCGGACCAGAGGGGCTTTCCAGTTTCGTTTTCGATGCATGGCTCTTTGTTGCAAGCTTGTGCGATCCTGTTTTGTGTGGCTCACAGGATTCATGCCTGGGGATCCTTTGCAGCCGTCCCGTCCACAGCCGAAGCCACATTGAAATGCCTTGACCACATACAGCCCTGGAGACTCCGCAAAAACGAAAGGAAAAGCATCATCAAGGACAGGCTGATGGCAGCCATTGTATTTCAAATGAACCACTTTTCCAGGTTCCGATTTAGCCCCGTTCGCTTGCGGTCTGTTCGAGCTGATTTTGAACACCCTTTGCCCTGCTTTCCACTGTTGCCAGCTTATACATCATCTTAACTTCCTTAATTCGCAAATCGGCAAAGGTTTGCTGAACAATCATGGGTGAAGCAGGAGCTCACCATTGGGCTGAGGGTATTGTTGGAGAGTTGATGACCAACGATCATGGTCGCCTGGAGGCCTTCGATGGTAAGGTAAGCGATATAATTAGCTTGAATCAAAGCAGCGACGGCTAAGAATGCAGTTTCTGAGCTGCATATCTCGGCAAAGTCCGCAGATTCGTTAGGAGAAGCTGCTAGAAGAGGGCAGACGCAATAATACTAAACAGCAAAACAAGATAATGCAAATCGACCGGCTTGTTTCGCGCCGCACTTTTATAGATGGTCCCTTAAGTCTAGAGCGTCTTTGCCTCTGGGCCTGGTTTCATTGTCGACTCTCACACTCCTTCCAGCAGCCATTCCGAGTCATGATTGCGATTTCTATGACTCAGGTGGCTTTGCATTCTGCCTCATCAAGCTTCTTCCTGGAAATTCTTTTATCCAGCGGTCCTGACCTTTCCTTCTTCATCGAGAGTCTTGGGCTGCTTTCGGGTCCGACGTACCCATTCCGCAAGCTCATCGATGTGACTATCGTAAAAGGCCCTGCGAGGATCATCATCGTCGAAAAAAAAGCTTCATCCTTTCATTATCAGCGATCAGTCAGGCCTTCTTCTACATCGCAAGTTTTGTCGGTTCGCTCGCCTACTTGGCAGCATCTTCGTTTAATTAGCGACACCCTCATTTCTGGGAGACTGATCCTAATAGGATACTCCGCCACGTCAAGTGTGGATAAAATTGCCGATGCCGATATCCACATGACTGTAGTGAATCTTTTCAGCTGACTGGGTACCTTTTGTGCAGTATGGGAAAGAGCCCCGGCTATATACATGGTCAGGCCGGAAGAAGACATAGCGGGGATTTTATCCCAGACTGACCCATGGTCCTGTTCCAACCGAGCCGAGGACGATCTCTGGCGTCTCTCCCTGGTTCATCAACTGACCACGAAGACAAAGAATCCATCATGTTGCACTGAGCGTCTAACTAATCTCGGAGTCAAACACGCTGTGTGGTGGCAAACTTGGTAGTATACGAAGCAATAGCTCCTTTGCGATGGGCCAACTGCACATTCTGAAAAGGTCAATTTGATTGTGAATAGTGACATATGCGGAGTAATAGAATCATGGCTGCCCAGGGAATCGGCGGTGACCTTCGCTTCCAGTTAAACGCAGGTATATTCCTTGACAATGTTATCGAATTTGTCCAGATTGGTGCACGGGAATTTAATTAATCCAGCCAGTGCGCTGGAGGTAGTATTTTTTTTTCACTGGCTGGATTCAAGTTCAATGGTTGTCGAATATCTCAAATGGGTTTCTGGTGTGCTGAAATTCCCAGGCCATAATATAATTATAAACGCATTTCTATACATCATCAGTCAACTCAGAAAACAACATAAAGACTGTCGAATCTATTGATGGGTAGCCACCTTGGTAGGTATTATTAGGAACTTAAATATGGATTGTTCACGGGTGTTGTTGATGCTGCGAATCTGAGTGAAATGCTTGGTTGGAGACGGATTAGGAACGTTCCAAAGGTTTCATTTTTTCTTGCCCGTACAAGCGAGACTAGAAGCACGGTTGACTTGAATGCTATGTAGGTCAAAATTGTGAAATATTTGATTGCAGATGGACATTTACTATACCATCCACAGGGCCATTCTTGGATGCTCCGGTAGGCATATCGACTTGACGGCTGATAAGAAGGAATCCATTGCTTGTCCTAGAAAATATTGACAAGACAGCGATACTTTTATAGCCAAGAAAGAATATCCAAAGACAAAGAAAAGAATCTTACAGAAAAAGAGAGAAATAAAGAAATACAGAAGCACCCGACATCGGTTTCCATGCCGCGAATATAGAGATACTCTTTCAAACCCTAATTACATGATACAAGTAAATAACACATTCTGTACATACTAGTAATAATACCAACTCCTTTTTATAGATTGTAACACAGATAGAAAGGCCTAAAAATAGAAGCCTAGAGTTTCTAGGAACGCGCCTGGTCGGGATTCACGTGAAGGGGGTTGTCAATCGGAATGTTTTGTATACGACCAATCATCTATGTCTAAAACTCTGTTTCTGTATTACCCCTGATTCTGGCAATTTATAGGGGGGATTCTAGATTACATAAGTGATATACATGAAGGATAAATTGTATCTCCGGTCCAGCGCGGTATTCGTACGTCAGATTGTACTGTTGTTTGAGGTCTCCGCGGACTTACTATATGAGATACAAGGCTGCAAATTGGATAGCACGCGCAATTACATTAGGCCTGAATCACAGCTATATGTCGTGATCTACGCAGTCGCATGGACATGACCCCGTAGGATGATCCAAGACGAGATTTCCATACAAACTGCCTGTTATTTGCAGAAAAACACCAATCTATCATCATTTGAGTAGATAAATGAAGTCATTACACGTATTTATCTTCAATGTTGTTGGGGTTCCCGCATTGCTCGGATTCAGTCTGCCCGTGTAAGCTTGTGTCTCGCCGACTTGCTTCTTATTATATCTAGGCAGTACATAACTATATCTTGATTTTGAACTAAAATTAGTAAATGTTTGCACTGTTTGAAGCCTAATGGGCCCCAATAATGGGCCGAATAACGAACTCAAAACCCAACCCACACAAATCGGTTGGGTTGGGTTGGGGTTTGGGCTTTGGGGGGGTTTGGCGATGTCTATCCCGATGGTGCCTCCATCGTGCGAAATTCACGTGCCTGTATGTACAATCATCGAGGCGGCGTCGTTGTATTTGTTCCTAGAGAATGGATCGTTGTTGTCGGTCCTATTCTTTGGTCGGCCAGGCGTCCTGGCCGACGTGTTTCTGAGATGCCGAATATTGGTGGCCTGGGGACGTTTGCGTAGCTCAGGGCTGGGCTCGTATCCAGAAGAACTGTCTGAGCCCGTCCAACTGTCTTCCTCTTCCTCTTCCTCCTCCTCTGAAATCTGCATCTGCCACCTGGCTGTTTGTCTCCCACGGTTTTGTCTCTCATAATCCTCCCGGGACAAGCCAGTTTCCCGCTGAGCCCTCAACCTCACCCGTTCCCGATGATGCCGTTCCCGCTCGAGTTGAATCTTTCTTTCCTTCGCTGCAAGCTCACGTTGCATCCGTTCATTCAACTCACGACTGGTCACTTCTAGCTGCTTTCGCATTCTATCAAGCTCTCGTCGAAATTCTTTCTGTGCCGCTTCCCGTGCAGCGTCACTCCTTTTCTTGTCCAGTCTGAGCTGCTTCACGTGCTCTAGTTGTTCCTTGTAGTCGCTCTCCATTTGCCTGGCTAAGTCCATGCCCAGGGACCTTCCAGCGCCAGTCTGAGATAACTTCAGATTCTCATCGACCATTTGTGACTGCACCGCCAGTGTTACGTGAGACTGGCGAACGATTGAACGGATTAATTTATCCGCTGATTCTTGCGTGTTGTCATGTCTTCTAACCCAGCTTCCCCTTCTGATCATCGACCCCCAGAACCTTTCATCTTGAATGAGCTGCTTCTCCTTGTCCTCACACTTGGAACGGGTACTCAGAGCGACAATATCCCAATGAGTAGTTACCAGGGCAACCTTTTGCATCGCATCGGGGCCGCTGAGCTCCTTGAAAGTTTTCAAAGTTTTTAGCGCAGAGCCGAACATTCTACCCTGTGTAATATCATGCAGGTATATCACGCCATTCAGGTTGACTTTGTTGTTGTATGAAGATGTCAACCAAGATGTGATCTCGACCAGAATCTTTGTGTCATCTCTGTAGGTGTCGTTAAACCCAGGAGTATCAATGAGGTACACTGTTTGGCCCGGAGCGAAAGTATAGGCATACACGTCGGTATTTCTTGTGTCTTTGGGTCTATTAGCTTATATCCACAGCCAGCCCCGGAGAGTTATTGCACTTACAAGCTTCCAGCCCTGAGCCGACCTTGGCTTGTCCTCCCGTTAGTAACGAGATAAACGAGCTCTTGCCTGAGCCTGTCACTCCCATGATGGCGATGAATTTATCGTTTGGTCTGGTTTTATTTAGCGGCTATGCAGTATCACGCGTTGTCGTTTTGACGGTTCATCACATACCTGGGATTATGCCCTGCTCGAAATTGCTGACCGGAGAAGACCATGCGAGCTCCATTGCCGTCATTTTCATTGTCATTTTCATTGTCATAATCACTCGAATCAGAAGAAAGAGAATCAGAAGAAACAAACGATTCGGTCGTATCAGTGTCACAGTCATACTCTCCCTTATTTTTCCTGCTAAAGGGCCACCACCCCATTTTGAAGGATGTGAAAGATGCTTTGGGAACGATAAGGGAATGGAAATTGGTATTGTAAAATAATAGGTGGCAAGAATGGAAGAGAATGTAGAAAATTAATACTTTCCTCGACTTCCTGCCTGTTCCTCATATTATAAACCTATCTGTGTGGCAGTGCCATCAGCCCCCGGGGCCATGGAGGCCATGCATATCTAGGTCATGCTGAAACCCAGGTACCTTTAAACCGCCTCTGAAACCACGCGGTGGATTGCTTGAAACAATCAGGGTCAGTTCTCCCCCAAAAATAATATTTTATGTATGTAGAATCGCTATTCCCGCTACCGTCTGACGGCCTGGTGGCTTATGCCAGTCTGCCCACTAACCAATGAAAACGGAAGAAAAACATGCAAGAAAGGAGTAGTGCTTACCACTCACCTGATTTACAGTAATAGTTGCGCTTTCGAACTGTACTTGCCTCACTAAATCAAGGAATTACTACGCTAACAAGGCCCCCCAGTTCATGCAGCTAGGCGCTCAGTACGCCAGGGAAATGCGCGAACATTATAGTTCACGGTGCAACGCGCACGGGAGTACGGCACATCTAGCGATGAAAAAGGGAGGTGCAGAGATACGGAGAGGATTAGTGCTTACCCCTCACCTCAATTAGGATGATACAAGACCTAAACCCGGGCTAAGAGGATGCAAGCGTTTGAAGTCTACAACAGGCCTATTGAATCAAGCCATTTACGCGCCGGGAAGTTTCAGCCCGCTCACAGTGCATACACCTAATATGCACCTGAAATCAAATCGAGACGGGCGGATATGGCGGGCTAGATTCCCATATCTTGAATGATACACATTTATCCTCGGTATATCCATTGATATAACCCCAGCATTATCTGAGTATTACAAGTTACTCGGGGTTTCTTCGGTTTTAGAGAAATCCAGTGCCAACTTTTCATTTGCCCATAGTTTTCAAGTTAGGAGGCCATGTCTCAAGCTGAAGTCAATCAACAGATTGCTAATCTCCTGGCGTTTGCTGGAGGGAAGGACACCCCGTCTGATGCGATCTTTATTGCAGTGATGGGGGTCACTGGAGCTGGAAAGAGTACTCTTATATCCCAATGTACTGGACAAGATGTGCATATTGGCCATGATCTTTTATCGTGTAAGTCAAGTCTAGTTATGAGACAGAACCCCAGTTCACCATAATTTTAAAAGGTACATCCGAGATCAGTGTGTTCGACTTCAGATTGGATGGCCGAAAAGTCTACTTAATTGATACCCCCGGGTAGGTACTAAGTCATTGACCGTGTGAAAGCCCCTAGAATGATCTGGCCTTTCATCAATAAACTAATCACAGGACTCTCTATCTAGATTTGACGATAGCAACTTCACCGAGCGTCCTGATTTCGTCATTCTGCAAACCATCTCCGCCTACCTTAGCGCCTCCTATGCGCGAGGTGTTTATATCCACGGCGTTATATTTTTACACCCCATCATAGAGAACAGAATGACTGGTTCCGCACGACGCAACATCGAGTTAATGAAAGCGTTATGTGGCTCTGACTTCTTCCGCAACGTTGCCCTTGCCACCACACATTGGAGTACCACTACAGAATCACTCTCGACACTGAGAAAGAGGGAGCACAGCCTGCGAGAGCACGATGCATTCTTCCGGCCATTAGTGAACGAAGGTGCCATCTTATTTCGACAAGACGACGGCGCACCATCTGCACGTCGCATTATTAGACACCTGATCAACATGAACAGGCATCGTGGCCCACCTCTGGCCCTAGCAATTCAGCGTGAACTCGTTGACCAGAATAAGCGACTTGACAATACGGCAGCCGGGAGAGTTGTACTTGATGAAGCGGCTCGCAAATACAACGCGGCGGTGGAAGAGATTGCCTCACTTAAACTTGCTATCAGGCAATCTGACTATGAAGGTGCGATGGAATTGCGGGAGATGAAAGAGGAGAAGGAAAGAATGATAAGACAGCTTAGCAAGACGGAAGCCCAGATGGCTATACGCGCACCGGAGGTTACACGTAGGGAGCAGCAGTTACTGGTTAGTGTGCATGATTCTTTTTACCCCTAAGGATGACTACTAACAGAATTTGCCTTCCCAGATCCAGAGACTGCACCATGCCCATATGGAGACCAAGGCCCAAATAGTGGCCCACGAGCGTCAACTATCGCGACTGGAAGCAGAGAAGCGAGAACTGCAGAGGAGGACGTCGGCTAATTCCAGACGCCGATCCTCCCACAGATATGACTATGAAGAGTCACCATCGAGCTATGAGGAGGCTGTTGAGAAAAAGCAGGCTGAAGTAGCCGTGTCTAGGAAGAAGAAGTTCGCGCAAGAAGCGACAATCGCTGCTATTCCAGCTATTCTCGGTGCTAGTAAGTATCATTCCAAGCCGACGAGCTTCCATTCCTTTCAACCTTGGAAGACTAGGCTTGCTGCAACATTGAAGTCATCTAACCTTTATTGTAGTTGTCCCGGCTGTAGTTGCCTGTACTGTCATGTGAATAGTACTAACTTGGATACAAAAGTTGTATGAAAGCAATTCTCGCGACTGAAGAAACAATTTAACTCATAATCGACTACTCAGGCTGCTGTGTCAAGATCAAGACATTTACTACTCGGGAACGGGGGACCTTTTATAAGAGGGGTCTCACGTATATGCAGGTGAGGAGTATGTCTTTCAAATGAATCACGGGTCAAGGAACGCTTTGCGCGCTAGCTCACCCTGTTGCTCAAGCGTTCGATGCCGGCGATGGTCTGCTCACGCATCAGCGTGGCTTCAGAAAGTAATTCGCAAGCTTGTCAAAATTCGGCTTCGTCACGATAGTGACGCATCTCAGGGACCTGCATAAGCTGAGTTCGTCTTGGCTGCTGGACTGCGACCGTTGGCATCTCACGAGCCCAGCGAGCTAGACGTGGCGAGATTAGCAATTGTTCGAACTGGCGGGGTCAAACCCGTGGCGATCGCGAATCGTATTGAGGCTCGCACGGCTTCCAAGTTTGGGAAGATGTCTACAGTGGATCGTAGTTACAGTCGTTCTCGAAATTGGCTTGACATAAACACACTTATTCACTCTTTTCTAGTCTCTTTTTAGCCTCACCACCAAGGACTTAGCGCACATCAATCATTTAGCGGGCCTCATTAAATTGAAGGCCGCAGAAAAATGCATTCATAAAGTACCGTATCTGGAACATAATATTACAGTATGCATACGAGAGTTCGATGGAAGCGTACAGTAGGTTTCCACAAATCAGCTCTAACCATATTTGTGGAAGATCTGCCTGGAGGCTTATATCCAGGCCCCTCTCAACCCCGCCCTCTCCTTTGAACTTCGAATTCACTCCCACCATTTGCGCTCTATGGCATTCTTGTTCCTACTGTATGACCCTACAGTGGTGAATGGACGCTGCGGTCAGCACCCTTGACCATCTGAGCGGTAATCAGCAAATCTCAGACAAAATCAAGCTGTGGGGCTGCGAGTCTGGACGCCACATTACCAAACAGTCCTCAATATGGCATTTGCTGGACATGCATGAACACGTGTAAAGTTAGGCGGGTCGGTCCGACACCATCCAGCGGATTTTACCCTCAGGGAGAGAGTGGAGCAAAATGGCCTAAGCGATGTGAAGTGTTCGGGGTGAGTTGCGTTGGTCACAGGCGCCACAGCCGTCGACCCAATAAGGCGCTGTACTTGCCCCATCCAGCCGTCTTCCACTGGAAGAAGATGCAGCACGGGCCTACCAGGCGGCTCGCCTCAAGGCTAAAACAGAACAATTGCTGCCAGGATTGAAGGTTGGATCTTTTCATACTGACCAGGGGCCATATGAAATCTCTGAGTCAGAATTCCTAATTTTTATCCTCTAACAGCACCCGATTCAATCCCGAAAACACATTCCCCCCATCACCAAGACCGAGTTTGATTCATCAAAAGGTTTGTTCCCCGTGACAAAACCAGTCATACCCAATGATTCAATTCCTGTTTCACCATTTTCCTCTGCCATAAGATTAAAAGTAGTGATAACTTCGGAGTACAAGTATATGCTGAGAGCAAAGCTTATGTTGACAAAGGCTCCTTCCACCCTTTACAATGGACTCTCTGGATCAAGAGAGCTTTCCGATTTTCATGAAAGCAAGGGAGCTCAATATCTGCCATGTTTGCTTATGGGCAGCCGCCGGAAGGAATCTAGCCCAAATCTGGCCAAATTCGAGTTTGATTGTAAGGCCAAACTCACTGGGTGGCTACAATGATCACAAACAATGTACGATCAAGGCATGTGTCTACTCTGACCAAAACATCACGAGAGTTCGTCAGCGACATGAATGTGGAGGCTCCTAGTGTTTACGATTAAAAACCCTGTTCAGTAGAAGTGAACTGGAACATGTGATGTTGAGCGAAGTATGCACAGCGTGGGACCTGCGCGGAAGGCGCCTACTGAAACAGCCTGTCCCGTATATGGCTATTTCTCACGTTTGGTCAGATGGCACTGAAACTGGAGCCTGGGCGGATGGATCGGTCGACGAATGTCTTTACGAGATTTTCGTGGATATCGCGTATCGGTTTTAATGCTATAGTATCTGGTGGGATACACTATGCATTCCTAGCGGAAAGACTGCCCGCAATAAAGCTACCAAGAACATCCAAACCGCCCATGAGAACGCTCGAATCACCTTAGTCCACGATCTATTCCTACGGAGCTGGCAATAGAACCCTGAAACGGCATGTTTTGCTGTCCTTATGTCTCCTTGGTTCAGTCGAGGTTAGACTGCTCTTGAACTGCTGAAGTCTCGGAAAGTGATGGTTTTCTTAAGGGCAAGGGACCAGTTATCAAAGATCTCGATGAAGAGATTCTGGCACAAGATAATAAGCCTGATGGTCCACGTAAAGAGGCTTCCTCGATAATTAGGAGACTCCGGCGCAGGGTTTCTACCTTGGACGATCTCCTCTGTGTGCTAAAGCCACGCTATACATCTTGAACTTATAATATGTCCAAGATCGCTGCTCTTTTGTTTGAATCTGAGCCAAAGAAAGATCCGTGGGGGATATTCAAGAGTGTTCTGAAAGAAATCGGGAAGATTTCACCTGACTATTCTTTCACAAGGCTATCACATTGAATGATAGCTTTACCTGGTGCCCTGTTGATTTCCTAAAGGATATGTGTTTAAGTGATTCAGAACGCTCACTTGAGGTGCTCAATAACAGCGATGTTAGAGGACGATAGCTTATTACCCCTTTCTCAGCAAGATTCAAACGAATCTTCATGCTGGCTTTAACTACACGAATTAACTTAGAGCTACAAACTCTCGAGGGTTATTCAGATTCTATTAGGTCAGTGGCTTTCTCTCTCAACGGTGTGCTACTGTAGCGAGAAGAAAAGAATCCACAGTAACAGCGGATTGGTCAAATTGAATGCGCTATTCAGTCATTAAAAAGAAATACTTCGAGCTAACTGCAACAGAGAATCATATTCTATGGGAACACGTAAGATGTATCATTGGGGATACTACTAATAGCGTGGTATGGTATTAACTTTAACTTCAGCGTAGCGGGACGGGACGGAACAGAGCTTCTGGGATGAGCAAGCCTAGCATCAAGAGTCAAGAGTATCTCCAACTCTATCGGTATTTAGACAATGGCGTAAACGCGGGGGTTTAGAGCAAGACGGGCGAGGATCAGAAGAGCAGCGCCAAGGAGCAGCGTGGATCCAGAGAACATGGAGATCGAGATCCAGCCATGCTTGGAGACCAGTGCTCCACTGATCGGAATGTTGGCCATTGCACTGAAAAAAGGTTAGTAGGGGTCACACAAGCAACAGTGTGATACATACGAAAGAGCAGTTGCTCCCACAACGGAGCCAATGGCAAGGCCCATGGTGTGTGGGCCGGACACTTGTGCGGCGCAGGCTTGTTGGAGCGAAAGAATTCCCTGTGGTCATGAGCCAATGCTAAAAGAAGGGAGTGAGACACATATACTTACACCTGATGCAAAGCCATAGGCTGCACTCCAGATCACCAAGCCCGCAACCGATGTCACCTTGGTCCAGCACATGGCGATGATGCCGGCAAGGAGGGTGGACAGGATGATCAGGTTGAATTTGCCGTATTTATCGGCCAGGATGCCGGGGATCACACGGCCAAAGAACGAGGCACCGTTCACAATGGAGATCGTGTAGAAGGCAAGAGTGGAAGAGAAGCCCTTGGCGATTACATATGTGGTAATGTAGAAGAACGGGCTGAACATTCCGAAGTAGGTGAAGAATAAGGCCAGGCAAAGAAACCACATCGCCGGCTTCTTGAACAGCTTCCTGCGCTCCTCTTTTAGGTCAACGGTGTTCTGTGTGGCTGTGGCCTGCTTTTCGGCATCCTGCTTTCCACGCTCCATATGGTCCTCCCTTGCAGATACCTCTGTTTCGGAATCACTAATTGCGATGGGGTCTGTCGCTGCGGGGGCCGGGGGAGGAGGAGGTGCGCTTGCAACAGCACAGGGAACAATGAAGAGGGGAATCATGATGAATCCGACGATTCGCATGGTCCAGGGGAAGCCGAGACTGGGGTTCTTCAGCATCTGGTCGATGGCGATAGGCCAAATGATTCCGCCTAGCGAGGAACCACCGAGCACGATGCCCATGGCGGCAGCTCGATTCTTCGGATTGACACTCTTGGCGACGAGGGCCAGCATGGGCCATGAAACCAGGGACATGGAAATTCCGAGGAGGACACCTTGAGCGAGAAGGAACTGCCAGAACACTCGGCAGAGGGAGATCATCATAATGCTGAAGACCATACCAATGGCACCGGCGCAGGTAAGGAGCTGGGAAGAGAGAAGCAGAAGTCAGAAGATCGGTCCTCGTGCAATATATATCTGGTTGGGACATAAATTCGGAAACTCGAGGCAGACCTTTGGACCAAAGATGTCCATGAGAACACCAGCAGCAGGGGAAATTCCAAAAAGAAACAGAATTGCCACGGCACCTAGCCATGCGACGGTCGATGGGTTTCCGTGCGCAAGATATAAGCCCTTGTGGGCCTTATCGGCGACGTAGATTTCCTGAAAGATGCCGAACGAGTTCATGAAGCCGACGGTGCAGAATAAACTGGTGGATGCACCGACAATGATCATCCAGGTGCGAGCACTGAAGGAGAAGAGATGTTAGTGAAAATCGCGTGAGAAGGGTTGGGTAAGTGTATACTTGGACTGGGTTGGGGGGCCGGTGTTGGCCATGGCGGGTAGACGATGGGAATGTGAGTATATGGGAGTAGATGAGAGGGGGAAGAAAAGAGAATGTTGAGAGAGAAGAGGAAGTGAAGTGAAGAGAAGAGAAGAAGAGGAAGTGGACAGGAGGTTACCTTGTAGTAACGTGGGAGTGGGAAGTAACGTGCCTGTGCCTGTGCCTGCTGAATGTTTTTGTATACATCGGAGCCTCCGCGGAGTGGGTCACCTGATCTACACCCGATCGGCACGGAGTCTCCGGGCTCCTTCCTCGGTGTTTTCTTCTCCAACTCCGACTGGACTTCTCTGATATCAAACATCATCATCAACAACACCACAGCACAACACGCCACAACATCATCTCTGAATCACTCCCTATTTGCCCATTCATGACCCACTGGGATTACTGGAAGCCCTCTTCTACTTTGTTCTCCGCCGCCTTCATTCCATTCGGCCCCACTTCCACCCGATATGAAGCGGAAACCTTCCCCCAGCCTGAGTGCAATGCATACAACCACCACCACCAGAAAGCAGCCCCGACAAGATCCTGTCTCATGTGAATCATGTCGCAAAAAGAAACTCAAATGTGATCGAAATCAGCCATGCAGTAGCTGCTCTGTTCGGAAACTCGTCTGTAGCTATGGAAGCTATGGCCATGGAGCCCCGAGTCCCGGCGTGAAATCGGACAGCCAGTCGGAGCAAAGGCCCACCGATGCCAATTCCGATGACAGATCTACTCGAAGGCTGCCTCTGCCATCCTCCTCGCCCTTGCAGGCCCAGCCACAGTCAAGGAGTGACCGGAATGACCCACTCGTTACGGCCGACTGGCTGGAGACCATTGTCATGGCCCATCGAGTGCCCTCCGCCGCCCCAATTCCCCTACGTGATGGGTTGACCCATCATCAACGTCTTGAATTTCCCCAGCCATGTCTGGGTACAATCCCCGGCAATCTCCTCACCCTCGTCCGCGGTGGCCGCATTGTGTCAAATGAAAATCCCGCCAACATTCATCTTCCCGCCCTGTTACCATCCGAACCTGAAGCCCTGGATCTGTTGGCGTACTATTTCAACCACCTGGACTACCAATATCATCTGGTCGTCGCTAGCCGCACTGAACGAGACATCCACGCCATCTATGAAAGCGCGGCGCGCAATGAGCCGGTCAATTTGCATCATCTTGCTTTGTTGTTTAGTATCATCGCCTCCGCCCTCTTCTACCAACTTCTCCCCACCGAATCTGCAGACTTCGCGGATATATGCAGCTCAGAAGCCGCATTTCTCGCCGGGGCCGCTTTAATTCAAGCTAATTACATCGCTTATCCCTCCATCGAAGGCCTCCAGGCGACCATGATCATTGGTCATCATCTCTCCAGTAATACCCTCAGCCCATTGGTAAGCTCCTTCTTCGTCCATGGCTCCCTGGTCAGTCAGGCCAAAGCCCTGAGACTTCATGCGATGGACAACGAATCGCATTCAGAGGAACGAAAGCGAACGGGGTACGATAAAACGGAGGTCGAGCTGAAGCGAAGGTTATGGTGGGATCTGGCCTCGTATGACTGGTTAGTCTGCTTCTACTCACCACCAGTACGCAGCGCATTTGATAGCTAACATATAGTGAACACTTTCATAGGTTGATAGGCTTCCTCAGCGGCCCACAACAGTGGACATACACAATCCACCCCAACAACATGAACGTGCGCAGACCACTAAACATCAAAGACGAAGATCTTGACTCCATCGAAACCGGCCAGCCTCTCTCAACACCAACATGCATGTCATACACCCATGCCCGCCTGCGACTGGCGGAAGTTTGCCGAGAGATCGTCGATAAAGTCGGACCAGAACATCTCCATGGCCAAGATGTCCCATATGAAAAGATTCTCGAGCTAGACCGAAAACTACACGACGCCCACGCAGAACTTCCCATCTTCTTCCGCTACGACAAAATTGCGCGCCGAGATTACAGCGACCTCTACCGCGAGCGACCAGCGATTGCCTGGCAGCGCGCTTTCATTCAGCAAGGATTCCATTCACGCCTTTGTCGCCTGCATCGCCAATACTTTGTCCGCGGCGCAAGAGACCCCCGATACTCCTACTCGCATGTCGTTTCTTTACAATCTGCTCGGAAGGTATTAGAGGTGAAGCGCATCATGGATGAAGAAGAGCCATTCTTCACGCCGAACAGCTCGTTCTTCTGGGCTGTCATGCATCATGTTTTCATGGCCGCGGTGATCCTTCTCATCGACGTCTGTTTCAACTGGGATGATATTCTCGCCGAGAAGCGTAAGGAGGAGGTAATAGCTGCTTGTCGAATGCTCAGTCGCGCACAGCAGTCGTCTTCCGTTGCTCGGGAAGGCATCAATGCCATGATGGGGATTCTGCAAAAGCACTGGAAACAAGAAAAGCGACTCGCTGCTCAGACTGAGCCGTCGGCAAGAGGTCCCGATGTACCATCTTCCTCCAACGCCCAGCCCCAGCCCCAGTCCCAAGCCCAGCCTCAGCCAATGATGTCGGCGTCTACCATGCATGGAGTCGGAGTTAAGAACAGCTACTTCTCCCCGTCCCAACCCTTCCCTATTCCTTCTCAGAACTACGAAGCTGTGAACCCGGCTGCGTTTATTCCACTGGAAGACATTTGGACGGAGATGTTGGATGGAAGTGCCCACGCTGGACTTGATACACCGGGTTGGATTGACATGTTAACGGAACTGAATAATACAACGGCGCCTTGCGAGTGATCGGCAAGTGTGGGGCTCTGCTTATCCTGAAGCCTAAAAAAGAGGCCCTGTTTAGATCTCACTCATCACATGATGTTTACTTTTACAGTCCCTCACCCCACACCGCGCTGACGGCGGAGTCTTTCCAATAACACATTGCGCCCATCAGCTATTCACCAAATCCAACAAAATGTCCGTCCCTCCGAATACCATCAATACAAACCCCACCATCCATTCCATCGCCGACCGTATCAAAACCGGCCAAATCACCCGAATCATTGTCCTGACAGGCGCAGGGATTAGCACATCAGCCGGCATACCCGATTTCCGAACCCCAACAACAGGCTTATACGACAGACTAGCACCACTAAAACTGCCCTACCCGGAAGCAATCTTCCACATAAACTACTTCTCCCACTCCCCGAACCATTCTACGCCATCGCACGAGCCCGCCATCCAACAACTCTAAAACCAACCCTTTCCCACGCATTCCTAGCCCTCCTAGCAAAGAAAAACATCCTTCATTTCCTATTTACCCAAAATATCGACGGCCTTGAAGAAGATGCCGGCGTGCCCGCGGAAAAGATACTATGGACACATGGTAATTGGAAAAGTCAACACTGCTACAAATGCAAGGCCGAGTACCCGGACGATCTGATGCAAAAAGCAATCAACGCCAGTGATGTGCCCTATTGTCTCGCACCCAAGTGCGGGGGAGCTATAAAGCCCGATGTGGTTTTCTTTGGCCAAAGTTTACCGAAGGAATTCGATGAGAAGGTGAAACTTATTCCTGAGGCTGATTTGATGCTGGTTATGGGGACTAGTTTGCGAGTTGCGCCTTGTTCGGCGATTCCGCGACAGGTTGAACCGGGTGTTCCGCGGGTTCTGATTAACATGGAAAGATCTGGTGATATGGGGAATCGGGATGGGGATGTTTGTGTTTTGGGGAATTGTGATGAGGGGGGTTTGTGAGTTTGCGGAGGCATTGGGTTGGCGTGATGAGCTTGAGGTTCTTTGGAAGGAGGCTGTTGCTGCTAAGGCTAAGATTGATGGAGGTGGAGGTGGAGGTGAAGATGGTCCGGACCTGGATGCTTGTATTGCTAAGATGGCTGCGCAGATGGATGAGCGGTTGGGTATTTCGAAGGGTCATAAGAAGATGTTGGAGAATCATCTTGGTGATAAATTTGCGAAGATGATGGCTGGTAATCGTCCAACTTGAAGATCATGATGTATCAGGACCGGGGCCCTGTAGATACATAGAGAATGGAATGATATTCGGCATCTTCAGCACCGTGCTCCTTCTACTAGTAGTATCTGTCTCTCTGATCGCCACCATCGCCACATACAGTCCTGGAGCTCCAGGGCTCTTTCACGGAATTGACAGCTTCCTATATACCCCCAAATGATGCAATTATGATGTGACTCAGAACAACCACCACAATCAATCATCCATCTGAGCTTCATTTCCAGGGCAATCTCACGTTCTTCCTGTCTTGTCTTCAAGTTCCGTTTTCCCCTGTACTGCTACCTGCCATTACCACTACCACTACCAACCACCTCCACCTCGACCTCCATGCACCCCCAAAATGGTCTGCCATCCAGAAAACCCCCTCCCACACATCCACCGCTACATAACAACCCACAGCACAGAAGGCGAAGCAGTATTCGTCTCCCATGCGCAGATACCAGACTACATGCCCAGCACACCGGCCGGAACCGACGGAGAAATCGCGTTATTGTACTCCACAACCTCAACACCAGCCAACACATCCGACGAATGCGATATCGCAATGTATGACGAATTCCTACACCAACCGCCCGGGATTACCGTTGAGGATGGAACGGTGTTTCGAATGATTGATTTACAACCTGGAAAGGTGACGCCGATGCATAGGACTGTTAGTCTTGATTATGGGATTGTGCTTGAGGGAGCTGTTGATCTTGTGTTGGATTCGGGGGAGGTTAGACGATTGGGGAGGGGGGGATGTTTGTGTTCAGCGGGGAACGGCGCATTCGTTTAGGAACGTTGATAAGGATAGGTGGTGTCGGTTGCTTTTTGTTTTTTTGCCGATGGTGAAGTTGGTTGTCAAAGGGAAGGAATTGGAGGCTGAGGTTTACGATAAGGGGTTTGATAAGCCGGATGGGGCGGGGATGGGGATAGAGGAGATGGAGGTGGGGAGTGATCTTCCCAGTTCTCCTGGGAACATGAATATCCCTAGAAATATGTGCGACTTTCAAGTTGGAGTTGTATTTGGGCTATGCGGGAAATGTGGGATACATCGTGATGCCTTCTGCGCGGATATGATAGCCCCGTGTGTTCCGTCTCCGAGTCCTAGTGCGTTCAGCTCTGAATGTATTACCATGCTAGGATTACACCTGGACATGAAACTTCAACTCATTGCACAGTCACTTCAACCTTGGATTTATCTGTGTCGAGGCTAGTCAGTTCCAAGGTCAAGTCTCATTGTGAAGTACTAGTAAGATGGACTCACAGAAAGCAATATGATCCTTAATATTCTTCGCCTTTTCATATGGCTCCGCATAATACCAGGCTGCATCCTCGACACTTGAATCTATAAATATTTGTCAACATGTATTCTCAAACCCAGCTGGATGCCCTTGTCAGATTTATCACGGGCATTTCTCACCTCCCGTATTGATGCGGTAGTAATTCGCAGTCCCTTTCCATGGGCAAAAGGTGGTGCTATCCGTCTTGACAAAGACAGCGTTATCTTTAATAGAAGAGCGTGGGAACTGCCTCGAAGCCGTCAGTACCGGCGGTCCAATGTTCGTGGCTGTTCATATTTTGAGTGTGGCGGGGACCAGGTCATACGTAGATGTTTCCTTCGACTTCTTCCCAACTCGAGGCCGAGGCCAGGAGGAGGTCGCCTAGTTTTGCTTCGGCAGCCGGCATTTTCGCGGTTCCTTTGAGAGGTGTTATTCCCGTTCTTAAGACTAAACACTGGGCGTGGCAGTGGTGGTTGAGGTGTTGCTAAGTGATAGCGTCACTGCTGCGGGGAAGTGCAGATCTCCGTCTCCAGACTGTCATCATTCGATTTACTGGGATTTCACGTGGTAAGTTTGGTGAATTTATAGTTCGCTGAGCCTTCGTAAGATTTAGATACGAGTCTGAACAGAGATATGTTTTTGATATTACTCCGAACGTTCATACAGGTTGTGAATCTGTCGATTTGGTACAACATTTGCTGATGCCTTGCCGCCTGAGGCATTAAGGCCCCAACAAAGATCGACCTCCCAATAACAAACACAAATAGCGAATCGACGAATTCAATTCGGCGTTTCAGGATGAAATCATTCATCCTTTATCCTTAGCCCATTTACCCTTAGCCCATTTACTAAGAATCTCGCACATTCGGCTTTCTCTTTCTTTTTAACGCCGAGCTTTACACCCACCAAAGGCAAGCGTGGTCAATTTGTAAGCCATCGGTAGCGTCGCCAAGAAACACAAGGCTGCACTAAACGAGGAAAACCTCACATTCAGCCCCATATATTAGTTTGGCGATTCTTTTTTGGGGCTAAATGGGTCCGCAGCTAAAGAAGCCTCATGCTTAGAAATTGAAGATTATCAATCAAACAGCAGTTTGGTCTCGCAGAGCATCAATGAAACTTGAATGCACTATAAAAGGCAACAAAAGTCTACTTAATCAAGGATGAATATACAGCAGAAAACCAATCTTTCGAACAAACCACAACATTTCCATCAGAAATATCTCCATCTTCAAAATGGACACTCCAATCCGCCGCATCATCGCCGAACATGACAAAAAAGGCAAAGCCTCCTTCGTCGCCGACGAGTACCTAACCCCCTACGACCCAACAACCGCACCAGAATTCACCACCCCAGATGCCAATTCCGGATTCGGCGTGATTCAAATCCACCGATCGCGCGGATTTCCCGTGGACAATATGCGCCAGCTTCCCGATCCACATAAGACTCTCGTGCCCTTGGCCGATACAAAGGGACCCTCTTGTCGAGTTATCGATCTCCCGCCCGCTGAAGCGGGGTGGATGCATCGGACCCTGAGCTTGGACTATTTTGTCGTGTTGACTGGCACTGTGGGGTTGATTACTGATGGGGGTGTGGAGAAGGTTCTTAAACCGCATGATGTTGTTGTTTGTCGTGGGACGAATCATGAATGGGTTAATCGGGGACAGGATGTTGCGAGGATTTTTGGCGTCGTTGTGCCCAGCCAGGAGATTGTTACTGAGGATGGGGTGAGGTTGGAGAAGACGGCTGCTGGGCCTATTTATGATCCTGAAGAGGAGTGAGATGTCCACTGGTGCCAGTGGTGCCCAGGTGGTCCAGGGGTGGATGATGGGTAGAGCTAGAAATATGCCAACACTACTAGTACTAATAAACGTACTTTCAGTTTAGAGAAGGAAAAATAGTAGAACTTGAGTACTAGTAGTGATAGTACATATTAACTTAGACTTTAATCTCCATGATTGTGAAATTTAGAATACGGTTAACACTGGCATCAAAGGGTCCGTAGCTCTGTTGGATAAAAATCAATTGAACTGAGCGAAAGCTAACTATCGTCTACCGCATATCCCTCCAACACAGCTTTCACGCACGCCGCAGCCGTGACAGCAGCATAGCTTTGCCAATCTTTGTTGTTATGGCCGTCCGCGTAATCACAGACACCCTTAATGAAAAGGGTCGGTAAATTAACCCAATCTCTCGGGACCATTGTGTCAAAGGCGATCAAATTATACTCAGGGCAATTCTTTCACGTCTTGCCCAGATCTCATGACTTTATCCCCGGAGCCAACGATGCCGATGTGGATTTTGGGCCTTGGCGGGTAATCCTTAGTCGATGCCTCTTGTAGTGGCTTGCTCAAGATTAGTAACCCCTTTTGACATCCAAGCTGTTGGCAGCTCAGCCGTCGTGCCTCTGTACATATTAAGTCCGACCCGTCTTTCCAGGCGCATACACTGCACGCCGCCGGATCTTGATGTTTGTGTTGGTATTCGGACTGAAATAGCTCGTCTTTATCAATGCCTGGATACCCAGACATCTCAGGGCTAAACATACTCTGCAAGAGAGCGAGATGGAGAGAAAGCTTCGTCTCAATGCGTTCTCGCACTCGCCTCGCCTTTAATTTAGCCATCTTCCCCATACTGGACAGGATAACGAGAACGATGTTATGGTGCAAGATTCTGCCCATGAAGTACGTGTTGTGATTCCCGGCTGCTTTGCCGTATCCACCGAATCCTTTGATCCAGATGTCGTCGAAAATCTCGCAGACAGCGCCTATTTCGAAGGTTCTCACCCGGGGCAGCCCACAATACAAAATGATCAATCCCCAGGACCACGGCTAGTAGGAAGGGCATTGAATACTATGAACATAATGACTCTAATATTGTGTCAATACTTTATCTTTCTTTCAATACATCCAGGGCAACGGTATTGCTTGAATAATACTCGTACCGGTGCAGGGAGCGGCTTGGTAGTGTAGGGCGGTCCGTAGGACAGTGGGCAATATTTAGTAATTCAATTTTCGACTGGCTTAAAACAAAATGCTTCCTGTTATTGGTCAGAATACCATGGGTCTAGACCTAATTCCAGGGTAAAGACTTTGAGGTATTCGTTTTTCAAATATTGCGACATCCTCGATGCTAAACATATTCCGGGGAGAGCTTTCATTCGTTATTGGAAATGGGAACGGGGATAATAGTAGTGCCAAGACCAGTATCAAAATATCAACAAAAGGAGCAGACCTGATCCTTTTCAAGTTCAAGTTGTGTTCAATACCAGGGTAGCTACTGGTACCATGACGTTATGTGAAGCGATCCCGAATTGCATCCCGGTGATATGGGTGAATCTTGATAGTATATAGTGTTGTGTTTGAACAATTCATTTATAGTTCACATGATCGCCAGTTTTCGATGAATGCGAGGTCAGGAAATACCCTTCCGAGTTCCCGAAATCACGCCAATTTATCCTTAACCTGCCCAATAAAATCACTAACCGTCTCATGGAAACTGCGATACTTAACCCCCAACTCATCCGCCACCGTCTGCCCATCAACACCATACGGGAAAGTAGGTTTTGTCCCCGAAACATAATTATCCGTAACGACACCCCTCGCCCACTCAAAGTTCTCCTTGATGATATCCGCCGCATACTCGTAAGAAAATGGTTCCAGCGCCGCAGGCAAGAATCGCTTCCCACTCGCCTCCGGTCTCAGCAGCGCCTGAACATGCGCCTCGGCTAGATCCCGCGCATCAATCCATGCAGGGACACGGGCTCCGGGCAACGGGTCCACACCCGCAGCGACAGCCCAAAGACCGGCGTTGGACTCATTGAGTGATTCGATGTTGGCCACGGGGTGGACGACAGGTCCAAAGACCATTGGCGGACACAAGGTGACGAGGTCGAAGGGTGGGTTCTCGGTCTTGATAAACTCCCACGCTGCTAATTCGGCGTATTTCTTTGAGCCGCGGTATGCTTCGACGGAGGTGGCTGTTGGGGAGGCGGCCGCTTCGTAGGTGAGTGGGTTCCAGTTTTGCGCGGTGTATGTGAAATCGGGGCCCGGGGTGCTGTTCACATCGACGATTGAGGCGAAGGAGGAGGTGAGGACTATCCGCTTGACGTTTGTACCGGGCTTTGCGGACGCGGTCAGGATGGATTTCACGCCGTTGATTGCGGGGAGGATGAGTTCTTCTTCGTTGTTGGTTGTGTTGTAGAAGAAAGGCTGGAGAAGACCGTCATTTAGAATTGTAGGGTATGGTACGGTGGGAGGATCGCGGGAGACAGCTCACGCTAGCGACGTGGATGACAGCATCAATGCCCTCCATCACTGAGTCGAAGACGCCGATCTTGGTGAAGTCTTCCACGACGACGAAGTCGAGTTGCGAGGCGTACTGCGGGCGTGCGGCTTTCATTTCTTCGCCCTTCTTAATTGATCGGGTTGAGCCGCGGACTTTCAGGCCCTTGGCTAGGAGGTTATCGACAACATGCGCGCCGATGAAGCCGGTTGCGCCGGTCACTAGGACGTAGCTGTAGGTGTATTAGCGCAAGTCGCGGGGAGATTGGAGGAGGGGGCCCATACAATGGGTGCGCGGTCATTTTGTTTCTGGTTGAAGAGTGAAACTTAACGTGGAGGAAGAAGAAGGAGATGAGTGGGAAAGAGTAGGGAGTAGTAGTGGAAGGGTAAACCCTTAGCCTGTTTACCCCAATTGTTACCCCGCGTGGGATGTGTGGGGGTCTTTCGGCTTAACTCCGATCCTATCGCCATGCCAAGCCGAAGAAGTATACCTTCAACAATAGACTGAATCTTTGATAATTCCAGCTCATCGGAAAATGGGGTCTTTGATCGTAGAAGAAAATCAACCGACTAGACAGTCGGTGAGCAAGTATTTCCATAGTACTGCATGCCCTTTCTACTGGGTGTGGCCCCGGCGCCACTCCTACTCCGGTAGTATGTTAGGTATACTAGTAGCTCTATTTATTTCTCTGCGGGCCACGTCACTTTCGTCTCTAAATCCTTTATCTCCTTCCCTTCCGCACACCATTTCTCTCTGCAACTGTCTCTTGAGCGACAGAGGGAACATCATGACTTCATATCAGTGTATTCCGCAATTGGAAGAAAGCCTGAGCAGCTGGGCACTGGCATTTGATGCGACTCAGGATCTTCTAAAATACATGCATATTGTTTCTACCCACGGTGGCCACCGTTTTTCTGAATATATTTCTTTTTCAAGTTCGGAGAGTTCCATGTCATTCATATAATATCCACCTGGGCAACTATAGCAAATCCCAAGTCCAATACATTTATGCAATAACAGTATCCTCCGAAACAGCATCATCATCGCGATCGCCAATCACAAAATTTTCCGAGGAAGCTGGCACCACAGGCTCGGTCTCATCCTCGGTTTCATCCATGAAGCTCCAATCCCCCACCTCAACCAACGAAGCAAAGTCAATCAGAGTAGTCTGTCCCGTCCGCTGACAAAACAGCATATCTTCAAGAAGTCGAGGATTACCAACCTCGACATCACACTCGTCGAGTAAACTGATAGCGTCCCGGATACGCTCAATAAGGACGTTCTGCTCCTCGAAGCTCAACTCCTCAATGATATCAGCAACCCGGTGCCCGGATCTCTTCTCCATAACGATAATGTATCCTTGCGGGAAGATACTCGAGCACATAATCTGCCCAGTGAAAAAGCAACTTGCGAAACAATCCGGCACGGCTACTCCATTCGCTTTGCGCCGTTCGATGGTCTCGTATACTTTTGATTCGATCGCGTACCTGATTTCGTTAGTTCGGATTTCTTTGCTGTACTTCAGTCCAGTAGGGGATAGATAGTTAGGAGATACTCACTTCTCGAGTCCTTCTGGTGCCCAACACTTGGCTATACATGTCACCCCATTGAAAATGACTTCGAAGACGGCTTTGGACGTGTCATTCCTGTCTCCGGAAATGCCCCCGACGCACTCAACGGCGACAGTCGCGATTTCGCCATCGCCGCAGATGATCGTGTGTCTTGTGACCGGGAATCTTCCTCGACCATCGTCCATATCAACGTACGCCCGCTGAGTGACGGGTGATGCAACATCCGGTAGTGACTCCGGGTCTTCGTACTTCATTATGCTGGCTCCGTGGGGAGATAGGGAGCCAGGGTATAGAGTCCAGTCGTAGATGTTGACAGCTCGGCGGAACTGCGGGTCATGGACACTATGCAGGGACATTCTTTGCGAAGATTTGTATATTTAGAGTGCTTGTGGGTGTGGGAATTGGAAGGTGGGTGTGTTTAGTTGAGGAGGGAAAAGTTCTAGCATTGAGGGAAGCTTTTTTATTCATGTTTCGCGCCTTCCGACTCCCAATCTGAACTATAGCCAGTTCTCATTTTGGTTTAGTCGTGTTTATATATCGCTAACTATGGTTCAAGTGCCTTCCTTGGGAATAATTACTTCTTTGGGTTGTCTAGGAAAGGAGCCACCCATCAAAAGTTAACCCGCTTCCGGCGCCGACGATATGGAACTAATATACCGTCATGATAGAATCATTGAAAATTCGTTTTGTAATCAGTTCAATACATCCAAATACTGACTAGTGAGATGGAAAGAGCCAGATTCCATCTCAACAAAGATATGCACATATACCATTTTGAAAAGAGCTTGAAGCACCTGTGGTCATCAGCGCTGCATGCCTCCGTCTATCGATCAGAAATCCAAAACAATGCAGCACTCAAGGCATCTCCGGCGCCTGGTTTGCACTCACGATAGGCGTAACATAGCCAAGCCGACGCGTAGCAAAAATCTCCACTCCGATAGGAATTGCAGTATCGTGAAGATTTCCCGACTTGATCTGGGTGACACCCGGCATGCCCTCCGGCTGGGAGTAGAGGCTTGATCCGCAGTCTGAAACTGTTAGTTTGCATTCCAGAGCCTAGAACTTGGGTAGAGACATACCTCCACAGAAAAAATGGCGATGCTCCTTTCCGGATACATCTGCAAGTCTAGCCCAACTTTTGGGCGTTCCTTTGCTGACCGCAAAGTTGGTGGTTGGGACGGCGACATTGGATGAGAATGCGCTCCCACTCCACTGTTGACATCCGGCACAGTGGCATAGGGCTGTAAGGGCAGGTTCACCTGATATTTTCCATTAATCCTGCGTTCCTGTGAGGTTTGACGAATTTGCGTACCGGTGTATGTAAAGGCGATATTGCCGCAGGCACAGTTTCCGGAACCAGGCATTTTCGTTGATAACTTCAAGGGTAGGTTCGAAGGTAGGTTCTTAGTATGATGTCTGTGAGCAAATTCTTCTTTTCGATACCTCATCTTCGTCGGGGGCCGGACGGGCATTTGTATTTCGAGCAGATCGATGATTCCACATCACATATCGAAAGCCCCACCGAATGATATCAAACCTTTCCCGGCGAGCTGTCCTACGGGATTCCATTCTTGGGGTCTAGTATGCTGCGCCACCTAAATCTTTGGAATCATTACCTGCACTTCAATCTTGGCGCACGGTCGCTCAGATCCGCTGAAGATACACAATGTCTATTGGACCCTTTACCTTCCAGAATGATTTCACTCCTGGCAAAAGTTGAATAATCCGTTCCATCTGTTAATTCAATTCATATTCCTTACAGATTCGATCTAATTATTTGATCCAATAACTCCTCAAACACCTCTTCCTCCATAATCGCACCAAACCTAAAACTATCAGCAAAACTCTCAAGCATTCAAAAGATCACACTCACCCATAACACTTAATATGAGGAATCATAGCCGATCGCAACATCTCCAATGTTTCGAGATCTATGGACGCAAGATCAAAATATTTCATTAATCGATTCCACGCTTGCACGGGTGTGACATATCCATCCAGTCCAAGATGACCAGATAATTCGAACAGCTTATCCAATTGCTGGGCAGGGACCTCCCATGATGTTTTATCTTCGAGTTCCATAGGGGCCCCCACTAAAATCATTCCCTGCATGGACATTGCATGTCCGGATGGCTCATCCGAGTCTGGAGCCCGGGTGTGAAAGAGACATGGTCGTTCCAAACTGCGTGCGTGTGAGTTTCCGTTCGGAAGGTTATGCTGGGAGACTTACGATAGAACGAAATCTATGCCCATTTGAGTTAAATTTAGATATTTCGCACTCCCACTTTCCGATGGGTTATTTATTTGCTCATCGCTGAGTTCCGAGTTATGGTGATGACGGTGAGCATCTTGCACCATGTGCGTCGCCGAATTTGGAATCGTGACTGAAAGATGTTGATGATGCCCATGATTCCCAAATATAGTAACCTCCGCCAGCGGGGCACTTCTCAGCTGGAAGTTCTGCGGTAGTGGGATTGAACAACGCAAAGCGATCTCCCGCAGAACGCCATTCTCAAACTCAAGCTCATTTAATTCATCTGCCAAAGAGGTCAGGCTATACAACCGATGCAGCTCATCTTCAAGGCTACGAAGTCGGTGATCCCTCTGTTCGCGGTGTTTCCTGTAAGTTTGAAAATTGAGCACTGCCCACGGAATCAATCTCCTTCGCCTTCTTCGCCTCTATAGCTTACTTTTGTGCCCTTCGCACTTGTTCGCGGCGGCGGTCATAATCTGTTTTTGGCGGATTGCTGGGGTCCACATTCTCCGTCGGCTGTGCTATACTAGAGTGCATTTGGCGATACTGATAGAAATGTATTTTTTCCCTGAAAGTGTGAAACTCAAAGGAGGAGAAGAAGTGCCAGCACATGTTTGTTGGTGATAAGATGTTACGTAACTGGCTAAATCAGGCTAGGAGGCGCTCTGGCCAATAGGACTGAAGATTGCACGCGAAGTAGGGGCCATGCGAGATGATTCCAAAGCACCAAACTCAAATGATTCCACATCGCTAGTCTTGCGGCTAAATTCTGCTTTGAGAAATTTGAAACAAATTCTCCCTATCTTTTCATCCATCAATCACTCACCGGGGTACCTACTCTTACTTCAGACCGGAAATTGCTATGCTCAACACAAACTAATGGTGACTTAGAGTTGGATGCCCTGCCCAGGTGAAGCTTTGTGAAGATATATAATTAGTAGCATTGCTGATCTTCTATTATTAAACGAACTTGAATTACTACTACCTAGGTAGTAACACTGGCACACGCATAGCTCGGGCCCGGGCGAGATGACCTTCGACCCAAATTTAGCCACCAACCACCATCATAATTATATTCTTTTTCCTGACCTCCAGCCACAGGGGTTTGGTTTGAAAGCGTACTCACGATTTAGGTCCCAGAGGTCGTTTTTCCTGTAGAATAGCCCTGAGCTTTCAGAGCTTGATCATCTCTTTATCCAGATGAAACGCCAAAAGAATGGGCATTAGGCACCTCTACCGGAATCCTGACCGAAATCTAAAGGAATTTACTACTAAGCGTGATATTAAAATCGGAGATCCTCCCGACTCACTGGTATAACTTCATATATATATCAAATAATGGTTCGGGTTTTTTTATATGCAACACGGTCTGTTGTGTGCTATGAAATACGCGCTCCTTGGAGACGAGATTGATGATGAGTCCCTTTTCTGATTTAATTTTAGGCTCTTGACTACATATTGGACGCTGTTTGCGGGGGAACTTGTGAAGCAAGGGAAAGTACACCATGTCGATGGAACAGCCAGAAGTGTGGAGAATGTTTCCTTGTGAAGAGCAGAGGGTTTTCTCGCAGGATCTCGACTAAGGTGTTTTGATCTCCATGATGACCTTTCAATGGCTGTCTGTATCTTTTAGAATAGATTTTATACCACCTAATTCTCAACATCTGATTAAAAAATGCGTGTTCGAGTTTTCAACGTCCAGTACAGCGCTCCATAAGTAAACGCAGGCTCGTTGACGAAGTAGGCTCGGCAATTGTGCAGAAAAAGAGACCGCCCGTATTACCCGCGTATTACCCGCGGTTAAATTTACTGGTCTTCCTAATATGACTTGGAGGCAGCTATATATCTCACTCCTCTTAGAACTAGAATCATACCGCCCTATGTGATTTTTAGTTGAATGGTTACTACTCGGAGACGGTTAGGCGTTGGCATCACCCCTCATTAATGTAGCCAGTGCTAATCTAAATTTAGCACTATAGCCCGTGTGGCGCAATGGTAGCGCATCAGACTTCTAATCTGGGGGTTGCGAGTTCGAGCCTCGCCATGGGCTCGTTTTTTTGAAGAAATTAACAATTTTGTTCTGCTGTTATTGTGTTGTTGTTAACAATACAGAAAGGGTGAAGTAGACAGACAAAAATGGTGATGGGAGGATGGTGCAAAAATATGAAAAGACAGAAGGAACGGCATACGCCCAGGTGCCCAAGGCTTTATTTACCTGATGCCTAATACACCTTTTTCTATTGAAAAATTAGAGACAACGTCTCATCAAAAAGCTTAGTTTTATGTCAATGTTCAATATTTTTATTTTTTTAGATTTCCTTCCTAAATTTACTAAGTAGCCTCTTTAGCCTTTTCCTGAAAATCCACCATCACTAATTCTATGTAAGGAGTGAACAAAGCATACTACATTCAAGTTGCTAACACTATTTAACACAGTATTCCTTCTTCAACGGAATAGTATATTTCCCTCTGTTCAGGTCACGGTGTCAATAGAGGATTTTGGCCTATTATCCCAAGGTCTGACTGACATTCTGCAGCACATCTGGGCATTTAAAGCCCTTGATCTGTATAATGACAGTCTTTGAAGGGTGCTTTGTTGCAAGCTTGTGGGCATGTCTCTTGCTATTTTCTTCAGAATCATTCCCCTTAAGATGCTCTTCTATGAGCATCTCGCATTTCTATTTGTAAGTTCTTCTAGAATGAGAGGCAGAATTGAAGGAATGGAAAACCGTATGACTTGCGAGTGGCAGCAGGACGTGACAATTTGGGGGTAGGGTGATACTCCATCGCCAACTGAGTGACATGGACTTCTACACCAAGCCTGGAGTGATTTCTCAAAAGCCTACCTAAATATATGGTACAGTACGTCCCGAAACTGGTGCAACCGCCTACACTCTTTGAGTAATTCTCTAGCCCCACCGCCAAGATAAAATAGACTACATTAGGAGTAGAACCGGAATCTCAATATTCCTGTACCAGTCTCGATACCGTGATATACTTTAGTTAAATACGGTGCCTCGTCTCGTAACTGTATTTAAGCCCCCGTATTGTAACAACTCAAACTTACTTAAATCCTCGCAGGGCGGTACTAGAATCAGCCGCACTAGCATGGCAGGAGGTGGTTGGCAAGTGAATTAGATTAGACCGAAAGCCCTGTGGGTCCATAAGCTGACGGGCTGACGGGATGAAGGGGTGCGATCCCCGGCTTCCACCGCTAGTAGGGAGTACTCGTCGAATTAAGTTTCTTCGGGAGCCTTGGCGAGGCTTAAGTCAACCCTTAGAGATTGGCTGTTAGCTTCCTTTCAGTCCGTCAGCTTCGATTGAATTATTTAGGTTCACTAGCGAGCCTGAAGCCATACCTGGTAATACACCATGGACAAAAAGTCTGGCCCACGGCCCATCCACGAACCGAGCCCCAGTCAGTGCATAGCCTCCTCTCACGGACAGCTGCCCAACGAGGCTACGCCACGAGTTAGAGAAATAAGCGATGATCCTTGAACGAGAAGATGTCTCAGGGTTGAAGATGAGCTGTTCCATTGGAGGTTCAGGTAGAACAGCACGTCGAAATCCACACGAGGTCGGTACGGAATACGAGATAGGGCAGTGCACTACTACTCACAGACGCCCTGTACAGCTAGATTTGAAGGGGCATCAGTCTTAACGATCGAATTGGGGCGCCTTAATTATAACCCGCTCGTGATAAAAGTGTAGACCCCAATCTCGCGATTGAATTAAAATCTCGCCCAACTCGCTTTGCCCAGTGTTTTCGCGATCTGCTCTTTGTTACAACCCTGAGACCCCCCGGATTGCGAGAACAAACGTTCATCATGGCTGAGCATAACCAGATCAATAACCAGGACAGCGAAGGTCAGTTCCCTCAATTCTCCGAGTCTTCGAATGACCATCTCTAAGTTAAACCTAGGTCTCACTCCTCTCGCAGCACCTCCGTACTCGGGCAGCATCCAGCCAGCTCCCTCCGAAGCTACAAGTGCTCACTCTGAGAAGCCTCCGCTTCACGGCGACTATAATGCAGCCCCTCCCGTCCACACCAGCGAATCTACCAGGGCATACCAGGGACAGCCGCACCCCGATCAGATCAATGGACCCGGTGTTGGCCAGTATCCGGTGAACTCGCCGTCGGATGTCAAGGCGTACCCTGGTCAGCCAACTCCCCAGATTCAACAACAGCAGGGCGCGTACAATACATCGCATGGCCAGCAGACTGGCTATGCCACGGCTACACCTTTGCATGCGCTTCTATCAGTACCGTGTCCGGTGGATTGTCCATGCTGCGGAAAACGCGAAATGACGCGAATTGAGGCGGTTAGTGGAACGAAGACACAGTGAGTTGAAGCCCTGATTCTAATACAAAACCGATCGACTGGTCGATTACGCAGGTCGATCAAATGTGATATACGATACTAACGTCTTAATAGTGGGTGGGCTGCTTTACTCTGTTGCTGCTGCTGTCTAGGATGCATTCCTTACTTGATGTCCTCGCTTAAGGATATCAATCACTACTGCGGCCAGTGTAGTGCTAAACTAGCGACTTGGCACGACAGTGGGCGTGTCGAGGTACTGCAGACCGGACAAAGGAAATAATTGCGTCGTTAGGTGTTGGGGTTGGGGTTGTTTGCTTCGCCTGCCTTTGCCTTTCTGCTACGGTGCTTTGAAGTGATACCACTTGGTTTTATGATCACGGTGTAATCTTTCTGCTCGGAGTGGGTTGTGCCTATGCCTAATTCAAACTTTTTTTACATGGTCATACTTGCACTATGAAGTGTCCGTGAAGCAAAGCAACGCCCCTTTTTCCTGAATTTCTTATCCCGGCCCTTCATTTTCAGTATTTCAGGGCCGCAGCGTGCGCAGCGCGCGTCACAGTATCATTGCTGTAGCCTGCATATTGCTTTGGGAGTTGGACCCCAGCTCACGTGGTTTATATAGACCCGTATCCGCCAGGCAACAGGAAGATCAGCTGCTGCAACTACAACAGCTGGATCTTGTCATATAAATCAAATCACACTTGTACCTCAATCCAGGGTTTAACCTTGCGAGGGGTCGCGGGTAAATTAAATCCACCACTACTACTACTACTACTACTACTACTGCCTGTAATACCGTTATGTCCTATGGAATCATGTAGGATCGCTTGGTAGTTCTAATAATTTAGCAAAGATCGCTCGCCTGCTTCCCCCCCTTTCCCTTAACTGTCACATTTTGCTCTTTCATCTTACACCTACTATCCATAATACAGAAGGCTGTGCCAATACGGTAGAGAGTAAAACTTGGTATCCCAAGATGATATTGTTTTCTATGGCTTCTGCCAATTTTGATTACTTACAGGGATAACTTAGAGCCCTTATTGTCAATGATGTCAACAGAACACATCACAACTCGAAATGCTCCAACCAGCCCCCTGGCTCCTGTGGCGGGCGGCCATCCAATAACATCTTGCCAACTCAACCCCTTCCTAATCAGAGCACAAAAAGACCGGCAATGACTGCGGCACCGCCCAGCACTATTTCTTGAGCGGTGGCAATCGGCATGGCCGCATTGGAGGTGGCAGCTGCAGAACCCGAGCTTGTCGAGCTTGTAGAAGTCGCCATGTTGGTAGCAGGAGTTGTGGTAGCACCTGCTTGATACTTCGATGATGCCGAAGAGACTTGTTGCGAATAATCGCTCGCGGTCATGGGAATCTTTGTGAAGCATGAAACACTACTGCTGCTTTCCGTAGCAAAGATGTCAGCCATTTTGCCCATTTTGCCGCCAACACAGCAATATTTGCCGTCGGCCGAATCTTGCTCAACGCCGAAGCAGCATGGGTCGTTTTTGCCACTCTCCCAGCCCTGTGGGCAGGTTGCCGTTGTAGTGGCCGCGAGGGATAGGGCTATAAGCAGAAGACTCTTGAAAGATGGCATTGCCAGTTTCAAGTGGACCAGGTAAGAGTAATTATGAATGATTGATTGAGCGCGTTCAGAGACTCTGAATATGGATTGTGCTTACCTTTTATAGACGGTATGGATGCTAAGGAGCTTGCTGGGGCTGAAAAGCCCAGCGCACGGAGCTGCGAAAACTTTGATAACTTCCTTCTTGATTGGTGTAAACTCCGAATGCTTAGCGAAGAACTAAAGACGAGGCTTGCATATACGACCTATTCGGGCCTGGGGCTGGGGCTCGGGCCTGGGGGCCTGAAAGGAGAATTGTGTTTACCAGATATTATTACTATTGATCTCCACCCGTCTTAATATCTTTGTACTTCCTAATACTCGCGACCCCCAATTCTAGCAGCAATGTTTTTCTCTACCTTGCTTAAGCAAAGACATTCTGGGATGAATTCTAGTTACGTCTTTATTAGAACTTTCTACTATATTTCCTGCTTAGTGTGCCCAGGCCGCTACCGTTTGGAGCCGCTTCTCTTATTTGAAACCCTGTACCAGTACCGCTTAGTATGTCCAACCCGTTCGGTGAACTTTACGACAAACAAGTAGGTTCCAAGCCCCCTATGTAATGGCAAATTCGGATCACTCGATGCTGACCCTATGATGCCTGCCTACTACCCTGCCATGCTACAGTGGCACCGCAAAAGTCTGTGACCACCCCTATTGACCGCCTTCTTAAGATATAAAGACTAGGTCTCGCCAAAAGTAGAAGTGATTGATTACACTATACTACTTCAGGTGATACTTGTCAAGCATAGGAAGGTGGAGACAAAAGCGGTCAACAAGGGGTCACAGACTTTTGCGGTGCCACTGTAGTGCGGCTGATTCTAGTACCGCCCTGCGAGGATTTAAGTAAGTTTGAGTTGTTACAATACGGGGGCTTAAATACAGTTACGAGACGAGGCACCGTATTTAACTAAAGTATATCACGGTATCGAGACTGGTACAGGAATATTGAGATTCCGGTTCTACTCCTAATGTAGTCTATTTTATCTTGGCGGTGGGGCTAGAGAATTACTCAAAGAGTGTAGGCGGTTGCACCAGTTTCGGGACGTACTGTATGTCCAACCTTTAGAGATTGGATCAATTTCTACCGTTAGACGGCAACCGTAGAATCTAGGTATGTTAGCCCTGGAAGTGCCTGTATTTGAATGTCGTAGTATGGTTGTCGCATTGGAATATACTATATATTCTATATAACAAACTACCTCAGTCACTTTAGGTGGCATGCTGGGATGCCTTAAGCTGAAGGCTGACACACACTGGCACCCTCCAGGTGTCATTCGAGAACGAGAGCGTCGTACATCATCACAGGTATCGGGATTTATTCTTGGTCGTTGAAAATTCGCCAACGCGGGTAGGGTGGATCACTGTAGGCTCGGGAATAAATGTTGGAAGAGAGTACTTGCAATTGCTTGTTCGGACGGAATTGCAAGTAAACCGGGATCGGATCTGTGGACTTCTTCACCAATCACTCAAAGAAGTGTCGGATCAATGGAGGTTGACAAGCACGCGCGTTCAATGAAATCCTGTCCACGGCCATCAATCACGCTCGCACAGGGAGTCGATGGGGTCCGAGCAGACTGCCACTAAACGGGGTTTCGGCTACGATCGACATGTTTCTGGGCGTGGACGGCAGACCCATACACTATTTGAAATTTCCCGACGAAAGTCTACCTTCCAAGTTAAGAATCTCTAAAGCTCCACCAATGAGATATGTAGCAACGGGTAACATGGCGATTCGCTAGTTAGCAAGCGCAGAAATGATCTTCACACCTTCCCTTTCCCCGCTTGCGGGGAAATCCCCGGTGGAACCGAGCTCGGGGTTCTGACGAGCAATTCTAGTACACTACGTTGCCGACGGCCGTAATCGGTTGGAGTCCTCCTCCACCGGAACTTGAGGATGACATTCATACAAAATGTAGGCGCTATCGGGTACCGGGATAAATAGCTATGCTTGTACGACCCGTTCCTGAGCATGAACCCTTTCTACAGTGTACCCCATATCTTTCATTCACAATGCTTGGCCACATTATAGTCAATCGTTACAATCTCTGGGCTGTGGTATTTTCTGCTATCGGCACTATCTCTACAGCCTATGGCCTGGCCATCATCGGGTCCACTGTCGGCCAACCCAGCTTTTACACATATCTCAAGCTTGCACCACAAGGTACAACCGGTTATAGCCATACCACCAGAATCATTGCTTCTTTGAATGGAGTGAATTCAGCTGGAGCAATTATAGGCTGTTTATACCATATTTGGAGTTCAGAAAGCCTCGGTCGCAAGAAGACCATGATAGTAGGTTGTATCGTCTTGACTATCGGCGGTGCGATCTGCGCGGGAGCAGTTGACGTCGCAATGTTTCTAGTTGGTCGCGGTATCGCTGGAATTGTAAGACTATCCCGCCTTCCTCGAAAATAGAAGAATAAAAGCTAAAATAGGAACGTGGAATAAGGGGTCTGGTATTCTCGCCTGTGTTGGTATGTATATCAAACTCCCCTCGAACTAGCCGCCCTGAAAAGCGTCCTGACTGAAACTTTCGTTTTTAGTTCCCATGTACCAAGCGGAAATATCCACACCAGAAACCCGTGGTGCTATGGTATCTGCTACTGGCGTAAGTCTATTTTAATTATGTAGTACTCGCTATCGAGCACTACTTAAAATATGCAGATTGAATACGCTCTAGGCTACTCTTTTGCTGGTTGGCTTGGGTATGCCTGCTCATTCATGTCAGATACGAGCCAATACGCCCAATTCGCCTGGCGCTTTCCGCTGGCTTTCCAGTGTGTATTCCCAGTTATTTTTCTGTGTGGTCAGAATTTCATACCACTTTCTCCTCGATGGCTTCTTTCTCAATGCAGAGAGAAAGAGGCCTTCCAGATTATGTGCAAACTGCACCAATCCAGCGGTGACCTGAATAATGTTCGCGCTCGTGAGGAGTTCTTTCTCACTAAGAAACAATACGAAATTGACAGTAATCTACCGAATCGACGGCATGACCTGTTCCGAACTGCCCCCAACCGCAAACGTACCCTTATCGGAGCAATGTTAATGTTCGGAAATCAATTTCTCGGGGTCTATGTGATCTCAAACTACGGCGTTCTTATCTATGCCCAGCTCGGGCAAGGTGATTCAATTTCACTGCTACTGAATGCATGCTGGACAACACTCACTCTGTAAGCTTATCGCGGAGCTTCTTCGTTGAAATTACCTTCTGACCTTTCTGTTCCATAGGTTTGGGAATACTTGGACAGCCTTTTATGTCGACAGGTACGGCCGTCGCACATTACTATTGATTGGCGCGATCGGAACGTTCTGTACTTGCATTTGCCTCTGTGTATTGAGCGCACTTTATTTGGATACGACGAATAAGGCTGGTCTAAAAGCTACTGTCTTTTTTTGTTTCCTGTATATCTTCTGGTGGTGTTTCTTCATAGATGCTACACAATACGTGTATGTGCTTTCCTAACTCCTTTCCATTCTCTCCGGAAGGCTATGTGAAACTAACAAGGAGACCAGGTATATTTCGGAAATATTCCCGAGTCATTTACGCTCCGCGGGTGTTGCTTTCAGTCTTGCTTCCTTCTATTTGGCATCAGAGGTGACTCTATCGGTCGCACCCATTGCTATGGACAGCATCGGATGGAAGTTCTATCTGGTACTCATTTGCCCGAGCTCCCTTTTTATCATCCTTCTGTTTATCTATCTGCCCGAAACCAAGGGACGAACTTTAGAGGAGATTGGAACTCTTTTCGGCGACAAAAATATTGCGAATCAATGGTATGGACTAACTGAGGAGGAGAAGAATGTTATTTACGACCAGGCGGTCTTGGAGGATAAGAGCGATGCCGCGACTGCGGGGCATACAGAAAATATTGAGGACATCGGTATGGAAGAGTTGGGCTAGATCTGGGGACAGGTGCGGTACAGTAGCAGAAGCATAACATATCTCAATTCAAGGAGACTTCTATTAGCTAGAAGTAATATCGAAAGTGTTTGAAACCCCTTTTAATCATCCATCTAGATCTCCGTGTATTTTCAACATCTGAATTTCGGCTTACTAGAAAAACTAATAGTGGCCCTTCGGCCGAGGAAGACCCACCTGAGCTTCTCGCGCGCCAATATAACAAAACCCTTGGCCTAGACTCAATTTCTAGTGGGAGGTCCATGAAATTTTCAGCCGAAGATTATGAGTGATCAATGCAGTTTGCTGCAATTCCCAAGCACATTGGACGCTTTGTACGTCACCCCGAATAGGTCAAATGGTTCAGACCCTTTTTGCTGGTCATCAATTCATCATTAGATCAATATCTAGGGGCTTTTGTTGGGTCCAAGCAAGCGCACGCAACTTTCAGTAGCCGAGAGAGCAGATATTGTTGCTATAGTATATACGTTCACCCGTCCACTGCACCATTCGAGTTGTGGGGACATTTCCATCAGGAGGTAAGCTATCTGCATATTTTCTCACGTTCCGCGGCGCCTTAAAGCAATCCGCTAACTGTTCAGGTGGAACTAGCCTACAGATTTACGTTCAAGTGGTCGCTCAATAAATACCTAAGATGCAATGTGACGCTGATGAGCCCACTTCTTTCTCTCTCCCCGACAGCTGCTCTTTACATTACCAGAAGGGCGATAACTGGTCGGGCATAAATGATCCCCGAACGCGGAGATGGCTACAGAATCGATTGAACCAGAGAGCCTGTCGTATGTAAAATTCATCTCTTATTAATAAGTCCTATATGAAGTATATGTCTAACTGGAAAACAGACAACGGAAAGTATGGCCGAACTGGTCAAGTCCCCGAAAGTGAATCGGTTCCGCTACCGAACAACCGGAAGCAAAATGGACATCCTAGAAGGTGGCTTTCCTTTAATGATACGGAGTTTCTGCTAGCGGAAATCAATGAAGCCTCTTTGGAGAGCTTCGTGCGAGACTCCTCAACTGAGAGGCACTTAATAATACTTGGCAAGTTATATGTGTATCGCGCATTTCTCAAAAACCTTTCAATCCTTGGGATAATCCCACACCGTGATTGGACGTCAGAAAGCACACTCTCACCATTCAATACCTACACACCAGAGCAGATCAAGGAAAAGGATCTGCCGGAGGGCTCTAAGGCCTACGAAAATACAGTGCGAAACTCCTCACAAACCCCCCCCCCCCCTGGCTGGATTTCTTCCCGTTTCCCAGAATGCGGGACAACTTGATTTCTGCCGGTGATAAGCTGGACAATGCTCAATTCTGCGCTGACGTCATCGAATTCTGGGATGTGTCTACAGAGAGCTGTAGTTTTCTGGTGTGGGGGGATCCATCGGACCCCAGGAGTTGGGAAATTACGGAGGCATTTTTGGAAAGGTGGCCATGGGTGGTGCGTGGGCTTCCCGAGTTAATTGACTCAACTAATTATTGGCGGGCGAAACGAGGACCGAATAGTATTTTCAGGTTTCTTTAAATTGTTGGCGAGCCTAGACGTTCTCAAGTTGCTCTATAACTGCATAATTTGTGGATAAGCTATGGTTGTTCAACCCCGCACGGGCGTTGTTCAAGGCTGTGTGGGGTCTGTTCAAATTAATGTACCAAATAGACACATAAATAGCAATACCAGGCAGCAGCCAATAATGAAGAAAAATGTGTCTTCGGCCGATACGCAGTGGGCCCCTATTAGCAGATGAATATCCAGAAAATAAGAAAGTACTTGAATGCCAATACTAGCAATGGTTAGATTTCAGCGGACGGGTGGTTTCTCCATCTGTTGACAATCACGATAAAGCTCTAGGCAAACCAGGCCTCGAGCCTATAATGTAGCCTTCATGAGAGCCCTTCAAGCCACATCTTTCATCAAAGAGAGCTGCAACCTTATAAATTTGATCTTTAAATACGCCGTCCTCTAATATGACTTATCTGTAGGATGAAACAGGAGGAGCCTTGGGTGGAACTCAAGGTAAATATTTGCCTGCTATGTGAAGATGTTCTTAAAATGCTCACATCCAAGTTCATAGCGGAATATTTGTGGGTCCCGTTTGCAGATGACGGACTCATTCCTATACCTTCTTTCAATTATACCGACCCCGCCACCAACGAAACAACTTCCCTGCTCAACGATTATGTCATGTTGTCAGATATTTTTGCAACGGGTGGGACGGCTCTTGACTTCGCCGGGTTGAAACTAGGCGATACAGTGGCGATGTTTGGTGCTGGACCTGTTAGGCTGATGGCTGCATATTCGGCAGCTCTGCGTGGCGCATCCCGCGTCTACAGCGTTGATTGCGTCCCGGAACGTTTACGACTCGCCAAATTGATTGGTGCGATACCTATTAACTACGAAGACACAGATCCAGTCGATCAAATTATGGCACTAGAGCCCAGCGGCATTTCTCGAAGCCTCGACTGTGGCGGATTTGAATAGGTCAATCGAAGCCTGACCGTGTAGTCAGACGTTATAATTCGCAACATGCTGGCCGTCACCTCAACCAATGGTGACATGGGAACAGATAGCGTTTATACCCATGAGCACGGCAACACTGCAAGTCAGCCTCGTGCTTCAACTATCCATGCCCATTTTAATCTTTCCCTCGCGGATTTCTGGGGAAGATAATTCCACTGGGGAGCTGGTATTCCTAGACCCTTGGATCTCGCACCTCATCTTCTACATCTGGTTGCATCTGGGAAAGCTAGGCCTAGGTTCATCGTCCGCGATGTCATCAATATCGAAGATGCACCAGATGCGTACGCTAGATTCAACAACCACAACGCTACAAAGATTGTGATCAATTTTGACAGTAATTCTTGGTAACTGATACAATCGTCAAGAATCCATGATATCATTTACTTCGTTCATATTCAAAAATTTGAAAGTAGTCTCCTTGTTAGATGTGCCAAATTCCTAGAAACTCCGTCAATACCAGTACTTGTTTTCGGTCCAGTGAACACAACTGTGAGCTAAATTGGTTTTTACTAAGAATGATGATCGTCTCTTTCGGTAACGTCAATTGAGAAAACTTTTCAGTGATTCACGTAGTGTCGCCCGGAATTTAAAGCATAATTAGGATCTTCCGAGGTCATTTATCGAGCCACTCAAGGTACTATGTTCACGGGTAATTTTGGAACCTTGCCGGGAAATATGATAAAGTATAGTTGCTTCTTGTTTGATTCAATTCCACGCCGATGCGATATCGCAAAATTACGATATCGTATGCAGCCCTGAAAATCGGCAAAAAAACATACAACAGCAGTTGTATGTCCGTGATCACCCATTTCTTTTTGATTCCTCGGGTTTAGTGCCCTTGCCGCTTTACTTTCAGTCCCTTTAGCCCCGCACTTGAACACCCTGAACCCGACAAAGGGCGATGTCAAGATGCGTATCACGTGATAAGCCACGTGAACAACACTTAATCCTCCGTGTTGAAGTTCAGAGGTATAATAGTTATTATCTATTGGGAGGGAGACATGAGGCTGTATATAAAACGAAGACCAAGTTGATTTCCAATCAACTTTATTCTTTGTATACAAACTCGGGATTAATTTCGATGGTTCGGCTTGATTCCTGATCTGAACCAGCCTCATATCACAACATTCCTCCTCAGAATCGCTTTGCTGGCAAGGCAATTCTGGAATTGCGCAGAGCAGTCAGGCCTCGATAAAACCACTGAAAAGCCTTCTTGGGAAACGAGAGTGGAAAGAGCGCCTGCGCTGTCACGCGTTTTGTCTCGAAATCTCTGGAGCATCGACTCCTAAGAGACTACAAAACTTGGCAAAGGCCATAGGTCCCAATAGCTTGGTAAGACTGTCCACGGCCTGTTCCCCAGTCGGAATATATTGAACCTTAATATCGCCTGCATCCAGCACGGCTCGCTGAACTTCGCGGGCCATCTCAACAATCTCTTGAGTGGCTATATCAACGTTCGCTGGAACCACCGTCAAAATTATGGAGCGGGAATTTCCATATATGCTTGCACCATGTCATGCACCATGGTTTTTCCAGGTATTGTGTTGCTGAATAACCTAGGAACATTTAATCACGCTAAGATGATCTTCTTGCGGGCCACAAATCTCGGCTTTTAATACATGTCTAGAGAAAGTAGGCAATCCGGCATTTACCAACTGAGGAAGTCCCATCAAGATATGTACCTGAGGTTGTATATCAGAATAGTCTCTCTCAAGGACTTTTCCAAAAGACATACCTCAGCCATCATCGCAGAAAAGGATTGGAGATCGAGATCCTGCAAGTCTTTTCCTTTCCAACTTTGCAATTTTGCTACATGTGCGTCTTCGGTACCACGGTCTGAAATAATTGAAGCCATAATTATCCTCTCACCAATACTTACGCTGCGGAATCTGTAATATAGTATATGACCCAACGCTACACGTTCCATCTTTTTCTTTCAATTTTACGAGCAGAAAGAATCCGAGGGCCTTCTTGGAAGTTCAGTGCCTTTGTTTGATTGTATTGCTTTCTATTTTCATTTCTTTTGCTTTTCCCATCAAAGGGTCTTATACTATTTACCCCAGCTCATCAATTACGATAATGTTTCGGAATGGGGACTTTCAAAACAATGAACAGTCATGGAGAATTAGGTAGTCATAGAGGGGTCTGGGAATAGCACAACTTTCGAAGCCTCTCTCGTGTTCAAATGAAAGGAGGGTAATTACAGGCATTCTTTTGTAGAAAATGACAAAAATAATCACGACGTCATAGATTTACACCCTTGATCAAGTCTCACAATCACTGGCTCATTCGGAAAGTCCCTGAATAGAATGGTGTGACCTTTTATGTCTATCAAAGCCCCTCTGTATGGGGATGGCATTGCCAAAATGTCTTGACCATTCTCTTGGATCCACGATTCGGAAGCAAATAGCTGCGGGGATGGTGGAGGTGATTCACCAGGCATCATGACAGTACCTCGGTCTGTGGTAAAGTGCGTGCCAGATGGAGAAAATTGAAGACTGAAATTCCAGAAGTCAAGCTTAATACTATGCAAAAGCGCGGTACTGTACACACTGTATACCTCAATGGTACTGCTGTCAGAGCCAAACGAAAGTGCCAAAAGTCTTCCATCCTGAGATGTGTCTGCCGCCATCACGTCGCGTTCAGGGCCAAATTCCTTGAGGTCGTCCTGTTGAATATCCCAAATGTAATTGTTGCTTTTAGTGCTCTGAGATTCAGAGACTGCTGTGAGAATATAGACCTGCTTGTTGTCTGGGGTAAACTTCACCAATTTGACACCCCTTGTTAAGGTCCTTCGTTGGAGTTGACTGTTTGTAAAAGATCTGATTTCGATGACAGTTGACGCTTCAGACCATATACCGTAGGACTCCTCATTTGGTGACAGCGCAATCTGAGGCCTTTCACAGAAAGTGAAACGTATTTCAGAGCTGGAAACTCTGCGTAGATTATCGATTTCCCAAATATGACATTTGCAGAAAGGTTGAGATTGAGCGGATGTATCATGCGCGACATAAATGACCTTTTTGCCGTTGGGAGATATTTGAAAATGTCCATACCCAAATGTTCGCTGATCATTCTTTTTAAGTATGTCTCCTTTTCTGCCGGTTTCTGTGTCCCAAAAATGAATTCCTGTCTCAGCCAGCATGGCGAAGACGTTGCTAGCTGGAGAAAACACTGAATCGCCAAGACTCCTGCGTGTCTTTAGTCTAAATCTCTCTTTTCCGGTGGCCGTATCCCAAAGTGTAGTGATGGTCCAATCTTTAGCAAAGGTAGCTAGCAGGTTTCCATCGGGAGATCTCAGAAAGAGCGCGGTATCAGATTCGTTTGCATCAGTATCAGAGGCCAACCTAATTAGTCCCCCCCAAGTTGGTACCAATGTTCCGAATGCTCCGATACATCTCCGCCAATCGAGATGATCCCGATCCAATATCTTCAATATTCCAGATTCTCAATTGATTATCCTCGTCGGACTCCATTATGAATCTGCCATTTGGCGAAAACACAATTCTTCTGAATATGGACCCACGGCTCTTCAACAACAACGGCTGTCTGTATTCGTCAGGCGTCCACACAAAAATCCCTTTCCACGTGTATGATGCAAATAAAAGCTTGCCATCTTCAGGGCGAAGCATTGCGATGACTGGAAAATCAGGGCCACGTGGAAGGCTTTTGTGAACTGAGCCAGTACGGGCATCACAAAGAACTAGACGCGCTTTGCTCTTCGAGAATGGAGGCGAGATCATAATATAACTTGTCCCTGACACAAAGCCCACCGGGCGCTCTTTTCGGAATTCTAGCTTTACCTGAAAGCTTAATTCCAGTAGATGTGTCCCAAATATCGATATTCTGATCGTCACCAATCCCGGGACTGATTGAAATAGAAATTAACAAGGATCCATCTGATGAAAAATGTAATCCAGCAATTTTTCTTGCAGGTTCACCTTGGAGGTGGAACTTGACAGACCCTTCAAATTTCATATCCCAAACCCAGATGTCATGAGGGGATGATGAATCGGCTGCAAATGTAGTTCCATCTGGGGGTGGTACGGCTGCAAAGAGAGTACCATCTGGGGAATAGGCACATGTCGGGTAGTCATTCCATCTGTTATCAAAGCCGGAACTCTCGAGGTTTAATTGAAAGTCCGGCCGGGGTATTCGACCGAGGACAGCTCGAACGTTCCACATCGAGACAGTATTGTCTACGAGACACGCAACCATACACCCGTCTGGTGAGAATGATACACTTGCCTTTCCTCGAGCATTTCCCGCAAGTGCCAACTGCTCCGTTCCTTTCATTGCATCCCATATGTGTACCATGCAGTCACTGCAGGCTGTAGCAATCAAACTGCTGTCAGAAGAAACAGCAAGTGAGTAAATCCAAGACGAATGAGGAATTGACACTCTTTGGGATGAATCACTCCATTTATTTGGCGTGGAAGGTTCATTTAAAATCCACTTTGGAACCTCTTTGTAGTTCTTTATTCTTATTTCGCTATGCCTTGGACTGAATACCAAGGCTGAAACATAAAGTTGCAAAGGTGCCTCCTCTATAGTCAATCTATTGCTCAAAAGAAATCTTAATGCGTCTGGCAAGAACAGTTGGAGAAGTGATTCTGTCTTCCGTTTTTGACGCTTGACTCTCGAGGTAGATGATTTTCCCGGTGGCAGCTTGGTTGTCTATCAATCGTTAGCTCCAAATCTAAAGTATCTTTCAGAAATGGCTCACAAAAATAGTGTTCAGCTTCAACATCGCCTCGACTGCCTGCCCGAGCTGCGCAATCCATGCGAGACATTCAAGCCAGTAAAGATACTTGTCTTGCAGAAACTCCAGTAGGGGAACATTATTACGCCACTTGTCACTGCTCTTTTGGAAGTGATTCCACCAGTATCTTGAGGAATATTGAAGTGGTATTGAAATGTATCTGTTAATTGTCTCTATTTCCGCATCCCGAGCCTTTGCGCCTGGCTGCGTAATACGGAGGGGATTTCTCTGCAGTTGAGACATCAAAAGGTCAAAGCAACGCGTCAGAATATAGCCGTGGGTATCGTCTGCCAGAATGGAGTAGGAGTTGTTGGTGCAACGCTTGGCATCCAACAAATATTCGCGGAAGGACGGGTGAAGGATTCGTATCAATTCATTGTTGTTTTCTTCCACGTTGATGACCGAATTCAGAACACTCAAAATTGTGTCTATCCTCTCCCTCTTCTCTCCAAGAAGCAGTGCCAGGCTCTCTGAGTTCATAGCATCAGATATCGTAATTATTGCTCCAACGATACGCTGAAAGAGTTGGTGGATCTTTTCAGCCTCCTCTGGGCAGAGGCCGTCTGAAGCAGAGACAAAAGAGTATTCAAGGACCGTTGTATACATTTTATCAAGTTCCTTTTCTGCATTGTCGGCTTTCTCCGATTTGGCTAGAAGATTCAGCCGTTCGACTGCAAGGAATCCCCCGTTCTGCACAAATCGACACACGGTGGCTGCATGAATGAAAAGGCCATGTGACCGCTCAACTAGATTTGCTATCAAGCTTTCGGAAAAGATATCGTTTTCAGAGGACATGATCATCCTAATGCGGGAGAGCTGGTCTCTATAATAGAGGTTGAGATCTTGATCGACGATCGACTTCTCAATATCGTGTAGCACAAAGCTCTCCCTGGATCCAGATACACAATTACCCAGCCCGGCCTTGATAGGTTGATCAGGTCTGCTGGTAAGAAAAACTCGGCAATTCGCACCCCCGATCTGTGTCACCCTTTCAAGACACCGAATTAGGACGTTGACATCCTCCGCATTATTGCATTCGTCTAATGCATCAATCACAAAAAGGAGACTTATTGAACCTGTAGGAGTACACTGATAAAACACGGATAATGGTTGGATGATCAGCTTATCCCACTGTTCTTGAACACTCAAGCTGTCAAGGCGAGGGTTGTCTTCAAGAACATTCTCAATAAGCTTTCGCAGCTGCAGAGAAACTTCAGCGAGTTGAATGGCAACTGTTGCGGCGAATCTGCTAGCAGAAGCAAGATCACCGCCACCTCTCGAGAAGCAAAAGGTTGCTCCCAGGCAAACATTTTTCTCGGGGCGAACGTTTTTCCCAGTCATGCCCTTGTATGTCCGTGCAAGCGTCATGGCGATGGTCGATTTTCCAGTACCAGCCATGCCGTTGAGCCAATAGAGCTTCTTGGGGTTACCACCATCAATCCATTCTTGTATCTCTTTCAGCACCTCGACCCGGGTGCCTGGGAGACAACTCGGTACATGTTCTTTGTTTGCCGCATCACACGTTGCTCCGTAGGCCACTTTCAGGAAAGGGGTTTTTCTGGGTCTCTCTGTAAATTCGACAACAATGAGTACATGGACATAATTTTCCCGGTCAAAGGGAGGACACTCACGATTTATGTTGATCGTGCCCGTATTCACCCCCGCCTGGAATGTGATTCCGTCACCACTGGCACGCGCTTCACCAAATCGGTTCTCGACTCTTGACGGTATCTCCATTTCGTATTCGATGAAGTCAAAATTAAATCTTGTGTCGTTTGTCAAGGATGAACAGGACTGTGACAAGTCCTTATCACTCCGAAGAAGACGTTTGGAGGATATAATCTAGCGTGGGGCATTTTTGGCCCCAATTCGTTTTGGCGCTGTGGCTGAGACGTGCATGGGCGCGTATTCATCCTGCGGATGACGTGTTTTATAAACTTATGGCTTGTTATGACACCATACTAGAAGGAAATTGGGTGAAAGATGAATAAGCCTGTCCCGAAGGGTCCTAGTGATATTTGACCACTTCTTCAGGTTGTCATATCTTTCAAAGATAAATATATTGTATTCATTTTCTATCACACTAGAAGGATTTGAACCCCCGCACTGACAGTGAAAATGTTATGTCTTGACCAGACTTGACCATTGGGTCTTTCATTATAATAATTATCAATAGCATTTATATAGCCTAATACAAGTATCGCATTCGCTTCTAACGATTACAAAACAGTTGCATTACTATCACCAGAGTCACGATTTTCAAAGCGCCCACTTGATTCACTGTTATTAACTTGGGCAGGCATAATGTTATAAGACATGATACCTTTTCTAGGTAGCCTATTCGTCCGATCTGCGGGCTCTTATAGTGGGTCCTTTTCAAAAAGCGCAGTTGTGCATAAGAAACTAAGGAAATTACAGTTGAAATGTAACTTTTGGATAATAATATATTTACCAGCTTGAATGTCGACATGCAGCTGGCCGAAGCGATTTGCGGGTGAACCAAAGTTATAGGTAAAGATGGTTGAAGCGAATGCATCCATGCCTGGATCCAACTGAAGATGCTTGCTTCTTTATCCTGGAGCTGGCGTTTCAACTGGTCGATGTGACCATCTACCATCTCTAAATCGATATCAAAACGACATGATTCTGGATTCAGATACAGCATCCCCCACTTGGTTCTCCCATCTGGCAATTTCGGATTGATGGTGGTCATGGGCTGATCTTCAGCTGTGATATGGGCACCACCAGCCTTGTCACCGATTGGGAGACCCATGGTCCTGCTGAACTTTTGAACTGCCCTCCATGCCGTGACACAAATATCCTGGCTTCGCGACCAGAACCACATATCGTCATTTAAAATGAGTGGGCTGAAGAGTGAGTTCCCGTTTGTCCCGTTACATGAGTACTTGATTCCGCTAAAACCTTCCTCGGCCGCTGAGACCGCTTTTCGATGGTATAATGCTCATTTCTTTTTGCAAAGCGGGTTTTGTCTCAAAAGCTTGACTGAGTCCCATGCCTGTTCGTCTACCTTTCAAGAATTATAGTGACGGCCATAATTAATCCGGTCCTATTGAAGGAAGAGAACTAGACCTAAAAGGCGATCATATTAAGTAACTTGCTCAACAGATACCGTGATCCACTTATCAGCAACTTTATGAGATCTAACGCCCGGATCACCATACCCTTAGAATTAATTTGAAAACATCGTGAACAGAGGCTATCTCTAGAGCAATGGAAGATTTAGATCGGACAGCTTGGCAGAGGTATTGCAGGCCAATCACTCTTAATTTTGCCGTCCGGCTGAAGTAGCCCGCACAGCAGTCGCGCGAGCGAGGGTGATAATTCTCACCCAGGCTCACAATCTCTCGGCAAGCACTCACCCTTTTCACCTCAGGTCGGCGACAGAAAAGCGGCGATCAACTGTTTCCCCACTAGGCTAGGCCGATCGACTGGCGAGCCTGGCCATTTGGCGTATGACTTCACCCTATGGTCGTATGTACTAGATACTCCCAGAAAGGGTTCATGTAACTAGTGATAGAAAATTGTCCATTTGCTCCACAGAACTTTGGTTTGCTGCCCCTGCTACACTAGGATACGATACATTGCATTTTATTGCCGTGTCACTCGTTATACAATACCCCTTCAAAGTGTAAGAACATACCAGTTAAAGAGTAAACGTGCCATGAGCTATGCAACCCCAGAAGTAGAATAATATATTGCTATGAATTATGTAAAGCCTTGATTTTGATTTGCCGGTGCATTTGGTTGCAATTCGTATCCCACGTAGACTTCGTCGGTGCGCCTGATTTGCAGGTCTTCCTGGTCACCCAGGATATTTTCCTCGCTAATGTTCTTGAATTGTGAAGCTTGTCGGTTGCTCCTCTCGACAGCGGGCTTGGCATATACCCTTCCCTGGCTAAATGAGTTGGACTGGTATTTTTGATCACTCAATGTTGTCAATTTCAATTTGACGAGGATGAAGTCGATAACTGGTTTCAGGGTCGGCATGCACGCAGCAATGACGACGATATTGGCCTCCACACTACAATTCCAGGTTAAGACGGATTAGAAGGGCCTTGGGGAGATGATCTCGTACCTTGTCCAAATAACTAGGGGAACAGTAGAGTCTATATTTGATTAATTCGAGCAACTAAAGTCAAGCCTTGGAGGTGTATAAACTCACAGGTCAGATCAGTTTGGTCTCGGAGACCCCCAATCTGGGCACACTTAACCATAGCTATAGCAGATGCTCTAATGTCTTTGTTAGCACTCGTGACTCGGATGGAATGAAAATGAAGGAGTAGGAAGATCCATTGAATCTCCAACTACGTACATCGTCCCAAGGCCCAGGGCAGCACTCAATGCGATCTTTTTGCGCAGAGACATTTGAAGGTGGAATAAAATGAAGGCGGGATAGGTAGCGAGGTATAGGTCGACGAATGCAGAAAAAGCTATCTCAAAACTAGCATTAGCAAAATATGCGAGCCGGTTGGCCAAGGTCCACTGACCTCCATTGAATGTTGCAAACCCAATCAAGACGTCGACAGGTCTACATTTCGCCACTCCTTCTAGAACCAAGGTTGACTTCCAAAGCCCTTGCGGTGGACTGCACATCGTCACATAGATCAAAATATTGATTATGGCAATGACAGTAATCATGGAAACGAGTGTCCACAGAATGATGCGATGGATCCGTATTGGGTTGAGGATTCGATGAAGTAGGGCTGCAACGGCGAGTTTCGGAAGGGCAAAAGAGACGATGCCGAAGATGAAGGAGATCATGTTCCATAGAAGAGCTTGCTCGGCAGCATGTGTCGAAAGACTAGCCGTGTGCTGGCCGAATCCCTTCACCACCGATACTGCCGCAGTGGCTGAGAAAAGAAGGCCGAATATCTATGATACCAATTTTTTCGCTGTCAGTTTTTTTCAAGATGAGGAAACCAGTAAATCATCTGGGAAAAGACAGTATAGGGAAATCCGTGTAGCTCACCATGGAGAAGGTAATCAACCAGTCGTCTAGTCCAAAGCTACGAAGTATTCGCTGCCGAACGCATAGACGAGTGACAACCAACACCAGAGCCAGTGCAGTCATCGACCACATCACGGCCAATATTGTGGGGCCCTTGTCCTCCATGGATACGGTTTCTGGAGTCGAACTTAGGGCAGAACTGGGAGGTCGAAGGTGGTCTGGCAATCGGCAACGGAAGACATAACGTGTGGATGTGGAATAGTTGAATGAACTAAAGTTTGATAATGCTCTGGTGAAATTAGATGAAAATCCTTGAGTATTTTGGCCCCCATTACAACATCGAATAATCTGGCCTCAGGGTGGTATCGGCCTTGTTTAGTTCAATGTCAATGTCAATGTCAGTGGGACGGCCCGCCCGATTCCGCGCCCGATTCCGTTAGTCTTTCCTAGTAAGTGAGTGCCTAGAAATTGAGATTGATTGTGCAGGCGATAATATAAACAATTGGACTGATTTGTTGAAGTTGTCAATATTAACCCACTATTGTCCCATCACAAATCTCCACCAGAACAAGCCATCGGCGCCATCGGTGCCATCGGATGCCCGGTTCGTGGCTCCACCGGAATATAATTCACTTTCCACGCCCCGTCATTGCATATTTAGTACTAGTTCCACCAAATATTCGAGACTTGCAACTGCCCTCAGAGGTTCCAAGACCTCCACCGTTTGGCCCTCTGCAACAGAAGCTCCGCACGCGTGCATTTGGCCTAGTTGCTACCCCTGAGCCTTAAGCTGCTCCATTCCACCATGTCGATTCTTTGGATCAACACTCAATTATTTCCCTCTCCAAGTTCTACCAGTACATTGATATTCTCATTATGACGCGAATTAATTATGAAAATGGCGAGGAGATTGATCCTAAGGTCCCCGTCTCCCCTACAGCCCCGCATCAACTTGCAGATCTGCTCCTCGGAATCCAATCACATGCCAATGCATTCACGAACGGGGATTCACTCGCACGGTTGCATCTCGTTGATTCAGCTCGCGCACTCGTGCGAGCAATGGAGACTCCACAGGAGGCCATGCTACGTGCATGCTGGGCAGAGGTGCGTACACTTCTTGACGAGTTTGAGGGCGCGAGTCGGGCATATCCAAATCAAAGGCTAATACAGTATACATTGAACCAATCTAGCCTTCATACTTTGCCGTCATCGAAACATGTATCGACCTGGGGATATTTCGCCTGATCGCCCATACCAACGAGGCGAAATCTGTTGCAGACCTAGCGGTGGTAACAGGTGCAAGCGAGGAATTGCTCGGTATATTCTTCCGCGCCAGAACGGCAAGATCGATTGATGACTGATTGTTTTTGTTAGAGCGTCTTCTGAAACATCTTGCCACCATGGGGGCATTAGTTGAGACTGGGCTGAACGAATACACCCACAACGGCCTTACCAAGACTTTGGCCCTGCAAAGATACAGCGACGCATGGCCTGCCATGTAAGCAAAGCACTCCCTCTATAACTAATCTGAGGTTGCTCGAGCTTAGTGATAAATCAAAGCATTTCGCTGACTCTTTTCTCTCGGTTGCAGCAACGGCTCTACCATGGGTCCAGTCTACGCATTGCCAAAGTGGCTCAAGGAGAACAACTACAAAAGCCCGACTGAGGGCAAAGACTGTCCTTTCACGATGGGAAACAAGACCGAGCATTCCTTCTTCGAATACCTTAACGGCAAAAGTACCGACTATCCAAACCTTGGATCTCAGTTCAACAATCTCATGTCCGCATATCATCAAGGCCGGCCCAGTTGGATGGATGAAGGATTCTACCCTGTGAAAGAGAAGTTGATTATGGGGGCAAAAAATGGCCCAGAAGACGTGTTGATAGTTGACGTAGGTGGAAATAAGGGACACGATCTGGAGGAATTCAAATCGAAATGGCCCGATGCGCCCGGCCGACTAATCCTGCAGGATCAGCCGCATGTTTTGAAGGAGATCAGCTCATTGAATCCGGCGGTCGAGCCCATGGTTCACGATTTTTATACCACGCAGCCAATCAAAGGTATGTGCCAGATATTCTTGTTTCGACAAATGATGAAATGGCCGGATCAGTGCTCTAACATGCGGTCCATATTCTAGGTGCTCGGGCATACTTTTTGCATTCCATCCTCCACGATTGGAACGACACGATCTGCCAGGATATTCTCTCAAAGCTCGTGGCTGCGATGACCCCGGGGTACAGCAAGATTTTGATCAACGAGAATGTTGTTCCGGACCGTGGAGCTCACTGGCAGGCCACCTCCCTTGATTTCATCATGATGATCGATCTGGCGGCTAAGGAACGCACAGAAAAGCAGTGGCATAGTTTGATTGAAAGCGTTGGTCTCAAAATAACCAAAATCTGGACTCGAATTGACAGCGCGGAGAGTCTAATTGAGTGCGATTTGGCATAAGGGTTTCAGCCTGAAACGTTGGAACGTTTGCCCAGGTGGAGTTTTGAATTTGGGGGTACTTTACTTGTAATGAGTATAATTAAACGTGTCTGCGCCCGGGCGCCAGTCAACTTGAAACCAAGTACTCGTCTACGGGTGTTCATTGGTTATTGAAGATCTTAAAGTCTATTTCAATGCGACTGAAACTTGGAAAATGGAAATAAGATGAATTCAAAGGAACAGGATGCTTTTCGACAACATATCCACGTCGATCACGTCGATCACTTGGATTTGAGAATCCAATGTAACCCTTTTGAATGAGGACCCACTCCCAGCCCTGGAGTGCGTCAACCAAGGTTGCTAATATTATGATGCCCCTCGAAACATTTGATAAGTAAACCAGATCCAAATAGCCGTGAGAAGTATGACCATAAGAAATACACAGATTCAAAGGCCGGATGCATGGGGCATTGAAGTGTACATACAGGTATTTAATTATAAGAAACATAGTAAGACTTTATTGTCAATTCCAAAATGATCCAGAGAGATATAACAATAAACCAAATTACATTGTATGCCCCATATGGCATGTTATAGATGTATATTTGCGAAATAAAGTCAACTCTGTTTCTCTTGTCTACTTCTAAGTCGGGTAATACCGATTTATAGCCCAGCGGCTAAAGTGACGGCTACGAGAGTGAAACAGACGAGGCAAAGGAAATATTTTTCCCACGCGCTGTCGCTGCTGATTTTATTCATATCGAACATTCCGTGGCAGCTTCCTCAGTAGTAAGCTTTTGACTTCCGAGGGTGTCAATCCATATAACGCACCGCCGTAATACTATAGTGATGTTGTAAAAGTTTGAAACCCCTTGTTGAGCACCCTGATCTCTGCCTTCTCAAGGGTAACAAGTAGCTACCTAGGATGGAATAGATTGGCCAATCTCTTCTATCTTAGTAGCTACTAGTCTGCCATTAGAAGGCAGTCGATAATGGTGGGCAATGGGAGGTTTCAAACTTTTGCAACGCCACTGTAATAAGCAGAATATACTAGTATATCCTACATAGTACTATCAGTCACACTGACATACCATGACAGTAGATCATTCTAACCTTAGAACTTGAAGCCATTAAGTTTGCAAAACTCACAACCCCAATATCAGAAGTGCCGACATGTCAAGGTCATGGCACAAATCTTGACAATACCTGCATTACTTGAACTTCTGCAGATCTACTATGGATGCCACCAGAATACCGAGCCCATTTTGCCTCGCGTTATCCTGCTGTGTTTCCTTCAAGTGTCTGCATTGGGTGTGTATCGTGAAGCATCTTTGGCCTCGGATTTAGCTCTCGAAATTATTTGGAATCTCCGCGTCAATTCCTTTGAGCTGGAATTGGAGATTGCGGGGTTAACCGAGCCTACTGGTCACCCAGGCGCTGAATCATCACGCACCACATAGTGTGTAGATAGCCTTGGTAGCCATCATCCGATCACCTTCATGGTGCTATATTTGTTCAAGTTGAGCTGTACTAGTGGGGAGGCGAGTGACACGGAAAGTGTGTGTATTGGAAGAATAGGTAAGCTCTCGACTATCTAGGGGACGAAGATGTATGAGGCCGCTGGGCCTCAACAGTTCATCTCATTATTCGGCTCTGCATGTTAGCCAGCATCTCTTAATTCCCAGGAACCATTAAGCTTGAGAAGTCAAATATTAAGTTGATATTTGTTGAGCAGGGTTGGCTTGGACATCCAGGCTGCGGTTCCTTGCATGTTCTAGATAGCTCCGCTCTCTTCTTCATCCATCACCGCCTTTTCATCCTTGCTATGCCTTTGATCGGATTCCGTCTTAATCGACCATGGATTCGACCTCCGACCTCTATCTATACCCTACTTTAGAGGAGATTATATTCACGCTTTTCGAATCTCTTTTTTTCAACCGATTCCTCGTCTGAAAATCAAGTTAACCAGTAACTACCGTGGGGTATATGGGCCCACAACTTCAAGTTGTGAATTTATGCACAGGGACAAGCACGCAGGCACAATCCCACAAATACGCGTTCAAGCCAGAGAATGCCAAGGTCCTATCTCCGTGAAGATCTGCGTCGTGACTAACGGGTATTCCTTTTCTACAAGTAATTTAGCTTGGGGCTTGGAGGCCTTACATCGTCAGCTGATTTTATTTCTGCAATGTAACCTTGGCCTGAAAGCGAACCAATTGAAGAATGTCGACGGTGTAAATAGTACCGACAGACTAGAATTGATGTGGCACTCTGTCAAGTGTATTTAAAGACAGCTTAGACACCCGTAAGCCTGGGTTCTTCACAAATCTATCCCAGATTCATCTTTCTCTACACTTTCCTCACCCCAATCAAACCATTTCGAAAATATCGAATTCAATTCCTCAGAATGAAGGTGTACATGTCTCTTCTTCTCGCACTGGCTGCCTTCGCCATGGCCGAAGCAAGCCCAAATCTGCAAGAAAGAGCCGGATGTTCACAGAAGGGCCAATACTGCAATGGAGGAACATTCCTATGCTGTCCCGGACAGGGAAGTTGCTCGGGTAATGTGGTAAGTCTGTCCCGTCACTGCACCCAATTGAAAATAGTATAGTGTATGACCATGCGTTGCGGCGGATGGCTAACAACAACTCAACTCAATGCAGTGCAAGTAAAGCGATTGTTGCCGCATCTCAAAGGATTGAATTGAATTTACGACTCAATTTGATGGAAGAATTCCATTTTCTGCCCGCGATGTGCGAATACAGGTTCATTATGTATGGATGGTACTACTGGTAGTAAGGTGTGATGTATGCAATTCAGAATGTTATTGGATAGTTACGCATCATCGAGCTTTTTTTCATCACACGAAATTTTAGATTTAAGCTTCGTCGACTTGAAATACCCCTTTAGCTCAAAGATAACGGTAGCAATGGGTTTGAATCTTTCGAATAATGCAACCTTCCCAAATAGTACGTCGTGGGATGAATCTATGGGAGTTCAATCTTAGACTCGGAATCCCGAACATTCAATTTGGAATAAAATTACTTTTCCACGCCCACTGGCAGAGCGCCCGTGTGTATGTTGACTTCAAGTCCAGTTTGGGTTTTGAAATCTTGGAATATGTATAGTACTAGTATTTTCTACATTAGCCACTGAAACCGCACAACCTTCCAAGGTTCTATACTAGTAGCAATTAATTATCAAAGGTACTATCAAGCGGTTGCCTTTCTCATCCCTTGATCGGATTCAAGTTCTGCATCAGTTGGCTCCTGATAGTGAGTTTAGTAGCTACTACCTAGGTAGTACTAGCCTGAAGTGCGTGTAGGTACAATTATATATTATACCACTGCAGGTACTCACAATAGCAGTGGCAGGCAACTTCTGAGTCAATTTCAAGTTGAACCTGGAGTGTTCTCGCCCTACATCGACTAGTATTAATTGGGTATACTGGAAATATATCTACGAGTACCGTGCAACATATCACGCATTAAGCAGGAATATCTGCAGGCTCCCATAACATGGCCGTCACTTCCAATCCAGGAACAACTTCAGCCATTGCAACCGTGCGAAACCCCATATCCTCATAAAGGGCCAGACCCTGACGACTAGCATCGAGACCAACGGGAATCCGCTCCTCGTTCGCCCGATCCAGACCCCACTGCACTAAGCTCCGACCGAACCCGCGACGTTGATGCCGGGGATCCACCGCAACAGTGGCCAGGAACCAGAGCTCGGGGAAAGCGGCAAAATCATAGCCCGTCGCACAGGCCTGGATATACTGGTCTAAGCGGAGGGGGTCAATACTGCGATCAGGGGAGACTAGGTTGTGGTAGCGGTTTTCGGTGGCGAGGAGGGTGCGCTCGAGAGCTGATGCGATCGGCAACCGGTGAAGCAATTGATTAGTCTGTGCCTATGAATCAGCTAGTATTCATTGACAAGTTCCTTACCGTTCCACCAGCCATCCCCGTGCCCATTCTTCTGCCATTGTGTGGCGGTCGGAGTATCCCCGCGTCTGCTCCACACTGCGTAACCGCGCACGCGCTCGTCCCTGTCCCTGTCCCTGGCCCCGTGGTCCCCCGACTCCGACTCTGACTTCGACTCGACGGCAACTAGCATAACATAGCCCGGGGTATATAGGCGTATTTTCAGGCGACGGAGGAAGGCAGTACGGAAGTCGGCATAGTAGGTGTGACGGTGGGGGCAGAGGTGGATGAAGAGTTCGTCGTGGAGCATTGCCTGGGCGGCGATGTCTGCGATGAAGGGGAGGTCATTGGGGGTAGCTGGACGTATATGAATCATGCTTGAGAGAAGTGATGTGGTGGTGGTGGTGGTGGTGGTGGTGGGAGGAATGGAGGTTGTTGAGTGAAGTGGCAAAAGCAAAAGCCGAAACAAACTTTGCGCGGCTCGGCAAACGTCGGCTTCTTCTTTCCTCCGCGACTTCCAACTTGACTTTTTTCCTCTTTCACTCCTCACTCACTCACTTTCACCTTTGCTGGCCACTGTATACACTTTGCATACAGAGTTTACTCTGGATATACTGGATACACTTGCCCAAGACTCGCTGTAGAGTAGTCCATTGCACTACTCCCACCGCTGATCAGTCCCACTCGCCCCTCTTCCCCAGTCTTCTCCAGTTTCACTCCTCCACACTCCATCTCACCGGCCACTCCTTTAATCTGCTTGGCCTGCCTGAAGTTCAACTGACCCAATTGAACTCCCCTCCACCCCTCCATTCACTCATCCGTCGAGTCCCCGTCTCTCGACTACCAACTCCGACTTCCGACATCGGACTCGAGATTTCTACTCTCTCGTCTCTCTCGCCTCAACTTGCGACTCTCGATCACGAGTCTTCATGTCCCAGTCATAGCACGGATAATGGCTGTGAACAGCGACTACACTCTCATCTCACCCTTCCCCTCCGGGCCTCGCCCCTGCCCGGCCTTTTTCTACCCACCCATCTCCTAGCAGAGATTGTGGACACAGCCGAATAACACGCAGTCCACGCAAATCTAACAACTCTCTGTACATAACTGCACACCTGCTATATACACACCATGACATCCACCCTCGATGAGCCACCAGATGGCCTCATCGGTGGCTACACAGGCGGCGTCTTAGTCGTTCGCATCCTAATGATCGTCTTCTCCTCCATCGCCCTCTACAACGCCATCGAACTCTTTATTCTCCTCTTCCTCACCTTCCAACACTACCGCGGTCTCTACTTCTGGACACTCCTCCTCTCCGTCACCCTAGGCGTCATCCCTCACACCGTCGGATATATTCTCGAATTTTTCGCTCTCGCTCCACTCTGGCTCGGCCTCACCCTCTCCACCATTGGCTTCTATTTCATGGTTCCCGGCCAATCCTTTGTCCTCTACTCGCGCCTCCATCTAGTAGTGCAAAACCGGACAGTCCTCCGCTTCGTCCTATGGCTCATAATCATCGATGCAATCCTCCTCCTCATCCCGACAACAGTACTCACCTTCGCCACCGCTTATGTCCGAACAGTCCCATTCATCCGCGGCTACAACGTCATGGAAAGAATGCAACTAGCCTGGTTCTGTGCGCAGGAATTCGCCATCAGCGGCATATATATCTCCGAAACAATCAAACTGCTCAGCCTAATGCCAGACAAGGATAATCGCAGATCAAGAATCATGTACGAATTACTCGCCATTAATTTCGTCATTATCCTCCTGGATGTTGCTTTACTCCTCGTCGAATATATCGGTTACTACTCTCTCCAAACGACGCTGAAACCAATGGTCTATAGCATCAAGCTGAAGCTTGAATTTGGCGTCCTGGGAAAACTCGTTTCCTTGGTGCAGACGCAGCGGTCTCAGCCTACTTCTCTGGAGCACGAGGACTATCCGGCATTCGTGGATCCGTCGCAGTTCACGGGCGATGTGACGCATGCTGCGCCCATCGAGTCTGGTCAACGGGAGTCCCGGAGAGGGAGCGGATTTCCCTGGGGGATCAATATGAATAATCTCTCAATGGAGAGTTTGCCCATGTCGGAACGGAGGATTCGGCCTTCGACGAGGGATACGAATAGTCCGATTCCGTCGAGTCCGCATTTATCATGACGCGTCACGAAACGATGTATATTGAATGTATAACTGTATAACTATTGATGATTATTGACATTGTATCTTACCATATACCTCCCTAGTAAATTAGATTTAATTTATTAAAACTCTGCTTCCGCCCTCAGCCTATTCAAACTTGAACAGACTCCCCCATTTCATCAAAACAACCATTCATAATGGCATTCCACTCCGGCAAAAACGGAATATCAGCCGCAAAGCCGGAGAATGCACTGAAATCCCCATCCCCGAGAGTCTGCATATCGAATTCGGCAAAATCAACATCCATTGAACTGGCCCTGGCCCCGGCCCCGGCACCTGCACCGGCATCCACACTGGCAAAAGGCTTCACTTTCACCATATCGTTGTCATTGTTGCTGGTGCCAGTACCACTATTCCCACCAGCACCAGCACCATCCACTGGCAGCACAGTCCCAATCTGTCCCTGCCCCTCTCCCCTGAACCCTCAACACCATCGCCTGCTGCCTCAATCTAACCAAACATTTCCAAATACTCCCATGCTGCTCCACATCCGACCCCCCATATCCGAGTCCACCGACACTGGCAGACATAGACATATCAGGAAAGACATCATCGACTAACGCCCACGCGCGCTGAATGTCAACAGCTCTGACTTCACGCGGCACATGCACATGCACATTACACAGACAGCGCAGGATATACGCCAGCGCATACCATTGCGTATATGTCGTGAATAACCAGCGAAAATCGTGGGAGAAAGAGGATTGGAGGAGGAGGCGGTTTGAATCAATTGCGTCGCAGGCTAGGGTGAATGACTTGGGTGTTTGTGTTTGTGTGTATGTGTTTGGTCTTTCGGATTGTGATTTTGAGTGTGCTGTGCTCGAGGCTGACGGTGTTAATATCGATTCCTCTCGAAGTTGGAGTATGAATTCCATTTTTTTCTTCGCTGTTGTCAAATGCTGTCCTGCGATTTTGGAAAGGATTGCCGGAGCGGAATCATTCAAGTTGAGGTCTTCTGAAATTCCATATTTCGCAAACACTTCACTCCTCCTCTCTTCAATAAATGCTCTCTTCGTCCTGATTTCAGAAATACTCTCCCCTCGGCCCCGTTCTGCTCCTGTTCCTGCTCCTGCTCCTGATCCCGACCACGGCCCCAAAACAGGACTCAACAAACGACAAGACTCAGTCTGCATTAAAAAAAACGACATCTCCGTCCAACCAACACTTTCAACGGGAAAGTCCCTCATACCCGGAAACAATTGGTCATCATTAACATTCAGCGGGAGTCTTAATCCCTGACTCTGGCCTTGCTGGCCTTTGGCAATGTCCACACTAATTTCAAACCCCTGATCTTCCGGGGCCCTCGAATCAAGGACGCAAAGATGCCACCAAAGTCGTAGTCGGAGTTCGGTTTCGAAGGGACTTAGATTTAAATCTGTGCCGTTTCGGTGGAGGCCGATCGATTGGGATAGACGGATTGTTAGACCTGTTAGGACCCAGACTGAGCGGGTGGGTGAGTGGGTGCGGAGGGTTGTCTGGGGTAGTTATTTGTGAGCGAGAGACTGGATGGATGGTATTGGTTTAGTGATGCAGGGGAGAGGGGTAACGTACGGCGTATATAGCCAATGCTTGTAAAGATGTTAAATCGGGACTATTCATTAGATCTGTTGAGAGGAGGATTGTATCCAGGGCTGATTTGTAGTTTGATAGGAGGGTTGTTCTTTCTTCTTCGTTTTGACAGTGTTCTGGCATAATCGTGTTGCTCCCACTTCTAGTAGTACTGCCAGAGGTGTGGTTATGACAAAGCGCCGTGATAGCTGCGTAGTATATCGCATAGGTTAATGCTAGCATTGAGCGGGTTGCGGAGGTTGGGTCGAGGATTGTTGATAGGACTGCGGATTGGGTTGTTGGTTTGTGGAGGATCTTTAGGACGGGGTCGACGCTTTTGGAATATATTGACCAGAGGTGGAGGGCTAGTTCGGGGGTTGGGTAGCAGGCTAGAATTGTTGATTGTTGGTTCTGGTTTGGGGGTACTGCTGGAGTTGGAATTGGGGTTGGAATGGCGTGGCTGTTGTTTGTTTGGAGATTAGGTGGTGATTTGTGATTTGAGGGCGATGGGGTTGCTCTCATTTTGTCTTCCTATTGTTTTATCTCAGATATGAGGGTTCAAATGGGGACAATTTCAACGTTTAAGCTTATTCAGTGGGCACTGGTGCTGGTGTTACTCACATCCTGAAGAAGATCTTTTATATTCGGATTATTCACATATTGAACCACATGTCCATCATTCAGGAGGACTTCCCAGGACATGTTATTTCGCTGTGTAGATTGTCCTTGATTCAAGTTGGTATGGTGATTTTGTCGATTATCAGCTTCTCTGCCCTCTCCGAGTCCATCTTCAGTTTTCTCATTGGGTTCATTGATTGCCGACGGTAAATTGCAATCCGAGAGCTGTGTCTCGCAGAAACGAGCCAACATCGACTCGACCCGCTCCAACCGGTCAGAAACATGCTGTAGAGACGCAGGCCTCTTTTCAGCTGTCTCTTTGGGGTAAACGCAGGTAAATTCGCATCGGGTGCAGTTCGTGCAAGGGACCCCTCGGTCGCACCGAACTTTGCGCCGGTGACACGCGATGCATGAGCGGGCGGCGAGTCTGTAGCTGCGGTTTGCCGTCCGGGAAGGCTTTTCTTCGGATGACTTTGTTATGCGTTGCATGATGAGATGTAAATTTGGACGTTGAGTGTGAAAGAGAGGCGTATATGTGGTGTTGCAGTTGTCGTTGAAATCGGTCGGAGTTTCGGTGCCGAGGCGGCCGAAGGATCATCGGCTGTTGGTTTCTTTGTGGATGGGCCAGTCATCTTTATCTTGGAGTATTAGTGGAGACAGAAGTGATTATCTCGGTCAGTAAGCACCGGATCGCCGAGGGTTGATAGAAGAAAGTATTATAGAGAATAAAGAATAAAGACATGCGTCAGTAACGGGGGATCTTGATCTTGAAATCACCCTGCTGCAGCATAGTCCATCTTATCTGATCTGATAATCTGATCGGATCCGGACCATCACCTCACATCACATCACCACCTGCTTCAACTAATATGGGTACCTCAACCACAACACAAGATTCCACAATGTCAGAGTCCCCTCCCCCTCCGACCACATTCAGAGAAGGCGGATATGGTTGGGTCTGCGTGGCTTGTACATTCCTCATGAATGCCCATACTTGGGGCATCAACGCCGTACGCCGAACCCTAATCATCAACTCCGTCCCCAACATCTCATCTACAAACGTTAATCTTAGAAATAACCCCATCCCAGGCATACGGAGTCTTCCTCTCATACTACCTCTCAAGCGATATCTTCCCCGGAACATCAAGTCTCGAATATGCCTTCGTCGGCGGCCTGAGTATCTCCTGCGCAATGCTCATCGCCCCACTAGCAACATACCTCGACAAGCGCATCTCAACCCGCTTCGTGCTTAATCTCGGCGCCGTCCTTGAAACCCTATCGTTCATAGCCTCATCCTTCGCAAAGAAGAGCTGGCAACTCTTTCTCGCACAGGGCGCATGTTTCGGCTTCGGCATGGGTCTATGTTTCTGCGGATCTGTGGGAATCACATCGCATTGGTTCGAGAAGAAACGAAGCTTGGTCAACGGCATTGGATCCGCTGGATCGGGAATCGGTGGATTGATCTATTCCCTCGCAGTCGGCAAAATGATTCCGGAACTCGGTCTACCCTGGTCAATGCGTACGTTAGGAATCATTTGCTTCGTGGTGAATATACCCTGTGCAAATCTGCTGCGGGTTCCATCGCAAAAACGATCAGCTACAAGCGTGAAAGCGCCGACATTTCCCTTATCGCTCTTTAAACGACTCGATTTCGCCCTGCTGCTTGCTTGGGCTTTCCTCAGCGCGCTGGCTTACGTCACTTTACTATTCAGTTTGTCCAGTTATTGCGTTGCCATTGGTTTAACCCAGCAGCAGGGCAGTCTTGCAAGCGCACTACTTAGTCTAGGCCAGGCATTTGGACGTCCAGCAGTCGGTTTATTGAGCGATCATTTCGGTCGGATCTTTATTTCAATGATAGCCTCGTTTCTTGCTGGACTGCTGTCACTGGTTATCTGGATTTTTGCCAGTTCCGCTGGACTGACGTACTTCTTTGCTATCATTGTTGGCTTGTTCGCTGGCACGTTGTGGGCATCTGCTGCCCCCCCTTGCCGCGGAGATTGTGGGAATTCAACATCTCGGGACTGCGCTGGGGGTTATTTGGTTCGTGCTCACGCCTCCGGCGGCGGTTGCTGAAGCCATTGCATTACAGCTGAGGAATGAGGTGGGTTCTTCGAAACCGTATCTTCGCGTTCAGCTGTTTGCGGGATTTGTTTATGTTGGTTCTGCGGCCTGCTTGGCGTGGTTACTGATTGAGGTTAGGAGGAAGCGAAGGGTGGCTCGTCTTGAGACGGATAAATCTGATCTCTAGATTGGTCGTCCGTAGACAAAGCCTTTTCATAGTAGAGTGAAGGGGGAGTTGAGTTACTAAGAGAAAATTGACTGTATTGTTATACGTGGCAGTACGCAGCATATTGATAGACGCAACAGAGTATGAGTTGTCCCGGTTGGCCTGTGGTTCTGCTCGGTATCTCATGGCTTGATGGCGCAGATATCACCCTATTCTAAGAAACACAGTCACTAAAAGATATATGGCATGTCTCACGAGAGTGATACAGCTTTAAAGAGGAGAGGAGCTTTTCGGGGCGAGATGGTATTTTTTTTTCTCACCAATCTATCGTTATGCCAAGCTATTGCAAAATGGAATCAGCAAACTCAATCCATCATGGCCCGCCCCTATGAAACAATCCCATCAACCACATTACCAGGCTTACGGTTCCTAAAGTCCTTCCTCCCTGCAGTTGTCACCCTCGACCCAACAATCCACCCATTGTCACCATTCTTCACCTCAAACGCCCCCAATCTCATCTGTAGCAATCCACCAAGTACAGCCAGCACCACAATCCCACTCCTCGAAGTACGAAGTCGCCATCTATCCCACCCCCAGGACCAAGTGCATATAGCATGGGACACCGATCTCTCGCAGCGTGACAGTGCCAGTACCGCCCTCGCCAATATAACAGAAAATAACCCCGAACATGGGACCTCTGATAAAATGACGCTCTATGCGCTACTTCCGGGTCCGATGCGTCTTAATCGAACAGTAATGTTTGAAGCGACGAGCAGTGCGGTGTTCAAGAATGACCCGGATGAGTTTGTTGTTAAGGTTCGCGAATTCAATATTTTTTTGGGTTTGGAGGGCAAAGAGCAGGATGATCTACAGGTTGTTGAGATGAGGATTTTTATGGATAGGAAGCCTGTTCAGGCGCGTGCGCAGCAGTTGAATGCTGGGATTGCTTTTGGTGAAGGAGCTAGGGAGGCGGAGCCTTCGTGAGCACAGGAATAACTCCAAGCTCTAACATGATTTCCAGCGTGTTCCTTCTGTCTTTTCAGGCAACTCGCCGTTGAATGCCTTCCACTCGCCGAGACTTCTCGGTAGAGGTTGAATGATATCGATGAACATATCGTGCATCTACCAAATAAGTCTTCGACACATGGATAAAACAAAATGTCACTCAAATCTACGAGTTTCCCCCCCACTCCACCTCTGGTGTGTGCTATGACCTCCACATCTCAAGACCCTCGCGGCTAATCCCGCCACCAAGTCCACAAAACCAACCCCCAAACAAGCCCGAACAACCGACCCAACCCCTAGCATCGAACTCAAATCCTATAAAACACAAAATCTGCCGAATATCTCATCCGACCGTGGAGAAATCCCCGCGTCCCCAGACCGGCTGCATGACCGGGAAGGAATCCGGGGGTCTGGACGTGGAGACTGCATAAATCCGGGGCAATTAGATCCAGAAGCACGCATCAACCCCTAACAATAGGTTTTCCCCGCAAGTAGTACCAAGCCGGGGAAAAATGAATCCCATTACACAGTAAAAACACACTCGCGCACACTCATTGGTCGTGCTGTGCTAAGCTTGCTTTCTTTTTCTTATTTTTTCCCTGATGTGGCGTCTGCTCTCCACTTCGGAAAACTACCGGGCCCAACCGTATTGGTAGGTTCATGCGATCCCCGTTCGCGCGATGTCGGAGCTGGGAGGGAAGTTGACAGCGATTCTTGGATTGATGCTGCAGATGTTTTATGGAAATGCCGCGCTTGTTTCCGCGCATCGTGGGGATAAAATAGGGGCTGTGGGTACGATCTGTTCTCTTGGATTTTCTGGATATCCTTCTTTCATTCATTCTTTACTGCTGGTTAATTCTATTGAAGTTGACTTCAGCAGAATGTCGGGTGAACGTGATCTCAAACATGATATTGAGCCTTCTCGCCATGACGTCGATATCGGGCAGATGCTGGCTGTCGAGGCCACGCCGGAGGAAGAGCGAGCTGTTCTGCGAAAGCTGGATTGCTAGTAAGTGATCGCTTTTATATGATGCACTTGCATTCTGCTCACAGTGGAATAGTTTGATGCCTCTGATGGGGTTTGCTTACTTTCTCCAATTCCTGGACAAGCTTGCTCTAAGCCAAGCGACACTTTTCAATTTGCGAGAAGACCTGGTAGGTCCCCACAGCACAATTCTTTTTTTCTTTTCTTCAAATCTGATTCACTATAGAATCTCCAAGGCTCCAACTACTCCTGGACATCGGCTGTCTTCTACTTTGGCTACTTTTTCTGGAGTTGGCCGAGCTCGTACGTGATCGTGCGTCTGCCAATTGGGAAGTACTTGGCCTGTTCAGTGTAAGCTATTATCGCTTTGATTTCTATCCCGAATGGCGATCGCTGACATATTCTAGATTTATCTGGGGGGGGGTATTCTGATGTGCCACGCCGCAACAAAGAATTTCACCGGCCTGATGTGCGCCCGTTTTTTCCTGGGCGTCGGAGAAGCCGCCATTGCCCCCGGCTTCACCTTGCTCACAGGAATGTTCTATAAGCGGGAGGAGCAGCCAATGCGGTACGTGACTTGAGTTTGCTTCACGATACTATTTCCTTCTTCGCTTCCCACACTAACCAACTCACAGGCAATCGGCGTGGTTTTTCGGAAACTGCATCGCCGTCCTCGTCGGGGGCCTAATCGCCTACGGAATCGGCAACATAAACACAACAGCGATCGAGCACTGGAAACTACTCTTCCTCATTCTTGGCGCCGTGACCTCTTGCTATTCAATCGTTCTATTCTTCTTCCTTCCAGACGCAGTCGATAAGGCCGTATTTCTAACAGAGAACGAACGTGCCATCGCCGTCCAACGCACAATCACAAACAAGACCGGTATTCTGGATAACGGCAAATTCAAATGGTCTCAGGCAGTCCAAGCACTCAAAGATCCACAGGCCTGGTGTTTGATTTTGAATTCGCTTACTTCGAACCTGTGTAATGGAGGTATCACAACTGTAAGCCAGAGCCAACTCACTCCCTCTTCAAACCATCCGATCCGATCCCATCATGACAGCCAGTGTCCTACCTCACTGACACCTTAATCTCTCCACTTTTCAGTTCACATCAATAATAACAGCCGGCTTCGGTTTCACAGACCTAAAAGCCCTACTAATGCAAATGCCCCAAGGCGCCGCGCAAATAATCTTCCTAGTATTAACATCACTGGCGGTAACATATATCCCACATTCGCGCGTTCTGGCACAAATATTCAACACGATCGTCTCGGTCGTCGGAATGCTACTGATCTGGAAACTCAACCCGGAAGAACAAGTCGGGCGAATGGTCGGACTTAGTATCGGTATCGTTTACGCGATCAATTTGCCCATCTCGTTGAGTATCGTTACATCTAATGTGGCGGGGTTCTCGAAGAAGAGTGTTGTTAGCTCTTTGCTTTTTATTTCATATTGTGTTGGTAATGTTATTGGGCCTCAGTTCTTTTTGGCTAGTGAGGAGCCTTCTTATCCGGTTAGTTCGTGGTTATGATTACGCCTGAGGCAGGGCTTCTTGCTATGTTGTTCTTGGTCTGCGAGTGATCCATGCTAACTCGATCTTTTTTTTTCTAGACCGGTATCAAGGCTGCCATGTCTGGTCTTGTATTGAGTATTTTCTTCCTGGTCGTTCTTTACTTCTACTATATCTATGAGAATCGGCGTCGGGATCGGTTGTATGGTCGGCCTGAGGATATAGCTGTTGGTGCGGAGTTGCAGGATGAGCTATCTAACAAGACGGACACCGAGATTGAGAGTTTCCGGTATATTCTCTAACTTGGACCCCATTGGAAGGGAGGGTGTCGGAAATTCAAGCTACTGGCAAGGATCCATGAATAAGGTTGGAATTGTGCATTTGTATATAGCATTCCAATACTATCTTCTGTGAGGGTAGTTACCATTCACTTCAACTTCGGCCACCCATGATCCAATCAAGTTCACCTTTCCTCTCCAGGGCTCAGCAGATCGATATTCGGCCTTGCTCAATAGTACCACCACTATGCGTAAAAGCCGACTGCACCACCAGGCACACTTCAATTGGGCCTAGATTGGGCCCAATACCATTTCAAAATATGATACAGTGAGATAAATGGAAAGGAAATGCAGACGATCTTATGACCAAGAGTCAGAGTCGGATATCATAAATATATGAAAAGAGCTTGAACTCGAAACAGAAAAGTTGAAGGCCCTGGCCAAAATAAAGAAATCCAACTCATGGATAAAAGCAAAATGGGAAACGGGTATCGTATACTAGCATTTCTTCCAAGCTCCTAAAAACAACGGACAATATGAAAGAGATGGAACGCCGAAATGGAAATGGAAATGAAAATGGATGGAACCCAGGCCGTTATTCGTATACACGGCATGTAGTATGAGTTATGCAGTATTTAAGGAAGTCGTCGATACGTCATATGCGCTGTGATATACATCGTGGACTGGTTCCCACGTTGCTCCGCGATGAAAATGCATGAGGAATCGGAAATGGTGTTTTTGAATGAGGTCGGAGTGAAGTAAGTAGATGTGTTTGTTTTGTGTGTTGGCGCAGTAGTTATTTATCAAATCAATCGAAGGTTCAGCGATGATCAAACCACCCCCCCCATTTTCCCATTCACCTGGCGTATAAGTCGCGCTCTTCCTAACGTCAAGATCAACAAGACCGCTAAGAAGAACATTAAGTCTCGCAAAATTGATCGGTTTCATAACCCAGCCATCAAACCCGACATCGATATATTTCTGATACTCGGACTCCCAGAGAGAGGCAGATACTGCGAAAATAGGGACTCGGGAGTTTCGCTGGGCTTTCTCGGAGAGGGCTTCGGGGGTGGCGTTTACTTCGTATTCGCGGATCATTCGGGTGGCGGCGTATCCATCTGCGATGGGCATCTGTTTTCTTCTGCATTAGTCCAGTCCAGTTCCATCCATGTTCGATGGTATGTTTAAGAATGCCTTTTTTGAGCATTCGCTTGACTTACCTGTATATCCATCATGATAACATCAAAACTCTTGCTATTAGAGCAAAATGCACTCGCACAAGCTTCGCCGTTACCAGTTAATTCGACCGTGTGGCCCAACTTGGTCAGGCGCTTGTGGATAATCCTGGAATTGATTGGGTCGTCTTCTGCAACGAGGACGCGCAATATTCCGGCGTGCGCCGGGACAGTTGATGTTGGAGTTGTAGAAGATGGGATATTAGACGAGATGGTTTCAGCGGTGCCTACTTTCTCATTTGGCATTCGAGGGAAGTAGGATTGTCCTTCTTGTTGCTGCATCTGCGTCTGCACCGCTTGTTTCAAGACACGTCCAGAAACGCGAACGGCGCTCATCGGAACTCCAGAATCCTGGATATTTGCCGTGCCCGGGGTAGGTGGGGTCTTCAATGCTTGCAATGTCATCGGAGGAGTATGCGTCACGGCGCCCAGACTTGCGAGAGGGTTCTGTGACGAAAGCCGCTTGTCGCTAAGCGGAGACGCGATAGCTTGTGAAAGCTGGCTGCCACTTGGGCTGGTCGGTTGGAACCTCACGTGCTTGCTGTCCATGCTTTCGCTCCGAGACTTGCTAAACGGGGCCTCCTTCATTGCACTGATAAGTCTGTCGGCCTGACTCTTCTGACTCTTCCCACTGCGAGAGCTACCACCGCTTCGAAGGCTCTCGGTGCTTTGTCGGCGTACTTCCCGACTCTCGGAAACACCCCCGACTAAAGTGAACTCTCGGTCTGAAATCATAGGCGTGGGTGGGACAGAAACATATTGTGCTGGGGAGGTTGTTGCGGTGGAATGAGGGGGTGCAACTCCCTCTGGCAACTTGAACTGCAACATGATCTTGAAACGACTTCCCTTGCCCTCTTCTGATTTCACGCCCAGTTGACCCCGCATGTTGTGAACGATCCTAGCCACGAGCGCAAGGCCCAGACCAAGGACCTGCCGAGATCCGCTGCTGCGAGTCTCCGGTCCCTCCTCTGAGTTCTGTTCGCCGTCATAGTGATCTGCATCATTCGAGACCTCCTCAAGCTCTTGAAACATAGCTTCCAGCTTCTCCTTAGACATGCCGGCGCCGGTGTCGATAACCATCATCTCAATGGCGCTGTAACCTTCTAGGTTCTGGGTCACCGAAGGCCATAATTCCACAGTAACCGCTCCAGAAACGGTCTGTTGGATGGCGTTGGAAATGAGGTTAGAGAAGACCTGCCGCAAGCGTCGCTGGTCGCCCATGACTAGTGGAGGGATGCCCGGCTGGACGGAAACAGAATATGAGATGTTTTTCCTCTTTGCCTCACCAGCAAGCATCTCGCTGGACTCTCGGAAAGTAGCCGCAAGGTCAAATTTTTCATCTTTGATGAGATCCTGGCCCTTTTCGGTGTTCGTCAAATCCAGGAGATCATTGATAACGTAGATGAGTGATTTGGAGGCGGAGTGCGATTTTGTCAAACTGTCACGGGTCTCGGCGTCAAGACTTCCTTCCAGCGCAATTTCGAGGTAGTTGATGATGGCGTTGAGAGGTGTGCGAACCTCGTGGGCAGAATTAGCAAGTAGAAGCTTCGTGAGCTGCGAGTTTTGCATAGCGGCTTCCTTCTGTCGCCACACTTTGATGAACTTTCCATAGACGAGGCACAAAACTGCAGCTGTCTCGACATCAGATTCGGACCACTCGCGTGATTGACTCAGGACAGTTTCCCGCCACGCTGCAAAACTGTTGCGCGGTTCCAGATAGCCTGCAGTAGATTTCTTTTTGGCAATATCATAGGGATTTCCTGCCCACTTGATTTCAGTAAGCTGGCCCTTGCGGAAGAAAACGATAAAGTCATTTCCACCAGTCGATAGGGGGACATAGAGCATTCCCGAGATTGCCTTTAGACCTGGCGGATAATACAAATCGGGGAAATCTTTGATAATATCGTGTGATGCCATCACAGAATTGATTTGTCGCATTCGAATGAATTCCAGAAGAGCAAGAACTTCTTGTGAGTGTTCATTATCGCCCAGGATTTTGGTTTCGTCGCGGATTGATAGAGCACCATAATCAGCACCGAAAAGTTGAAGCATATCGTCGGACGAGGCAATGATATAGCCAGAAGGGTTAGCTTCTGTAGGAACCGTGTTGATTAATTTCCGGGCTTGCAGTCGAGATGCGTATGAAAGTCGCTCAATATTTAGAGAAACAGTGTCTCCAAGAAGTCGGCACATCTTCCGAACGGGGAATGAAACACGCATACCATGATCACCATAGGAATGACATGAGATAAGTCCCCAGAGCTCGTTGAAGGCATTGACACTGATAGACATTGACGATCGCACCTGCATGTGACGCAGGTATTTGATATGAATCGGGGACATGGCTCGGAGGTACGCATGTGTCATGTCCAGAGGGGTTTCCAGATCCTCCACCGTGCGGCAAACTAGACGTGAAGTCTCGTGGTCGCAGTCGTATAGAAGACGAACTTTGTTTATCTTGTATAGCTCGCGGGCCTGGGCGGGGATGTCGGATGCAGGGAAGTGAAGTCCCTTGTAAAGGTCGATCGAAGCTTTGGGGTCGGCAAGTTCCGCAACAACGAGACCATTCCAGCTGCTATCAAACTGATAGATCAAAACTCGGTGGAATCCCGTAAGCTCTTTGACTAGACCAGTTGCAACGTTGAGTAATTGGTCTAGATCGGTGGTCCGGCCGAGCTGTTCTTGGATCTGGGTCAACATGCTGAACACGTCCATTGCCGCTGCTTCACCCCTTCGTCTTCGGGCGTTGCGAAGAACACGAAGTGGTTGACTGAGGTTAATGGTGCTAGCAGCAAACTGTTCTGCGCTTGGCATGCCCTTCAATGTGTCAACTGGAATGGTTGGAGTTGTAAGTCCGGCCACATTCAATGGATTGACCTCATCGTCTTCCATTTCGAATTCACATATAATCATATCTTTCTCAGACTGACTGACATGGGCGGCACACCAAAATCGACGTTCACCTCCAGAAGGAAGAGGTATTGATATGATGAAGACTTCGGGGCCATCGACGACCGGGTCATAGGCGTCATCTCGAACGAAGTCGATGTGGTCCAGTAAGGTGTCGGCCTGGTCGTCGCTCAAAATGTCGCAAAAGTTGGGAAGCTCGAAAAGCTGTTTTGGGGTGTAGCCCATGATTTGGGTGGAATTTTCACTGACAATGCGAACGACGAGTTGGTTTGGCGACTCCTCTCTCATCACAATCATGAGACCAAAAGTCTGCACAGCACCCGGGAATCGGATCGGCTCGTCCTCGCAATATTGGAATGCCTCACCATCCCTTCCCGTGATAACGGCGTGTCCACCTTCAGTCTCTACATGTTTGAAGCGTGCAGTGACATGTCCATACTGCTCATCTTGTGTATGTGGTGACGGTGTTTGTAGCTCTCCTTGCTGCTGCTGCTGCCACTGCTCCGGGTATCTCGCAGAGCCAACCCCCGAGCGGCTTTCACTCTTGGCCTTCGCAAATATTTCCGGATGTTGAGCCACCTCGGATGCCATGGAGTGTGCACCCAATTCCGTTTCATCATTTGTGGCATAGGTCTTGTGGCGAGGAACATCGGCAGGGATCGTAGGTTCTAGGCTCGTTTCGACAGAGGGATATACTGGCGGCGGTGACTGGCATTGCGGGGGGGGTCTGAGACTGAGCTTGTGGGGGGGGTCTGAGACTGTAATTCGTTCCAGGTTTGGGCGGATATGATCGGGTATTGACGAGCGCCTTCTCGGACAGGCGAGGTCGCACCCCGTGGCTGTATTAAATGCACAGCTTGGGCAGCTGTTGGGTCAACTGAGACGACCGATCTTATGGGGAAAACTCGATCGGTGCTATCGAATCCTGTGTCGGGGGCCTGTGCCTGTTGTCCATCATTGTGAGAGACCGATTGCGACCGCTCCCTAATATCTGGCCGTTTTGAGGATGTGTCGATCGAGATCGGTCGGTTCGACGGGGCTTCGCTTCCGGAACGTTGTCGCGCGGTCCCCGGTCGGCTGCCTCCTGGGTTGGACGACATATTTGCGCTAGAGGTCGAGGCGGGAACAACGCGATGAGACCCCAGGGAGGGACGAGGGATCTGAGATGAGGCTCGGATCTAGCGATCGGGGTTGTATAGGGGTCGCTTGGTGGGGAGTGCGAGCAAGCAAACCAAATGAACGGTTACACCATCGACGGGTCTAGTTTGCGACTCTTTTATAAAGACTTTTGTAGAAGGGCTCGCAACCCACGTAGCCCACTCAGTTATTATTATCGATGCCCCGGCGGGTGAAACAGCACAGGAATCCGAGCAAAGGTGGGGTGGATCTCTGCAGTTGAGTTCATCAGGGATCGTTTTCCACCGGGAGGCGTGTCGATCGAACTGCAAGAGAATGGGTACAGCACAGTACTGTACCTGGGGGAGGAGTGGAATCCGAGAGAATGGAAATCGAACGACGATCTGGAGAAGCTAGAGGAAGTGGAGAGGAGGGAAAAAAAGCCCTATGGAGGGGCAAGCGGAGAATGGCCATTCAGCATGTGGGCAAAAAGGGAATAGGGAAGTGATGTGCAATCCGCTGTCAACCGGCCAGACTTTGGAGTCTGTCAGATGCGATTGGATGGTAGGCGCGCGAGATGGAGTAGATGGAGCAGGTTGGTCCACTGTGTAAGGGCTCCATGGGAGGTCCGGCAGTTTGGAACGATGCGAGATTGGCTTGCATGAGATTGGATTGGATTGTGGCTCAGCCAAGAGAGATTACGGGCCGAACAATTTGATGAAGGGATCCTAAGATTCCTGGAATTCCCTTGGATCAGTGGTGCCTGAGCGGGGGGGCGTACTCGGTACCAGCAAAGGGGTGAAGAAAACCGGGATTGAGTATGTACCTGGTACTCTAGACACCTGAGGTGGCTTATGGGTGGGACCAAGCAACATCATGACCATGACGTGTGCATATCAATGCCTTGCGCTGGTAGTGCGAATCCTCATGACATCATCACGGGAGGATCAATTCGATGTTGTCGCAGAGCTCATGGCTCAATGAGGCTTGCAGGCACCATGCAGTATGACGAAATACCAGACTATATTTTGAAGATCCGGAAGGCATTTCAACGGTTCCTGGGCCCATTGTGTTTGCCCAAAGTGGTGTGTTGCGTTGAGGCTTTGCACGGTCGACCCGGCCGAATCGTCGGCGATCGGGTCATAAGAGCCACAGGCAGTGAATGGTTTGCCACCGAAGCGGCTACTCTGAACCAAGGGCGGTGAGGAGTTGAAAGCAATGGAATTGGAAGTGGAAGTAGAAGTAAATAGAAATGTAAGAGATTGGCGATGTTCAAGTTCGTGTGGAGAGAAGAGTGGCGGAGGAGAAGTGGAAGTCACAACAGGAAGTCACGGGTTGCTTTGAACACCTGGGCAGCAATGGGACTGCCTCAATACTCCAGGGCTCGTACTACTAGTACCACCATAGTACTGCTACTAGTAGGAATAACAATTGACTGTTGGTTTCAAAAGAAGGGCAGAAGTGAAAAATCAAAGAAAAATGTTCTGAGGATAGTAAACAACTCGAACTTAAGACTGGTGGCGATATAGCTACTACTAGCTACTACTACTAGGTAATACTACTTAGTAGTACAATTTGAAGCAGCTCAGACAGGGGCAACCTTCAAGTTGGAAAAAAGAAAATAGTAATTTTGGAACAATCTATATAAATAAACAATTAGACCACTAGAAAAAATATGAGACCGCCGTAAACTTGAACGTGGAACGAAAGACCACACTGAGATGAGTGCCCAGGTGGGCTGGATCAAGAGAAAGAACAGCATTAAAAATCCAATTAACTTGCCCACCAGGGAAAACAATAAAACCTCGGGGGGGGGGGGGACCACCCATAAACAAAAGACCACACTGAGATACACGCAGTAAGCTGCGATGGGTATAGAATATGCATGCACTTGCGAAAAGACAGATAGCCGACTAAGTAAGCACAGGGATATCGAAGTAATGAATCTAGCCAACCCAAAATGAAGAGAAGAAAGGGAAAAAAGGGAAGAAGAACGAAGGAGAAGACAAGGGACTCAACCCAACCTAACCCGACTAGCTGTGCTATGGTAGACCTATTTCGGCGTCACCAATAACTCCGCCTCAATAGTCGACCTTGTCTCGGAAGATCCAATCCTGCCACGCGTATTGCTACCACTGGAACACCGCTCGGAACGAAGTGATCCAGGCGAGGTATACGAGGCCACAGTCGGCGCAGGCGAAGCGGGTAGATTCATATTGTCCTTCGAGGAGGTTTCACGAATACCCTCGTGGAAATCATGCGTGCTGCCCATCTGGGATTCTTGCTCTCTCTTTCTCCTGGACTCGCAGTTTGCCATGGTGACCTGGAAACAACTCGCGAACGGATCTGGCTCGAAGGTATTGAGACCCGGTGTGGGTGTGGGTGTCGGCATGCTGGACACCCCGTCGTACGGTGGTCGATGGTCTGCGTTTACCATGGTGTAGATATTCAGGTCACTGGAATGGCGGCGATAAGTCGTTGAGTTGGAATCATTGAGGTCTTGTCTGTTTCCACGCCCATGATCACCTCCATGGAAGACGTAAGGGGTGCCCGAGGACAGGAAAGAGCGTAATCTGTTGAGGATGGCGAATTCGAGTTTCAGCTTCAGGCCATAGATGACTGTTTTCATGGGGGCTGCAAAACGGCGACTCTCCATGTGATCACGACGTCAAGGGTGTTTAGAAGAATAACAATCACGTTAATGATAATGAGATGGTTGATGACCCTTTTGCCTTCCCTCCCCGAACCGCGATGATAGGCCCCAGTGCCCGACGCGCCTCGCGGATGTAAATTACGCAGATGATCAGATCTTGCGCGTGGAGGATAAAAACATGGGTTCGGTTCCAAATAAAGGCGGAAAGGGCGAAATTCTCATGGCCAACAGAAACACCGAAAACGAGGGTGGCCATTGTGACATAGACGATGATTGCATTAAAAATAATCATCCAGAGGATCCAGCGAAAGCGGGAGATACCTGCCACAACGAGATGCAAGCGCGAGTAAAGGACCAAAGGTTGACCATTGACCATACAGCCCCAGCCGATGGAGGCGATGATCGTTGAAGCGAGCAAATTTTTAGGTGCGACAAAGGTCACCAGCGACGGGATGGTATGTAGCAGGATACCCCAGGCAGAAATTTGCATGCTCCAGAAGTAGAGACCGCGGTGGCGCTTGAAGAGGTTGAGAGAGGAGATGCCAACCTCAAGCGCAGTAAATGCTCCTATGGTATACATGATAATCACTTCGACAATGACTAAATTCTCCCTCAGCATCTTCGCAATCTCTGGTGGCAGCGCCGGTATGCCGACAAAATGAATCGCCATGGTGCATCAGCGTGCATAGAGGCTGCCGCTAACTTCGGGGGTGTTGAAAAAGGTCAAAGCAGAGCAATGTCGAGACGACGAGAGGACTTGGTCAAGCCCAGGATTAAAAGGAACACGGACCAAGAGATCTATGAATGCATCCATCATCACAGGGTGCATCTAGGGCCTGGAGCACCTTGGGTCTAGTTGTATGGAATAAGCGGCTATTCCCGCGGAATCGTAGGAAAGGAGGCGAGAGGGCTTTACAAGGCTTGAATTGAAAAGGAGGTCCCCGGGTCAAGTCTGATAAGGTTGGGGATGGGACAACCGTTCAATGGATCGTGCGCTTCTGTGAGTGTATGTCGGGCTAAGCTCGAATTGGCCATTGCCATTGCACCGGCAGGTTATGTGACTAGACATTCCCCAATTGCTGAATTGCTGTACCTAGTTGATGACAGGGAATAGATCCTTGACGCGGAACGTGGGGTCGGTGTGATCGATCGCGCGGATCGAAGCAATGACCATCTGAACTTGCAGGTATGGGTAGATTCGATAGTGCAGCAACCGGAGTATGAAAGAATAGAGTTATGACAGTTCCACAGCCCCCGTGGAGAATACGGGTATAGTATTCAGGACATTCTTTGGGAAAGAGCTCGCAATGACCTCTTGGACCCAGGGATCAATATTGGGGGAGAGTCTATCAGTGATGAATGATGGCTGACTGCGGTGACCTGAAGCGAGAATGGTACGAAGCTATTGTCGCGCCAGACAGGGATGCAGCGCGGCAAACAAAGAACGTCGAGGGAGAGTTCATGCACTTGTCGACTCTTGGCTATTGGTGGCGTTGATGAGGATGGTCCATGCAGGACAAAAATTCGGATACCTTTTACAATTTTTTCTCAACCCATTTGAATCCGGGGTAATCATTTGAGGGGGGTTCGATCCGGCCAATAGTGGTTGGTTGTGGTTGGTGGGTGACATTTCTTTGTTTGAAGATTGGACGGATCTAGGCTTTGGAGTGGAGTTGATGGACAGCGTAATGAATGACCAGAGCTTAGTTCAGTAAGAAGTGTCAGCGTTCGGCAGATAATGCCAGCGAGTGTCAGGATGAAGTGAGTAGAAGTAGATGAAGTAAAATCGGAGTAGAAGAAGTGAAGTGATGAAGTGAAGTTATGAAGTTGAGTGAAGTTGATAGTTCCTGCTGTGGCTGTGGCTGTGGCACGTGCTCTTTGCTACTTCCGCCTTCGCAGTTCGACCCGCTTTGAAGCTGTCAACGATGGTCTCCCTGTGGCCCTGGAAGGTGAGTGAACGCCTGGTTATGAACTATGACCTTTGCTAATGCTAATTCTAATACATCTAGGGCGAGGATAACTCCCCAGCCAACTTTGAGAAAACCCTGTCAACTCTGTCCACCAAGATCGCAGAGGCCACCACTCGTCTTGACCAGCATCGCTCCTCTGCTCGTCGCTTCAAAGCTCTCTGGACCCTCTATTCGACCTTTGCATATCTCTTCTACAGCATTGTTCTTGCTCTAGTGCTAGGATGGGAGAGTTGGGGTGTCAAGGAGTACGCCGCCATTGCTGGCGGACCCGTTCTGTAAGCTCCTCCAGATACAGCTCCAGCTAGCGCAACCCTCAAGCACTCACTAACCTATGATTTTCTTCAGGATTTACGTGGTTCGCACCTTTGGATCCCGCCTCTTTGAATACCGCATCACCAGGATCCAGCGCCGCTTGGATGACTACAACAAACAACGTGACGCGACGATCGAGAAGCTGAAAGTCGCTACAAAGTACAACTCTACCCAACAACTTTTAGAAAAGTACGGCGGCGAGTCTCCCAAACAAATACCATCTCCAACCACCCATGCCGGACCCGGACCTACCGAGAAACGTAACCCAGCGACTCCCTCGCAACCCGTCGCCAGAACAGGTCTACCCCCACCACCCACTGCCAATATCCGGCGTGCTCCTCCTCCCAGTCAACAACCCCTTGCAGGACCCCCCCGGTACCGCCCCATCCCCACCGCCAGGCTACAACCAGGAATCGGGCCAGCAGCAGTTGCCGCCGAATACGCCTCCCTCCCCTTCTCCTCCTTCTCCTATTCCCCAGCCCGACGAACCAGGTTTCGCGCCGAACGCCTTCCCCAGTTCCGGTCAATATATTGAACAGCCTCACTGGTATGACCGACTTCTCGACGTTCTCCTCGGCGAGGATGAGATGCAGCCGCGGAATCGCATGGCTATGATCTGCGCGTCTTGTCGGTTGGTTAATGGTCAGGCTCCACCGGGGATCAAGACACCGGAGGAACTCGGTCGATGGCGATGTGGGAGCTGCGGGGCTTGGAATGGAGTTGAGAGTGAGACTACTAAGATGCTCTCGAGCTTGAGGCAGCGGGCGCCTGGTCAGGGATCTTGGGATGCCGGACGGGTTTCTAATGAGAACATCCCCGGGCAAACTGAGGAGGAAGACACAGATATTGTGCAGAATAGCGAGGAGGATGCGGATCCGGCTAAGGAGGAATCCGAGGAGGATGATGTCAAGGAGGAAGAAGAAGAAGAGGAAGCGGAGGAGAAGAGCGAGCCTGAGCCTGTGAGACGATCCAAAAGGAAGGGCGGGAAGAAGTAGTGGATATGAATAGCTTTGGATGTTACTGTTCATCACCGATTGCAATAAATATTCCCTACCGAGGTTTTTACCGGGGTACTGTCTCTTTCAATTTCTTGTACTGTTTGTAGTCACAAGAGTAGTTGAAGCTTGTGTGTATAGCTTGCGGGTAGGCGGCGCCATCTAACTATACTACAACAACACACCACGCAAGGAAGCCAATTCTGGAGATACATCATGGTACATAGGTAGAGGCCCAAGGAAATAGCGTTAAGTGGAGTACTAGTATCTTGCTACTATCAAGCTCCAAACTAGCATCGTCGTAGACCATTCGTAGTTTTCAAGGGCCATCCACCCAGACAGTACTAGTCATACATCGGATTTACCATAAACGCTTGCATTGCTGGCCGACTGGTAAGTATATCATTCAGAAAAGTTATCATCGAAATAGAATAAGGCCCTCTTTCTATTCTCCACGCGAACTAAAGGCTAGACATCGCTTAATCGCTGATTGAAACATCCCATTTCATCCATCCCAATTCATCCATCCAAAGAGCATACTAGTACAACTCTCTCAAGCATCCAGCAATACCACACACATGCAGCATTTATTGCATATCCATCGGATCGCCCTTCTCACCCTTCCCATCGTTCATAATTTTCTCCTGCTCAGCCTGCAACTTAGCCTCACGCTTCCTCTTCTTCTTCAACTTATTCTGTTCCTGCCGATGCACCACCCTCTCCAACTGCGTCTGTCTATCCTTCTCAGCATTCATAATCTCCCCATCAACCAGCAACGGAATAGCCGCATAAGCCGCGCGAACCTCCGCCTCCTCCCTAAAAGCCACACCCCGAACAACCGTCATATCCTCCAGCGGTCCCTGTTTAGGCCCATATCTCGCCGTACAGGTATAATTATTCAGCGCACCGGTTATCTTGAATTCAACCATCCTCTCCTCTTTCAATATTCCCTGCGCTTTATTCCTCGGATGCTGGACGTCGACTTCGTCCTGGATGAATCGGCGCAGGATGGGTAGGACGCCGACTCTTTCCACAAAGGATGTACAAGCTTCCATATCGCCGCGGGAATCGACAAATATAGCCCCGATCGTTGACTCGATAATGTCGCAGAAGAATTTGTCGGCGTGCATTTGGGCGAGGAGGAGCCAGGGGTATTGGGGGCTGGTTTGGAGGGCTGTGGTTGTTTCTTCACGGTATGTGTTGTATCGGGTTATGCTGGCGGTGCGAGATTTCGCTGTTATGTCGCCGTTGTAGCGGAGGAAATCGTAAAGGTGGATTCGTTTGGGTTTGGGGTTGGAATGATGTGGATAATTCGAAGGTGAACCCAAGCCAGAGCCAGAAGAGGGTTCGAGCTCTTCTTCGATGTACAGACTCATGCATAGGAAGGCCAGTAGATTCCCATTTGTCAAGGCGTGTTTTAGGAGCGTCATTTGGCCTTGTGTTATCTTTTTCGGAAGGCTGGCAAGTGTGGAAACTACTATTATATCTAGGACTGCATCGCCGAGATATTCGAGGCGATTGTAGCTTTGGGATCCGTCATGGCTGCCAGATGCGTGGGTCAGGGCTTCCGTCATAAGAGATGGATCGTTGAACGTGTAGCCGAGTAAAATGCCCAGAGAAGATGGGGGGGGTCAGCACTTGTAGATCTTCGCTCTTTGCTGGGACCATTGGCATGGGACGGAAGGCCATCTTGTAAGATATCTGCTTCGGGCATGAAGCGGTAGAGGCAGGTTTGGGCTTTTGCCATCCCTCCGTCCATGTATGCAGCTCCAATTAATGCCTCCACAACGTCTGCAATGACCTTGTTGGCGAGCTGGCGCTTCGGGGTTTCTCGAGAAAGCTTGTCTTCGATGGAGGGTGCAGACCAGTTGGTCGGCGTGAAGCGGTCGGCCAAGATATAGGCATCGAGACCGACCAGCAAGGCTGAGCGTGTGAGGTTCGAGTTGCTGATGACCTTATCACGTTCCATCGAGAGACGCGCTTCCTGCCATGTTGGATTTGCGTAGAAGAGCTGGCAAGCCACAGTGTACTTGAGCACAGAGTCGCCGAAGAATTCATACAACTGATAGTCAGTCCTGGCTTGTGCAATGGGCATGGTGATTGCAGTCAAGACATGGCTGATGTCGTTGAAGCCAACTCCCTTCAAGATAGTACTGGCTAGCTCCTGGGCAACTAGTGTGGCCTCGAGTCGGTCGAGGATGGCGGAGAAAAACCGTCCCATGATCCCAGTTTGTGCAGGGATCTTGCTCACCGTGCAGCCGGTTGCTGGAATTATTTGAATCTTTGGCGCGAGGGCAGGAGGACCGCCCATCTTGGACTCTTGGTACATGGTAGCTGGGTTGAGGAGGTTTCGTCTCTGCGGTAGAGACTGGCACTCTATGCTGACATTCTTCTTTGTTGCATCAACGACCCATCTCATAAATATACGCGCCTCGGCATAAATAGAGGTATCGCGGATGAAACCAAGAGGGGCGGCGTCTGGGTCTCGCTCAAAGGACTCCAAGACCAAGTCCGTTCCTTCATAGTCGTGTAGCCAATCTGCGAACTGCTCTGGCGCAATACATGGGACAAAAGGAACAACATAGTCTTCTTTCTTCAGATTAGCACCCCGGGCAGAGGGTGCTTTGAGGAGCATAGCGGTGATCTGCTGCATCGTCGAGATGTGCTCTGGTGTCATGCTAGTTAGAAGCTTTGGAAGCGAGAACTGTACCAGAAGCTGTCTTTCCAGGGACCAGTAAAGTGTGATTGGGGCGGGCATGGCCACAAGCATGGGCAGTACTATCGATGTAGTCAGATTCTCATCGACGACGCCGTCGATGGAGAAGGTGATTTTCGTCTGACAGTACCGTCCAGACGATGTCCATGCGCGCGCCAAGGGCACATACGGGTCATACTGTCCAGAGATCCAGACACTGCTGGACTGGGTGGGTGCGTTCATTGCATTAGACATTTCGAGTTGTGTTTTTTGAGTCGCGGGTAGCAGGTTGTCGTTAACGAGGCCATATTTCCAGAGGGCCTCGTATGCGAGAAAGGATGCTTCTTTTGTCGCGGCATGTTCGGTGTGCCACCAGTTCTCGCCTTGCGCTCGGCGGACAGCGGGGTGAACAGAGGAAGGAAGAATGACGGTTGCTTGAATCATTCCGGTGTTGTCTTCTTCGAATATGAATATGGGTCGATTCTCGTTGTCGTTATCGTTTGAGTGTGGTAGAACAGAGCAGAAGTGGTGAAGGTGTTGCATAGATTCATCGGCGGACAAACAAGCACTAGTGAAGAAAGATTGAGTAAGATGGTAACAACACTGGGATGTGTGGGAAATAACAATACCTAGTTGAGGGAACAAACAAACGCCGTTCGACTGTTTCGTCGTAGCGTTCCAAACTCTCCATTTCTGTTTGCCGTCTTCTATCGTCCAAATAGGTCTCCACCATAACCTTCTCCAGTTCTTGCCATTTCGCCACGTTAATCTTGTCATCCTCTGTAGATGCCATGATCGTATATGTCGACGCCTGGCGACGTGCTCTGCCTCGCCGCTGCACAAATGATTTCAAGTTCGCCGGCTTGTCAAAACAAATCACCAAGCTGCAGGAGCTAATATCCAGACCCTCCTCTAGAACATCAGTTGTTACAATGAGATTTTTTCTACCGGTTCTGAATTCAGAGAGGGTATCTCGTTGCATGTCCTTGCTAACAAGATCACCGAGGCAATCGCCATTCTGATAGGATGACCATCCCACGTATGGAGCACTTTCGAACCTACCCTTGGTTATAGGGTGCAGCGAAACTAATCGCGCCAGCACACCAACAACCGCCCGTCTTTGGGCGAAAATGATGGCAGAAAATTCGGGTTGGTCCATTTGTTCCAGGTATTCAAAGAGTGTCGCCAGCTTGGGTGAAATGTGGAAACTCTCTGGTTCACCTTCCGGCACAGACATACTCATTAGAAGGTCCAGGAGATAAAGCCGTTCCTCGCGATTTATGCCTGTCAGATCCTTGTCATTCTCGACTGAGTGTCGGAATTGTTCAATTGATGTCTTGATGAGGAAGTCCGTGGCCCAGCCTCCGAGCTCTTCGTACATGTGCACGCTGCGTTCCAAGAACTTGACAAGCTGTTCCTTGCAAAAGGTCTTGCCCGAAACAAGAAGCTCATGTGCTTCTGCTAGTTTATCCGGATCCTGTCGCATTAATTCTATATATGGGTCGTCTTGGATATCGTATTTCCGAATACAACGGCGTAGCGGAAGCAAAAATCGACTATTGGGATTGTTGTCATCCAATTCAGTTGGAGTGTAGCTGAGTCGTTTTAGATGGGGTCGATGAACGCATTCAAGTAACTCGGTGCGGTTTACTCGGGGTGTCTTGCACACAGCATTGAGATTGGCTTCGATCGCTTGCAATTCTTCCTTGTTAGATCGGACAATTGGACTCGCTGTCAGTCCCAGGATACTTGGCACCGCCTCTGTTCCATGGCTTTCGCGTAGTGGATGATAATGTAGCTGCATTATTTTATTCGCTGGGTGTCGGCGCATGCAGTGGTGTGCTGAAGGGGTTACGATTAGTATTCGCTCATGCAGATCAATCAAACCGTATATGAGCCAGCCTACCTTCATCGAAAACAATGAGAGCTAACTGCGACATCCTCACGAAGCCATGATTCAAGGCATCCGCTAGCACAGCGTGAGTGGATACGATGATACGAATATCTTGCAGCGCTTTGTCCCAGGCAGACTGTTCTGCCCAGCGGTCGACGTTGTCCAAACCAGTCAGCATCCGAATCTGCACATTCGGAATATGTGTTTTTAGAACTCCATGCTGCTGGAAGCAAAGAGCCACAGTTGGTGCCAAGAACCAGATCAATTTGTGAGAGGCACAGGTTTCGAGCTCGGCCTTGATGCGCAAGACGGCTCTATTTTGATCAGTTCACTGGTCGATCCAAATTTTTTGGAAAATGATCTTACATATGAGTCTTCCCACTACCCGTATCCATCTGCAGCCCAATGATC